TCTTTAATTCGTCGAGCCAACCATTCTGCTGAATGTGGCTTAGCGTATTTCTCGGCACGTGGGTTTTGGGAAACATGTTTTGATTTATCAGTTACAAATACATTTTCCGAACCGTGCTTACTGGTCAGAGAGTCCGTGCTTACTCCTGACCTTCGAGAAAATCCTTCGTCTTTGTCTCCTCCTGGGTTGCGGTTGCTTCTCTAGCTGCAACTTTCTTCAGAGGGCAGTTCCTTGCGATATGACCCGGCTGGCCACATCCGTAACATAACCTGAACCGACTCTGTCGGTCTGTATCCATGGGTACGCCTTGTCCGGGGAATACACCTCTCTGAGGTTGATCCTCGAACCTTCTTGCATACTGATTCGTCTGGGGTCTCGCCATCTGCTGTGGCTGCGGCTGTTGCACATGCTGGTGCGTATACGTCTGTTGTCTGTAGATGGGTCGCGACGGCTGCGTGACTTCTCTCTTTCGTCTTTCGTCTAATTGAAACTCTTCTCTTCGTGCCTCCCATGCGTAGGCTTGCGTTTTCCACTCAGCAAATGTTTTTGGTAGGTCTCTCTGGATGATGACGAAATCACAGATTCGAGAGTGAAGATTCTTTTTGAGAATTCGATTGATCACGTCGAAGTGAGTGGTAGCGTCATATCCGGCCTTGTCCATGAGCGTTGTGAAATGGCTAAAGAATTCGTCGCAATGCTTATTCTCCTGCTTGTATGTCTCGATCTCGTTTACCGCCTGCGATCTTTCGTTTGGATTTCCGAATACTTGGGCTAGATCGGTTAGGACGGTCGAGAGAGTCGGCCATACGGGGGTAGTTGCGTCGAGAGCTTTGGTAAGCACGTTCTCTTTCCAAGCTTTTACTGTCGACGTTCCTTGGTCGCTGATTTTGGATAGGAGGTAGATGAGCTTCGTCTTCTCGTCTGGAAAGTAGGATGCGTAGGCGGTTAAGTACAACTGTAGTGCTTGGCGCCATGCTATAAATCGTTCCTTTTCTCCTTTGAATTCGAAGGGTTCTGCTGCGAGAGTTACTTTGCCGTGTAACTGCGTGGGGTTAGACATGGATGAGGGTTTTGGAGGAATTGGAGGTGGAGGTGGGCGTGTAGGTGGTAGCGGTAGGGTTTGTCTGGGTGGAGTCTCTGGTTCTATGGACGGTCTTGGGTTTCGATATTCGGAAAACACTTTGAAGGATTGAAACGAGGTTTATTTAGTTTGAATCGTAATCAAACTCGTCACTCCAATCGTTAGAAGTAAATCCAAAAATATTCTCTTCTTCTTCCAAATCTCTTTCTACCTGTGAGCTAGTGGTAGAATTACTGTCCAAGTTCGAGGTTGTTTCGTCTGGTGAGGGGGTTCTTTCTATAAGAACGTTTCCTTGGATTAACGAGGAGACGGGAGGAATATAAGAGAAATTTCCGTGGGTCAGATGGTACTCTGGTTTGTACTGCGAGTAGACTCTGTTGTTTTCTCGAATGAGTACTCCCCAGAACTCGGTGTTGATCTCGGTAACGATGAAACGATCTGTGGGGTGGCGGATGACTAAATCAAAAACTTCTTTTCCGTAGTTTTGGTATTCTCTGAACAATCGACAGACGTTCCTGATCTGTCTTTGTTCTCTTTCCCAATTCCTTCCTTCGAGGATCTCGTGTCCAATTTTAAACACTAATTTGCGAAATTGCGATATGCAGGCTACTATCCTTCGTATTGCGTCGCGGCAGAAAGGGGTGACAACTAATACGTGGACTCCTGCTTTAAGATAATCTCGTGTGTTGAAGGCGTCGTTCTGTTCGGGAGTGAGGGGGACGTCGAAGAAGAATGGTATTTCCCGATAGAACTTGATGAGATCGGTTTCGTAAATTCCAATTCTTGTAAAAAGAAGTTCGAGAGGGGTAGGATTAAATGACGCTGTAACGTATACGTCAATTTTGGATGGTTCGAGATAAGGCGTAAGGAATTCTAGGTAGGGTGCGGAGTAGGGTCGTCGGTGGATGATGATTCCGCAGGGAAGTAAGTAGTGGATTTCTCTCCCGTCTTGTTCTGGTGAGAACCCAAGTTGGGGAGTTTCAACGTAGTTCGGGAGGTGATAGATGCGTGGGGAGATTCCGTCGGATAGTATGAGAAGAGCTGTCTTATGTTCCGCCACTCGTCGTCTGAGGGCTCGTCTTTCTTCACTGTCGTTCCGACGAGGGGGTTCTAGAATCCTCTGTTCGTAGACTTCGATTGATAGGTGCTCTAGGTGTATCGAATTGAACCTGAACAATTCTCTGGATGCTTGATCGGATTCCCAAAAGCAGGTTTGAGCAGCTGCCGATGCGTACTCGAGTAAGCGCGACGTATTGACGGAGTTGGGAGATTTCGAATGCTAAATCGTCGACGGCTAGAACTAGTCCTTCTAGTTCAGAGATGGGGGAAGAGGCGGCTGATGAGTCTTCGTAATACTCAGTTTCTGTGTCGCTGCGGACAGGCTGGGGGTGCGTGGCAGCGTTGACAGGTACTGCAACGTGGAGGTCTCGGTTGTTGAGGGCGTGATGGAATTCCTCGAGTGAACGTCGTTCTTCGTCCTTTACTAGGCTCTCTCTGATGTTCGACAGTTTGACGGTTGTAGAAGTGATCAAAGACGACAGCTAGGGTGAGGACTTGAGCTAGAACAAGTAAGAGTATTACTTCGAGGTGGGTAGGAATGTTGGAGAGGACAACTAGCTAGCTTAGCTAGAAGGCAAGTGGTTGTTTTGGATGGGGAGGAGGACGGTGAATGACAACACGTCCGAGGGATGAAGGAAAAGGTGGGTTAGGGCTATAATGGGTTCGAGCGAGATGGTACGCTGTGAACGGATTGTAGAGTGAGCTTTCTATTTTGTGAGGCAACGATAAACTATAACAAAAACTAAACCTATCTCCTTCTGCACTTGCAGGGAGTAAGGGTCCAATGAGCTTTTGAGGTCGACAGACGCTAGAAATATAGCGAGTAGAGGACTTTGAGAGGTAAGCTTCAAAGGTTCTTGTTGAGGAGTAAAGCGGGTAAATTCAGTAATAGAAAGCTAAGGAGCTATACATGAATAGGTATGGCTTTATATAGGGAACTGTCCGTGCCTCAGACCGAAAAGAGAATATACGAAAAGTGGTCTGAGGGATTAATCAACCAATAAGAAAAAGGGGAGGTAACTATCGTACGACTTCTGACTTGATTAATCAGCAGGTGAGAGACTTGTACTAATAATAGAAGATTGTCACGCGTGGTCAGGAACCGTATCCTCATAATGAGGTACGATTCCAGATAAGGCGTTATTAGTATTACCAGGCTTTACGGGGGCTTGGAGCTGGTTGGCGAGATGCCTACTATCAGTCCCTACCCAGTGTGCTGGCTAGCTGGAAGCGACGTCCAGTCTCTGATCTGTGATATAAAGTGGTAGCGATGGTTAAGAAAGCCTGTGAGGGCTATGAGAAGTAAGATGGCAAAGGATACCTCTAGCCCTAGAGCCAGAGGTGTAACGGGAAAAGCGTTTGAGAACCAAGACATAACGAAGATAGGAAAATAATAAAACGGTCCTTACATGACCGAAACAATGGCCTGTTTGTTGGCATACGAGACAGATGGGGGCGTTGGTTCAGGATGTTTTATTGTTGTTGTTGTTGTTGTTGTTGGGATATGTGTCATTGTTGTCCTTGTGAAAGGACTTGGTTTTGTCGTAGGGATCGTACCTTTGCGATTTGTATGATGACAAAGAGGTTGATTTGTAAGCCATGCTTTCGGTGATTGACTTTTGAAGTTGATCGAATTTGATGGTGGCAAAGTGTCGTAGATATAGCTCATAGTTTAATTCTCAGCGTTGAATGGTGTTTGATGATCTTTGTTCGATGTTGAATTCTAGGATGGCAGGAAAGTTTCGTTTAAAATCTTCCTGTTTCGCTAAAAAAGTATAATGTTCCTTCCAACATTGTGCGATTGGTACGTCAGAATATTGGTCTAGATATTGAGTATATCGATTCCATGCTTCGTACCAATCGGTAGCGTCCATGGAGCGTTCATTGGGAAATTGCAAAAGGTCGAGTGCGTGTAATTTTTGATTTTGTTTATTATAGACCGTTACCTGTTTTAGGAAAGGTGTTTCCCGGTGAAGCTTTTTGGTAGAGGCGGTAGTAAAGAGTGTTAAAGGCACGTGAAAATTGAAGCAAGCAAGTTGTTCTATGAATGGATGAACACCATAATTAAAATCTGAAGTCAAAGGAGGAGGTAATTCATTGGCCATGGTGAATAAAATTCTAGATATTGGTTGCCCAGTGATCGCGGATGTATTGGGAACAGAGTTAGTGATAATGTCTTGTGCTTTTTGTTGTGAGTCAGGCGAGAATTGAGAGAACGCTGCAATGAGATTAGTTAAGTTGGCATTGCTGGAGGCACTGATCGGGACCGTGGGATTTGTGGATATCTGATTTGTGGATCGGAGGATCGGATTGATAGTGCCTGATGGATTGATAAGCGAGGAAATCGGTATGGATGGATAGTATGAGGTCGGGAAGAGGGAAGGGGGTGGATTGGAAAGAAGACAAGAAAGTGGGGGAAGAGTCGGAAGTGAGAATGGAGGAGGAGCGGGAGGAACAGATGGGGTTGTTTGTGTAGAAGAGCCGGAAGAAGGATTATCAATGTTATTTGTTGAGGAATTGATTGAGATACCGGGAGGTGGGTTGTTGATCAAAGACATGGCAAAGCGAGGTAGAAAAAATTCTTGGTGGATCACGAAACGAAGGGAAAGGTGGGGAAAAAGAGGGAGAAAGCCAAAGAGATAGAAAACTCAATTCTTTGCTTTCTATATATGAGAATCCTTGAAGATATGCTTCTCTGCGACGTTGGCTTGAGAAGTGTCAGGTATCACGTGCAGCTTACAAAGCCTCCACTCATGGGTCGCGACGTTCGCAGGCTCACGAGCTTATTTTGAGTCGCCATCCACTTGACCTATCACGTGACCTCCGTGGATTAATTGTGTTGGGAAAATTGCTCCAGTGCGACTGTCATTCGGATTAGACTTAATGGACAGTATGTTTAAAAATGATTCAAGAGGAGAAATAGAAGTAAGTACTCGAGCATTGGGTCATTGAATACTATCCTGATTCTAGGCCTTCGAAGTTAAGGCCAGTCTTCGCTGACCTTTGTCCAATCCCATTCTCTGAATATAAGTTCAAACAGCAGCGTATGAAGGTGTAGTTGTAAGAAACTCACCAGTAATTCCTCCGGCCACTGGTACTCTTCAGAATCCCAGCCCCAATGAGAAGAAACGCTATCTATATACCACCCCGCTGGACCCTCCTTAATGCTCTCACAGGCCGCCTTGACAGACTCAGGTAACTGCATATCATGATACTTGGTTGGGTGATAATTCGTATACAGGCAGAACATCGGTATTTCTTCTTTCTTATTCCAGCATGACAGGACATAAAAACGTACACCGTGACGACGTTCAAGAAAGTTGCCAAGCGCGGCTTGTAACATCGCATTGATGTGGTCTGTGGTGTAGTACTCCCGGTACGAATCCATGTCAGCGTGTTCTTCTTTCTCTCCCTGCCCTCGTTTCAAGAGATAATCGAGTGCGACAAAACCATTATCATCCGCGTACTTCTCCATTTTAGAGAATGACGTTGGATAGCCCCAGCAAAGAATCGGGGGTTTCGCCACCCGTTCCATTCGGGCATCTATACTTGGTATCAAGTCTGGATGAAGGTCATCGAGTTTACTAATCTTCTTTACAGCTCTCAGATTCTGACAGCAAGCTCCAGTCAATAAATTCATATCAAAAAAGAAAGTAATTCACATTTTTACCATGCCGTGGATGGAGAGCGTCAGGGAGACTTTGGTTTTCTGGATGGAGGCCATCGGGTTTACCGACACTCTCAACGACTTCGAGATTCTGACAGCAAGCTCCAATCAGTAAATCAATAAACTCATATTAAAGAACAATATATCTCACATTTTCACCATGATTTGGATGAAGGGCGTCAGGTAGACCATGACTGAGGTTCACCGGTGGCATGCTAGGCTTAGGGCGGACAAAAGTCAACAAATGGATACGATGCAAATTGGATGTATACTGAGCGAGTCACGTTCAGGTGATTTCACTGACCCAGACAAACGGAAAATTGACGGAACTTATGATGATGATAACATAGGTCGTGGTATAGGTCGAGCTTTATATCCTAGGTTTGCCACAGATTCTTAGGCGTCGGACTCTAGTCGGACCGAAGATACTCGTGGCGGTTGACCGTGACATTGTGGGTGTTCAAGTTGTTGTCCATTCTGTAATATACTAGAACATGCGGTGATATCAAAGTGTCACGGAACAGCAGTCAAAAAGTAGTGCAATGGGTCACCATTTAGCCATTTAGATAAATGGATAACAACTTTCGGTGGTTCTCATTCAGAATAATGCAGGTGCGTAAGAATGTCTTCAGCCTTTGCTCTCTGGTCCTGGTCTTGTATTCGCTTATGGCTCAACAAATTCTGCTCATGTTCTCCGTTTATTCCAGATGGTCAATGGCATCGTGTGCACTGACACTGCACGGATAAGCGACGTGTGTTGTAATACAATCTGTCCAGAAACGGATTGCAGGCCAATGGCCTCAAGTCTGTGCCCCATTCTGTCGAGTTCTATCTGCTATTCATTGCAATTATAAAAGGCTCAAATATGCCCTATTACTTTTAGCATAATAACTTCTCTGTTGTAGGTTTCACTATGGCGGCTTCAACATCTGGATCCAGTGGGAAGACACCCCTTACAAAAGATGATGCTTTGGTTATTTGGGACGCAGTCTCGCCACATCTTACCCATGCTTTTAATACAGCAGATGGGCAATCGCTAGAATATCTATACTATGGACTAGTTGACTTTGTATTTCAACATTGCGCACTCCAAGAGAACCAGAGGCTATACGAAGCACAAAAACAATTTCAACTCATTCTACACTCCCAATACCACCTTGCAATTGACCTCTCTAATCCAGATGTTGCATGTATGCTTTCGGAAATCTTAATGAATTAGACCATAACATAACTTATTTGCGTTGCTGTCCTGAAGCACCTAGTGAACAATCTAGCGGTAGCCAGACTGCACTCAAACAAGACAATTCTGGTTGCCCCAAATTAGAAGATGAAAATGACGATGGAGACGATGAAGATGAAGATGGAGAAGAAGAAGATATCACCAGTAAGTTCTTGTTAAATGATTGCCCAATCACGCTAAATTCCATTGCTAGAATTCAGATTCCAGACTTTACTCTCATTGCTAGCTCGGGGCATGACGGAACGGATATTTTGATATGTGTTATTGAAGTGAAGCCGCACGGCAGGACCGCGGGATCAAAACGGCTACATTTTGTGAAATGCCAGCAACAACTACTGCGTCAAGCACAGGCAGCTTTTGATACCTACCCCTCACAGGACAGTGTCAATGTCTTCTGTGTTCTTGGTCGTTTCTGGAAGCTAGTTTATTTCAAGCGAGAGATTTTCAACGCGATGACTTGCTTCAGATGACGAGGCGGAATACAAAACCGGTCCCTGTCAATCAGTCAGGCCTTTGACAAGGCTAAACTTACAGGTCGTGCATCTCGTTTTTATTCATTTGTGCCTGGAGGGGGTCTCAGTACGAAGTTCAAGGATGAGATCACGCGGTGTGTAAATGATTACGAAGTGCTTCATATCTAGGAGCTGCAAGAGGGCGAAAATGTTTAATTGTACTTTGTATTGGTGGCATTTGTGGATCAGCGGCGAGGGGAGAGGAGAGAGCAATGTTTCGCAACACTCTCATCCCTTGCGTATATATAATCTCATGTTATTTTCCCTCTACTCTTCATGGTCGTGTCAATTGTTTTGTTACAATGCTTTACTAACTGATGAATTACCACTATCAAATTCTTTGTATCTTTCTGAAGTTCGAACGCCCTGGCTCGGGGTTGCAGCGGAAATCTCGTGTGATACGCTAAAGGAAAGAACTAATACATATGGTGGTAAAAAAAAACCATTATACTCAAGCTCTGTACTTACAACATGCAGATCATATAACATGTATAGATTAGTATACAGACCAGCACACGAGGAAAACGCCGGAAAGCCTTCATGTCCCCCGTTTACGATCGACAAGTAACACTTAGGCTTAGGTCTTCAAACTTCAGGTTGACTTTAGTCGCAAGTTGTTCAATCCCATTTTCTGAGCAAGGGTTCAGAACGTGATACATAAAGGTGCAAAGCATCGCACTCACCAGTACGTTCGGCCACTGGGCATATAGCATATCCCAATCCCAATTAAAAAGAGACTCCATCAACATACCACTTTGCTGGAACAGTCGCTATTTTTTCACATGCTAGCTTGACACTTTTAGGCCACTGCTCGGTCGGGTGATAGTTCGCACAGACAGAACATCATCGTATTTTCTCCTCTGGTCCAGCACGACACGGTAGTGAGACACAAAAAAGGCTTGAGTGAATGATCCACCTGGGCTTTGAGCATAGCGTTGATGTGACGTATGGCGTAAGATATCTTGCCTTCATCGACTTGGAGGATAGAATCGTCGTCGCCTTCTTCATCCCCTACCGACGTGACACTTTCGTCATCTTCGTCATCTTCACCGTCTCCACCTTCTGCATATCCTGCGTCCTCTGTGTCCTCTATTTCTTCTATGTCCTTTGTGCCTTCTATGTATTCAGTTAGTATACTTCCTGTGCCTTCTGCATCTTTTTTCAGGTTGGCCACCCCCCATGGTAAGCTTTACTTCCTCATCTTTTTGGACGACCACAGCAATTGGCTCTGGTTGTGTCTGGTTCTCCGGTCAAAGCCACGTCTAAACAATTATCTGAGGCATAACCCGCCATCTCCTGGTAGCGTATTGGATAACCCCAGCACAACACATAATTGGGGGTCCTGGCGGACCTCTTTACTCGGTACCAAGTCTGGATGAAGGTCATCAAATCCACCGTGATCTCCCAGATACTACATCTTATGCTGGTACCAGACGTCATGCATCAATAAACAAATCAATAAAATTGAATAACATGATGCTCACGTTTTCACCAAGGAAGGCCAGTATGGAGGGCATCAGCTAGCGCGCGATCCTGGACCATTTTAAGAAAACAAACACTGCGTTCAATGACACGAAGACACTCGATCAAGATAAAAGCAGTAATTGACGCCCCTATCTCAGGCTAAATCCAACCCAGTTGGGCTCGATAAACAGCGACACCGTAGAAGACATCCTTTGAACACCATAGGAGTTAAATTTGAGAACATAAATGAGACTCTAGCTAATGGCTTATAACCAGATTCCTGGGCATATGCAGCAAGATTTCAGAACTTGAGAGAGAGAGAAATATGGTACAGTTGTGTGGTGTATTGCAGGACGTGTGAGATTACAACCGCTATATGTTCTTCTGTAAATCCTGCCTGCTTTGCACCGGCAGGCACCCTCGGCCAACCACCTAGTCCCATATACAGGTATTACCCAAGCAAACGGTGTAACCGAAATATATCACCGAATAAATGACGCGGCGTGGCTTTGGCGGGTACGACGACGACGAAAAGGCGGGGGAAATTACATGGGCTTGCTCGGGAGCTGAGTCAAGAGGACGCCATAGCGTTTTTTGATGGTGACACGGTGTCGCGAGAACTTGTCGTCTGGCGAGAACCGGGCTATTGCAGCTATGGGTAAGAGCACGATAATCAAAAGAATGCAAACAGACCAGGATGGGCAGATTTGGTGATGCGACCGCTGTCTGTGGTTTTCTGGAATGGAAGTTAGCATAAAGCACGCGAAATAGAAGATAGAACGTACCTTGAGCGTATATGTTCTGTTACCGCTCTCGTCTGTGGTGTACATCAAATGCATCGTAGCTAGCGTTGAGGTCGAGACGAACGACGGTGGCAAGAATGAATGAAAAAAAGGCAAGGTTCCCACAGTCTGATGATCTCGTCATGCACATTACGTGATACGATCCGCGCGGTCTGATCTGCATTTGCTGGCTTGGATGCGGACGTCCTCCTTGGTTCGGTGCGAGTACTAGTACGATGGGTAAAACTAGCCAGGCTCTCACTGCCCCCGTCCCAGAGACAACAGTCAAGCCTGTCTATGAATACACGCCAGAGCAAACAGCACAGATCGCTGCTCTCGCCGACGTACGCCTCTATCTTTTTTATTCCATCATTGACCATGCTGAACATGGGTATCTTCGCAGTACGCCCAGTCGCTCACCCTGCCCCCATCAGATCCATACCACAAATGGGAGCAACGCTGGCTTCATAGACCAGACACCGCGCCTCGCTATATGCGCGCTGCAAAATGGAAATACGATGATGCCATGCGCAGAATAAAAGCCACCCTCGAATGGCGACGTGACTTTAAACCTGACATAATCGCCCCAGAGGACATCCGCATTGAGAGCGAGACTGGAAAGATGTCTGTATTGTGTGATGACAATGGAGGCGACGAATGATCTGACGTTTTAATCGCGACGTCTAGCATCCTCAATGGTTTTGACAACGATGGCCGACCGATCATCTACATGCGTCCGGGGCGTGAAAACACAGAGACAAGCCCACGGCAACTTCGTCATCTTGTCTGGTGGCTGTATGTTTTCTGTTACTCTGTCCTGCTAATTCACTCATCATTGCACGCAGCGAACGCGCGAAAGATATCATGCCACCAGGCCAGGAATCGCTTGTCATCATTGTTGACTACAAGTCTACCACTCTCAGGACTAACCCTTCCATCTCTGTCGCGCGCAAGGTACGTGTTTAATTCTCTGACCCTCCCTTTCTATCACTTCATACCTAAATACTAATCACATTAAACCAGGTTTTAACAATCCTCCAACAACACTACGTCGAAACCCTTGGCCGCGCTATCGTCGTCAACCTCCCCACCCTTTTAAGCTTCTTCTACAAGGGCATTTCTCCCTTTTTGGACCCTGTTACGCGAGACAAGGTGGGTAATATTTTTTCTGTTTTATGCCTGATTCTGTGGGGCGTGAATGGCGTACTTTCTTTCCGCTTTTTGTGGGGTAATGGTATTGTGTACTGTACTGCACCTTATCCCATCACCTCCATCTATTACCAATAGTTTACACCACCGCTAACTCTCCCATCATTGTTCACCGTGGAATAAAACGTTGCAGATGCGTTTCAACCCCGACTTGTTCCAGCTCATCCCACGCGAACAACTGGACGCTGATTTTGGCGGAGAGTACGAGTTTGAGTTTGAGCCTGAGGCGTATTGGGAACAGATTGTAAAGTAGGCTGACTTTTATCTTGTCTTCTTTTTAACCTCACTCTCTCTTGTGCCATCCCTCATAGACACTGCGGCATCGCTCCAGATGGCACACGCCTTCCAGGCTACTTTGACGGACCAAACGGCAGTTCAGAGCACGGTTCCATCGACGCAGACGACCAATCACCCAACTCTGAGACCGAGGAGTCAGACTCGCAGGGCGCGCCTATACCCGTGCCTCCTCCAGCTCAAGATCATGCCGAAGAACATGAGCAGGAGCAAAAAGACGGCGGTGAACGGGGTGTGGAAAGTGCTGCTGCATTGCTGCATGAATCCAAAGCCGACGAATCTGTTCCAGACGCAGATCCTATACCTGTCACTGTTTGATGGCAGTTTCTAAACGCGCGGAAACCGGTCGGAACCGTGGAGAAGCGTTGAAGTGGGAGGCGTTAGATGCCTGTTATGTCTATTATGAAGTGTCGCGAGAGAAAAGCAAAAAAAACAAAATAGAGAAGAGATAAGAGATAAGAGACGAGTTGCTTGAGTAGATACTACTATTTTTTATTGACCCGCCAGGGACCAGAGACTGGTCCGCTTCTCATTCTTTACCATAGTAGAGCTTTGAGACTAATTTGTTATATCTTGTCATCCATGCTCATCTTCATAGCAATATGTCCTGCGCATTTTCTGAGATACCTCGAACTTGGTCTTCAGTTCTCAGGTTCCAGGACGCGAACTTGCATTGAGCTGGACCTGCCGATGAGAGTTCACTAATTTTGGGGCTGGAGTGGATTTTGCCTGACATCTGAGATAGGGGTGTCGGTTACTGCTTTTAGTATACGGCCAAGTCGTGCCTTCTCAAGTTGGGTCGATGTTTGTTTTCTTCTTCGCTGGAGCACTTGAACGCCCACAATGACAATGTTGTCACAACTACCACATGTACAGGTCCGACTCAGAGGCAGCACCTCATAAGATAGTAGGATCGTGCTGGACCAGAAACAACGAAATTTCGCCAGTATCATTCAATAACGCGGTCCTCAGCGACGCCCACTATGTCATCTGAATACGCAACTCTACCCAAAGCTCTCCATCCACGTCTTGGTTACGATGTGAGCGTTCCCAACGGCCCCCTCCTGTGGATTTATTGATGATGAGTCTGGCGTCAGAACGAGAAAGCTTTGGAAGATATTGATGGATTTGATGACCTCCATCCAGGCTTTATACCGAGCAAAGAGGCTCGAACAGGACGTGCGCCAAAACCACCGATTATGTGTTGGGGCTATCCTTTTAGCTTTGAGAAGATGGAGAATTATGCGTTGGACAATGGTTTTGAAGGGGTTTTGACTGGAGAAGCAGACGAGGAAGAAGACTTACAAGACGCAGAATGCACACTGGCCAGAAGACATGGAATGCACAGAGGACGCAGAGAATATAGCGGACGTGAAGGATGTGAAAGATGTAGAAGAAGATGACTTGGACGACGACTCAGACTACGACTCGCCGAATGACAACTCGGATGACGACTCTCAGAGTGGACTCGATAAAAAATAAATATCTTATACCATACATCACATCAACACTATGCTCAAAGCCGAGCTGGATGAACCTTTCAAATCTCTTTTTTATTTCAGTACCATATCATGCTGGAGCGAAGGGGTGCCGACGGCGACGTTCTGTCTGTATACGAACCATCACCCGACGGAGTGTTACGGTGCGCCTGAGAGTGTCAAGTTAGCATGCAAAAATATCGCGACCGGTCCAGCGATGTGGTATGTCGACGAAGTTTCTTCTCATTGGGATTGGGAATTACGAAACACCCAGTAGCCAGATATACAGGTGAGTGTAATACATTTGCCCACTTACGCATCATTTCTTAACACTTCCTCCTTATAATTAGAAAATGGGATTGAATAACTTGCGGGTAAGGTTAGCCAGAAACTCCAAGTACGCCTGATGGAACGGACCACTGTTCAGTCTGTCGATGTTCTCATTTGCAAGAAGATTTTTGTATAAAACGTCGACAGCCTATTGTGCTTGTTGATTTATATAAAATGAAAACTCGCCATCCATCATACTCCTTTAGTACTTCAGTGACCGAATATGAGTTTGAGCCTGGGATGTGTTGGGAACAAAGTATAAAGTAGGTTGTTTTTTGTTTTTTGTTTTTTGTTTTGTAGTTTCCATTATTTCTGTTTATTTTTGAGCCTCACTGACTCTCCTATCCCCCCTCACAGACATTGCGGAATCACTCCAGATGGCACACACCTTCCAGGCTACTTTGACGGACCAAACAACAGCCCGGAGCGCGGTTTTGTCGATGCAGACGATAAGTCTACCAATTCTGATACTGTGTCAGACTCGCAGAGCGTGCCTAAATACCCTTACCTCCAGTTTGGGATCATGCCGAAGAACAAGAACAGGAGCAGGGAAATGTCTTAACGCTGTTTTTGAGACACCGTCGACTTGCTCAGGATGCGAACAATATATATATCGCATAAGAGTTCTCTTGATACTTTTCCAGTGGTCCTTCGATGTGAGTCGCTGTCAGCAGAATTTCCCGAGTTGGGATTCTCTGAAATTATAGTGACCAGATAGACAACAAATTTGAACAATATATTTCGAGGTCTGGCCTTGGCATGGCTGATAGTCAAATATACGCTAATGTGACATCAAGTGCGGGCCTCTTCTGTACAACTACATTTAAACATTTATGTCCCATAGATTTGCGGTATTGTATTAAGTATCTGCTTCGGCATTCACCTGCTTCTGTTGAGTTTTGAGCTCTTTGTATTGGTTTAAACACACAGCGATCTCGAGCTTGAGCTGCTCGTGGATATCATTTCCCTCCTTGTTCAGAAGGGGATAAAAGCGTGGTGAATAAGACACAATGTCTTTTTTCCATAGGACGCGGCAGCACCTCTGATTATCGGGTTTGTATTCTGAATCATCGTGCATGTATACCACTTGAGTGAGGACAGCTCGCTCGAATCGGAGCACCTTCCAACGATGACCAAGCACACAGAAGATATGGACATGTTGCTGCATAGGATAGGTGTCGAAATTTGCTTTTGCTTGAAGAACTATTTGTGACATAATGGTTCTAAGAGCACCATTTATGCTTTGCCGTTTTCCCTTTGCCTTCCTTGGGTTGAAGGGCTTTGCTTCAATGAGAAATGGTATGAATTCCACCTGCGACTTCCGGTTCCGGTAGCCTGAGTTATCAGCTATGACAGCAAAGTCCGGAATCTGGTAATTTTTCTTTACAGAAACCAAAGCCTCCGAGTCTGATAGAAGATGTTAGCTTGAACGAATATGCAGGTGTCTAAACTTGCTACCGCGGTAGCATTACCTTCTTTAATTGTGCCTTCTGACCGACCATCCTGCGATTTGCTAGCTTCCTGCGAAGAACCCGAATCAGGAAAGTCACCAGACTCAGTCCCGGAAGACGCATCGACTCTTGAACCAGATTCTTGGTCAGGTGCTTTCGAGAGAGAAAAAAGTAAATGAGGCATGGTCAATATAATGAGATATTGAAACATACAAATGTCCTCTGAGTCGAAAGTGTATGATAGTCGGTATTGGGGGCATAAAAAGAGTCGAAATATGCTAAACTTGGTAACCAATTCTAGGTTTTGTTCCTGCAGGCAGCGACTGAAGATATCGTCCAATACTCCATACAAGTAGTGTTCTAGACTCTCGGATTTTGCACGTTCAATCATTTTCTTGTTGTGCTTGATAACATCATTCCAGAGAATATCATTGAGAGGTTGATTTTCGTCGGCCTTGGGAGTAGATGGAGTCATAACTCAAATCTACCACAAAAATATTATCCAGCTGACGTCAGGTGGGTGGTGCTTGGCACAACTGTAACCACTTACCAGATGGAAGAATGGATGGAAAGGAGCTGTATGTAGAAGAGTTGGAGCGGGTTGAGGGTCTGGTGATAGCAGACATATTTCGACGTTTTATATCCTGTGAACGACTCGGATAACGAACAGAATATGAAAGAATGAGGCGTAAGAGGCCACAGAATTGGGGCCTTTGGCCTGCAGTCCATATCTGAGTCAGGTAAAAGTAGTACACCATTAACATATATCATTTATAACTCACAGGGCACATGATGCCGCTGAAGCAAATAAGAGTAAGCTCGAGTAAGGATGAAACGTTTGTGCCACAGCTTCAACTTGAACTTGTCCTGGAAAGGAAAGTCAGTGGCAACTACTACTATAACAAGGCCATCAGAATGAACAAGGTTGTGGCCCATATTGAACTTGACTAGGGTGTACGCATTCCATCATACACATCTTTTTGGTACGAGAACTTGAAACAAAAACAAAATTACAGAATAACAAATGTGGGTCCCAGCTCTCAGGCTCTCACAACGACTGTCAATGAAAATGGCCACGAGTAATCTACTGGATCACAACCCCGGACCGTCACGAATAAACTCGTATACGTATTCACGCACCTTGTGGAAAACTCGAGGTATAAAGGCTTGACTTGCCAGTGTTTTAGGCAGGAAAAGCAAGACTTCAACCGTCATTTCAACTTTCCCAACTGAAGTTACCTGAATTCAGAAACTACTGTGTACTCTATCTCAGGCTACACAAGTCCACTATGTCATCAGATTACTCGACTCTACCCAAAGCCCTCCACCCACGTCTTGGTAAGGATGTGAGTAATTTTAACGGTTCTCCAGTGTGGATTTATTGATGATGTCTGGCATCAGAATGAGGAAGCTTTGGAAAATCTTGCCAGTGATGGATTTGATGACCTCCATGAAGACTTGAAACCAAGCAAAGAGGCCCGGGCAGGAAATGCGCCGAGACCTCCAATCATGTGCTGGGGCTTTCCAGTGAGCTTCGAGATGATGGAGAACTATGCCGACAATGGTTTAGATGTAGCTTTGACTGATAAACCAGACGAGAAAGAAGACGCCGAATGTGCAGAACGCACATTGGAAGAAGATGCAAAGGACGCAGAGGGCGCAGAAGGTGCAGAAGGTGCAGAAGGCGCAGAAGGTGCAGAAGGTGCAGAAGACGCAGACGACGCAGACGACGCAGAAGATGCGGATACGAAGAATGTAGAAGAAGGCAACTCGGGCAGCGACTGGGATGATGACGACTCTTACCACCGATTCAATTTGGACAAGGTATCTTATACCATGGATCACATCAACGCTATGCTCGAAGCCGAGATGGACGAACCATTCAAATCTCTTTTTTATTTCAGTACCATGTCATGCTGGAGCGAAGGGGTATTGACGACGATATTCTGTCTGTATACGAACTATCACCCAACCGAGTGTTATGGTGCGCAGTCACGGTTGCCTGAAAGCGTTAAGCTAGCATGTAAATACATTGCAACCGGTCCAGCTAAGTGGTATGTCGACGCAGCTTCTTCTCACTGGGATTGGGAAGTGCAAGATACCCAGTGGCCAGATGTACTTGTGAGTATCGTACACTTGCCTATTTATGCATCCCTTCTCAACCCTTCCTCTTTATAATCAGAATTTGGGATTGAATAAGTTGTGGGTAAGGCCGACTGGAAAGTCGAAGACCACCTAGCTAATCGAACGGACTACTGTTCAATCTGTCGATATTCTTATTTGCAGGAAGATTTTGTACAAAAATTGTACAGCCTATTGTTAATGTATATAAAAAGTGAAGACTCTGAATCGTATCACACTCCTTCAGTACTTCAGTGATCGTCTGTCTGGTCAATGGACAGCCGATTGGATTCAGACTAGTCTGGTCCGAACTATGGCATCCTGACAGATGGCGTAAGGTTGGGGTGCTTGCAGTTTCGGTAATCTCAGATACACCTGAGATAGGTTTAGTATATAATGTATGTTTTCGGCGAGTTGTTTGTGTTTTCTTTCGCTGGAGAACGCCCACAATGACAATGTTGTCACAACTACCACAGGTCCTACTCGGATTCGGAGGCAGCACCTCATGAAATAGTTGAAGATCGTGCTGGACCGGAAAAAACGAAAATTTCATCAGTCAGTGGTCCTCAGCTGAGACACCCGCTAATGTCGTCTGAATACTCCACTCTACCCAAAGCCCTCCATCCACGTCTTGGTCATTGACACGATGTGAGCAATTTCAACAGTTACCCCCTTGTGGATTTATTAATGATTTCTGGCGTCAGAATGAGATAGCTCTGGGAGACCTTGGTGGATTGGATGACCTCCTAGACTATCCAAACTTGATATATGCTTGATACCAAGCAGAGACGCCCGAACGGGATGTGCGCCGAAACCCCCAATTATAAACTGGGGTTTCCCAATAAGTCTCGACAAGATGGCGGATTATGCCTTGGACAATGGATTAGGCTTGGCTTTGACTGGAGAATCAGTCCAAAAAGAAAACTTCTCAGAAGACGGACAAGATACAGACACACAAGATACAGCAGACCCAAAGCACGTAGAAGATGATTCAGATGATTCAGACGACAGTGTCACGTCGTGGGGAGATGGAGGAGACATCGATGCCCCTTACCAAGTCTATTTAGACAAGATACGTCATACCATAAACCATATCAACGCTATGCTCAAAGCAGAGCTGGATGAACCATTAAATCCATTTTTCGTTTCAGTACCATGACATGCTGGGGTGAAGAAGGAAAGACAATGATGTTCTGTCTATATACGAACTATCATCCAGCCGAGTGTTACGGTGCGCAGTTGCCTGACAGCGTCAAGGCAGCATGTAAAGACATTGCGACCGGTCCGGCTATGTGGCATGTCGATGGAGTTTCTTCTCACTGGGATTGGGATATACAAGATACCAAGTGGCCAGATGTAATGGTGAGTATGTTACTTTTGCACATTTATATATCCCCTTTTAGCCCTTTCTTTTTCTAGAAAATGGGATTGAACAACTTAGGGACAGTCTACTAAAGTGGGTCTGAAATTCGAAGACTTAAGTTTGACTTTGTGATCACAAATGGACAATACACTGGCACAACAAACGACTCTGAGATGATTTGATGCTTATAATGTGATTTCGAGCATGTATTCTCCCCTAAGTTTGCTGGAATGTGTAATCCAGAAACCTATATTCGGATATCGTGCTGAGTAAAAGTTTGTGGAACGTTCAAATCATACATGGTATTGTAGAAAATAATAGACAATCAAACCTCACACAACTTTATCACCTCGATTCCAGAGGTCTACATAAGATGCTCCGCCTGCACTATCTCTCCCAACAAGGGAGATGGCATAAACATGAAGGTCCTCCATTAAAGGCTTGTGCATCGCATTTTGGAGTTCTTCGGCTTCCGTCTGGCGAAAGTCAAAGAGGAGACGTGATGCAAGGACACTGTGCATAACGGCCTGCAACCTGTGAATGTGATGTGAGATGGCAACTGGGGGTGGTCTTTTGGAAAAGCGCACGTCAGGAGTGAATATATGTACGCAATCTGATGTAGGAGAATTGAGCAATGCATATTAGGAGGCATTAGGTAATGCTTACAGGCGCTACAATAGTAACGATGATATTAACCAGTGTCATCGCTAGAATACTAGATTATTAGTAACAACGTGGGGTGAAAGAAGTGCCTCACAGATGATACAGCTAATGTAAATCATCGCTTTGCGATAGACGGCCATGGTCATGGAACTGCATATGATCAAACACAGCAGGACTAGATACCCAAAGATATATGTAGTGACTCGACATAACACAAAGCGAAAGAAACTCACCAATCTCGAACAGCAATAAAAATCCATAAACCATTGCGTTCTTCCTGCTATTGGGATTTGCTTGAAGTGATTCCCAAATTCAGTTACAAGTCATATAGTGCGTGCGTCAGAGTAACCCACGGTAGACGGCCATAGCAGACCCCTCTTGGGCTGACACGAAGATAGCCAAGACGATTAAGATCTGTAGTAATGGATTAACTCAGTAGTAGCTCTTACTCGTCGTTACGCACCGCGGCAAATCCTAGAAGCCACGCAAGCAATCGTTTGCTACCATTCCAAAATCTATAGGTACGCTGAACAAGCAACCCTATGTCACATGTTCAGACTCGTCAGAGCGAATGCATTGCTTCTGAAAATGACCTTCTGCAGCAACAATTCCGAAGATGTGAATGACTGTTTGTGCGTCAGACAAGTCAGGCTACATGGTAGTGAATTTGAGGAGGTATCAGACTGACCGTATGAGGCAACAACATATATTTCACTTTGCAGCTGTGTTTGCAGCTGTGTTTGAGGATAAGCTGTCCATATACATATACATCAGAAAGGTATGAGATATATAGCAGGATGTATTTACAATGTACTGTCAAAATGGAACCTGCGAATGGCAGATAACGGGCGACTGTAAATAGAATGAGCGTGGCATTCCATCGTCCCCCCCAGATCCAGCACATCTATTTATGATCGTAGGGATCATTGTCAATTTAACAAGATATTTTTGTACTTACCTCAACGTCCAAAGTGATGCAATAGTCGTAGACCTGAACCCATGTCAGCATTCCGAGTAGTTAACAAACGGTAAGCCTCTCACCCAGAGTGCTAACCCAGCAACTGGTGAAACAGAGGGTAATGAGCTTTATTTGAATATCTACTTAGAGCACAGCACAAACCATTAAAATACTAGACAGAAGTAATGGTCGACTATTCCTTCTTGTCAGAATATTATTAGACTTTACTCACCAGGCTGACCTGCAAGCCTGCAAGGAACGATGTGGAAATCATGGACATCCTGCCAGTGCCTCACCTGGAGTCAGAGTGGATGCGAGTCCACCATTCCTTAGATCCTTTCATCTTATATGCGTCCTCCTGAGCGGTGTCCCCGTCCCCTCACTACCAAAATCATGTGATGTTGAGCTCCCATCGTAAGTTACAGAAAGATCGCCTTCTCGAGATGTGGTCGGTCTGTTATGGAGAAGATGGGGACCTTTTCTGATTGATGACTTGGTGACGGTACGTACATTACGATTGCTGAAAAAGGATTTGCCACAGATACCCGCTTTCTTTCTCACCATGACCGTGATACTGTACCTTGATGGGCTACTATGGATTAAACGTTCGATCGCATGGCGCTTACTGAAACCAGGCCTTGAACGAGATCAGTTAGCACTCCATAGGACTCATCTGAACACGCCAGTTGCGCCCACAAGGACGACGTCGCGAGGAAACTTGCGGAGAAAAGAAAAGAGGCAGATCAAAATTACATACAAGGAGGCAACCACAACATTGTGATTTCACGAAGCCAAACACAAGTACTTGCATCACGCATCATGTACACTGCCAAAGTCTCATCTTATCCGTGTGACCTATGGTTCACAATCAAGTAAGTACTCGATTGCGTGTAGGACGAACGATGCGGTCGGATTCTTATCTATGAAGCCGGTTGGGATGCAAACGTATCGCGTTTTCCAACCCCAGTAAGCATTGACCTTCATTCCCGCTCGTAGTAACCTCCATCGCTCTATCGACGCGTCGCCCACTCACACGCTGAAGCAGCCCAACGTTATATCCTTACTAATTAGACTTCGAAGGTTAGATGTATGCGCAAAAAGGATCGTCACTCGCTGTGAGCGTGAACCAGAGTAATTGCGGTCAAGGTCTCCAGGGAATCGTGGATTTCTTGCGTTTCCATTTTACACATTATAATCTCTGGTGAGAAAATTATAACTTAATAATCACATTACATAATGATATGACAAGGCATTACACCGTATGTTCGGTGTATGGCCTTGGCCTTATAAAACCTTACCACAAAATCCAGATTTCATTGATGCTTCGTACAGTCTCTTTCTATTCTCAGCAAATTCGCGACCTTGCGGCGATAGTGTTCGCGCCTCAGTGTCAGAGGCTTTGGATTGAACTCAGCCGTCGCGCCATGTTCATTGAAAGAAAGAAGAGGGACACAACTGAAAGCACTGCTACTTGGAATTCAGTCGGTGAATATTCAGATATAGCATTACGACCATTTATTGGGTCATTTTCACTTTGTTTTGCGCGGTTCGTTCTCTTTAGGATCCTCGTTGAGAACACAATCTACACCTCATTTCGGAACTTCATGTCTACACGTTATTCAAGGTACGTTGCATATCGTTATTTGTATACACATTATTCATAAGTCCATAGGTAACAAAAGTAGGGATTAGCGAACTAGAACTGGAAGGGGATGTCAAGTAAAACCGAAAACACTACTCAAGGAAAGTAGGGATATATGCATATCAGTCTATGTGGCGAACTCGAAGTGCCAAATCTCAAATAATTACGAATCCCCAAACTCAGCGACACTCCTAAGCAGAAAGGACGAGGGCATACGACAGACCGTTCTTCCACGGTGCATCCTTGGACTCCTCACCTGTTCGAGGGACGTGCTCCCACGGTTCGTTGGGCTCCATGTCCGAGCTCGACTCGTCGATTTCGTCGAGTACGATGACGGGACGCACGCGCGGTATAACTTCATATTCTGTGTCTGTGTGGGAGTGAAGTGTTAGGTATGAGTAAGAAAAGGTGCAATGAGATAAAAGCAGAGGACATACCCTTAGTCCTTGACGCCTTCTTACGCTTGGTGGACAGTAGAGAGGACAGTGAAACCTCTGACAGCGAGCTGACAGGGCTGTGTGCATTCTGGGACGACCTCAGTGATGCGTCAATGGCAAGCTCCATTGTGTAGTCCATACTACCGTCCACATCTGCGTCCACGTCATCGAGGCCCCTGCCCTTGAAGTTGCGACGTCCCTGCTTTACCCCGCCTCCACCCGTGCCACGTCGACTAGGCATCAGGATTCCGGCAGCCTTAAACAGAGCGCTTCGCTCCTTGCGTTCCTTCTTTCTCGATAGCTCTACAGTCTTATGAGCATGGACCCGAGCAAGGTTATGAGCACGCAGGTCTTTCGACAGTGAGTCAACGAGGGTGGGAGTGTCTATCGGTGATGTGGTGGACGTGGTGGGTGAAGATAGAGGTTGGGTTGAAGGAGACATGAAGGAGTATTAGGGTGGGGGAATGTTTTATACTGAAGGTACTGGGAGGATGGTACAGTGGAACGGGGCCTGAGGAAGATAAGCCGGGAGAGCATTGGAATGGAGCTGTTATAAGTGGAACTAAAAGGCACAGTGCTAGTCACACTGACTGACACAGGTAACTAGTCACTAAAGGTCAATAAGCCGAGCGCCCTCGGAATGGAAGTCGCACCCGAGATAAGACAGAAAAGGAAATAATACATTTATTGCGCGATGTTGACGCGTTGTTTGGTTGTTACGCCGCAATCGTACCTTAACTTATCGCGACTCTCGAAGCAACTCAGTAGGGACTGCCCGCTCTGCAAATCCCTTCTGACTTGCATGCGTAGTGCTAGAACTCTCGAGTGGATCGCTGGTCGCAACTATTACTATTAGAGAAGTATCAAGGGACACGAATTGGGGGCTTTGTACTTCACACGTTTGCTCCTCGTAGGGGTAGGACTTGACTAGCTCCGCTCCCAGGGCAGTTAGGGTGTCTTTCAGAGCAAAATGCAAAAATTTTATACGATAACTTGTCGCCTTACCAGCGCTCATCCATCGGATGAATCTGGCCACCAAGCACGTATCAAACGAATCCTGTACTGTTACAATGACGAGGCTCAGGTATTGTTTCTGCTATCACATATTGTCTCTACCAAATACATGGATGCAGAAGAGTGCAAAGTTAAGTTCATGATAGTGCAGAGTTGGTAATATTATTCGCGATATGAAGGCGGCCATCGCAAGATGTTTGTGTTTGGTAACGTGGTGAAACGTTGATTCTGAATCCCATGCATAAATAACTATGTGTATCTTGGTTGTTCGCATAAATCGTCTTTGCTTGCTAAAAATAAGAGCGATACCCAATATTGGTCTTACATTGCTGTAGAGGGCTGATCAAGGTAGCAAAGCACGGTCTGCTACCTCTTCAAAGAGCCGACATCTCGCATAATGTGCACTGATCGCAGCTTGGATGTCCCTTCGCAAAGCGGATGTGATGATGGCGCCCCCACAGAGATAGCAGAAATGGGTGTTGCAGCCGGGTGACATGCACTTCATAGGAAAGAAAATAATAGGTGTTTAGACGCTTTCTAGGCTGAGGGAATGAAAATTTGAGTAAACGTACGGTCATATGATTACACCCCATTTCTTTCTGAATTGGCGTCTTACAACCTGGTGATAGTGACTATAGTCAGTATATGAAATAGGGTGGTGAAAAAGCTTTACTGACTAGGACAATATTTCCATCCTCTTTGTTTCATCAGATGGTCCAGTTCCGAAGATCCATCACACGAATGCTTAGCACCTCCTATGACCACTGATTGCTGGCATGCCTTGCACCAGATATAGTTGCAGTCTGGGAGAGGACAAGGAAGAAGTGTGGTGTCCTCGAGGTCTTGCCTGTCCACATATGCCGAACCTTTACATCTAAAATCAAAATCAAGTTTATTAAGATGAATGGAAGATATGGGGTACAAGGTGCGAGATACGAACTTGCGGCAGTGAACAAGCACAGAAAACTGGCTCATCTGTAGTTCAACCCAGATATCGAATTGCTGGTTTGTGATGCCGCTTTGTTGGACAGTTATGTCTGTGATTGCTGTTTTGTGTGGTGAGTAATCAAGCCATAAGGGTAATGAAAGTACAATCCACTGACTTCCAGGATTACCCTTATGATCGTCTGCCATGCACATAGGACACAAAATTGGAAACCGATGTTCTTCGAGCTTCGAGCTCACATAGTCCTTCGTACATGTTCTGCATAGGGCGTGGTCGCAAAATTCGAGGCGAACGATGTTTTCTTCGGAATACTCTTCCAAACATATACTACAAAGAAACTGACGTGCTGAAGCAGATTGTATCTGTGATGCAAATTCTTCCCTTTGAATGCGGAGAAGTTTATCTTCTTCGTCAAACCGTTGCTGCATTTGTACCGCTGTGGCATCAGAGAATTTGAAATTTGTTGAATCAGATCCGTATATCATGTCAATTTGCACTTGCTCTGCGAGTTTTTCGTCGCTGCGGGTGTTTGGATTGGCAGACGAGTGTGGAGATCGATGGTAGGAGTCAGAATGCTCGCGTGAAGGACCCGCTGCTGCATTTCGATCCCGTGGAGAATATGGCTGCGTTGTGCGAGGTGTTTCTGCATGATGGTGTCCTCTAGCCGATTGACGCAGTCTTTGACGCTCTTCGCGACGTTCTTCTATCTGCTCCAGCTCAACCTCAAGCCGCTGATTTTCAGACGTTAGTGTCGAATTCTGAAACCTCAGGTCCGCGACTTCAGCACGAAGGGCCAGTATCGCGAGGCTTGACTCTAGAACCACCTGCATCGCATATTCAGCGTTTCCTGTGGGTCCTGTCAAGCCCGGGCCCGCCACGAAAATATGGCCTGAGCAGTTCGCAAGCAACTGTGCTTGCCAGTGTAGCTCGCCATGCTCCAGCAGGCGGTTGTCGAATGGTAGAATATCGGCTAGTTTGGCGGCGGCGGATGAGAGCGAGGCGTTGAAAGTGAGACCTGCACCCTTGGGGTGGGCAGGTCGCGGGTGAGAGTCAAAGATGAGGAAGAGGTCTTTAACCGACGTGGCGAGTTTGAGACATCCAATTATCTCTGGAGGACGTGTTATGACGGCTATCGCAGAGGATGCAGTGGTTTCCAGCTCGCTATATGGGCCGATCGATCAATATGATCGGTGCAATCCCGTGTATGCGCGGACTCACCGTAGTAACTCGGTAAAATAATCAATTCCAGGACGGCCATATTTTGTCGAAAGTGACCTGAGAGTCTTATCAAACAAGGGAATGGTAGATATGTCCTCGACTTCGAGGTGCGAGTCGCTAGTCCAACCTGCACAGATGGATGTAACATCCTGAATGCCACATCGTGAGAACCATATCGTCAGAGAAAAACGATGCAAAACAACTCGCATGTACTGCAACCACATGTAGAGGCTACATCCTGAAATGACTTACCATGAAGAATCTCTTGCTAGTGATAATCTGCAGCATATCCTCGTTCTGCGCACCATATTTCTCCTGTTCGAAGACTAACCTCGCAAAGTTGAGTACCGCTAAGCCACACGCTGATGTCCCCGCGCCCTGGGCACCATTGGCGAATTGACTAGTTCCAGGATGCGAAACTACGCGTTCGGATCCGAGAAGGATGTTGCGCGCGAGAGCACCATCAATGCCTTTCGAGCTGGTGTGGGGCATAGCGACTGTGAATGGCGTGTACGTATTTGGAGGGAAGGTGGGTTAAATTGGCGATAACAGGAAGCAAAACAAGGTTTCGAGCACGTTCTCAAATTCTGCCCAGTGCCCTACAATGTCTATATGTGGTGGATCAGTTACAGAGAGAAGTGATGCCAGAACGTGCTGACTCGGAGGATCGTAATGCACTCGTGCGACTCGGACCCCCTGCCTAGTATCTTACTATAAAGGGCATACCCAACAATGAACTTTCATCGCGACAAAGATTTTTCTTCCCTCCTCATCCCCTCTCCTTCACCATGGAGAATACGAATATTCCAATAAACCTTTTCACAGACCAATCTGAAGTTACGTCCATGATGGTGGACGGTGACGGTAATAACAATGATGGGCGCCAACAATCGCAGAATGGTTAGTCTGTCCTATGTAGACTGCCAGTTGCTTTACATCCTGACTTACATTTTGGATAGCAGAAAACATGTTGGCCGGAGATGCCGGTGTACAAGGCAGTACGTCAACATCTCAAGACGGTCTTACAGGGAAAAACATGGATTACTTACCTGCCATTCCTCCTCCACAATTAGATTACAATAGTGTCAGTGGGCCTACACCAAAGACCGGTATCCGTAAGATTCCTTCGTAAACACGTATTCCACTATTGAACACAGTTGCAGAACATGCGAATGTGACTGGACAAGATCGTGTACGCGACGCTATATCCACTAGCAACGAATATCGGAAAGGTGATCTTTCGGACGAAACACCGGGTCATCCCACTGCTTCGCAGTCAAAATCGAACAATGTCGACGGTCATAAGATAGTGACTGATGATGACGACGGTTCCGATGATGATCTTTACGCTGAGGTGGATCAAAAAGTTATCGTAAGTAATGTACCGTTCTATGGTAAAGTATGTCTATGTCTGACCTATGGCTAAGAGTATGGATGTGGATACAAATACGTCGAATCGTAAGTACAATTTTCCGTAAAACACATCTGCGCTTTTATTCGGTAATGTAAACAGATGCGGGTGGTTTGTTGCACAACACTGTTGCTGCTGAAAACAAGGGCTCCGAAGTATTCGTCAACCTAGATATGTCATTTTCGATCAAGGGAATGTATCGCGTGCTCGATCTTATCACTGAACAGGGCAGTGGTGGTTTGGGTAGGGTTACGCTCTTAACTCTATAGCAAGATAAAATAAAGTAGAGCTCATGATTTGTATAGTGGACAAGATTATCATCGCACAAGATTCTCTGCAAGCCTTTGTCAACACTATAAGCCCTGGCGCATATATCTCTCTTACAAAGGTTAACTTCAAAGTATTAGACAATTTCGTAGTCAAACCCATCGGCGTTTATGGTAGTAGAGAAGAAATTGTTCGGTTCTTGTTTTCTATAGAAGCCATCGACAACGCGATGTGAGTACCTTTTACTCAAGAAAACAGATGCTGAATATGGGCACAGAGCACAGAAGCTTCTGGAAAGAGAAGATGTTTCCAAGCCGGTGTTGCGATCTGGTCTTTACTTTGTCAAACCGTCAAACGGCATGACAACTGACAACCAACTATATGTTATTTATTGGCCGGAAGAGACAACGTGGGATGACTCTGCAATGTCGTCAGTCCGCCGCAATCGCGTGACATTCTTGAGGTATGCTCTTTCTTATATCCACATCAATGATACTGAGATCGTGGTAGATATCTTACGAAAATATGCGATCAGGTGACAGCATTGATTTCACCTGAACATGCGCAACACATCGTGTGGGGTGAAGACAAAAAAGAGGACAGTTCTATGGACGTCGACCAGGACGACTCTGATCGGTTGTTCTCATTCGAGGTGGCACAGACTAACGAGCAGGAGGAATCGGTGAAGGTCAGACCTGGGTTTGAGGTATGTATTGATGTTACATTTTTCCGATCCTTGGTCTAAGTATATGCGCAAGTTGTTATCGAGAAATATCCGGGTCAATGAGCCTCCCATTGATAGTGCCATCAGTCCATTGTCATTCAAACCTTGGCTGATAAATGGCGAAACCACTCAAGGGTTCATGACCTTAACTTACCAAAGTGCTATACGTGATACCGAGCATTTTTTCTCACGTAGATTCAATGGAGTACGGTTGAGTGACATGATGTGCGCACTTGAAACTTCGTAACCATGCGGTGCTTCGTTCTGACTACTTTTTGTCTTCGTTTAGGAAAACCGACGCCATTATCATCAACGAGAACATTGATGTCGTATCTTTGAACTTGCTTGTAACATTGGTCTTAAACCGCCGTTTTCCCGAAGAATACAAACGTTGGTCGCAGTTCAGAGATGATATACACAAGTCAAACGAAAAGGATGTGCAAGATCAATCCGTACAGATTGACGAGAAGCTCCAACAAGGATCGGTACAGATGGGGAGAATATTACATGAGGTCATCGTAGACGCAGTAATCGACAGGTTCCCGTGAGCACAACCAAAACTTCTAAACTCATGTCATACACACGCTTCTTTCCATAGGACCATGGATCGTGATCGCCTGTCAAACGCGGTAGACGAGAATGGATTAGCGAGTGATCAGCCCATCAGTAAGGAATAGGCCAGCAATTCTTCCTTGACTTTATCTGAAGAGGATTGCAGAAAGTTTTGCCGACATCGTTACGTTTTATCCCAAGGTCGGCGACATCGTAAACAAAATGTTGCAGGACGCCGACTTGTCTGCCATAAAAAATGCCGCATTCAAAACTCAAAAGGAACGATTGATTCTCGTCCAAATGTTGCTAACCCGTTATTGTAAAGATCTGGACGAGGCCAAGTGCCGCCAGTTGGTCGATCTTGTGACTAGTGAAAAGGATTTACATCGAGTTGGATCAGCTCTTGCAGCGTCAGGCAAAGACATAGACAAGCCGAAGGGTATTCTTGAGAGTGTCCGATCGTTTTTTTTTCTCGGTGATAGTCATCAAGCCGAGGTGCAAGGTATAATCAAGGAAGCACAGGGTGCTGCTGCTTGTATTCCCGATCCTGATTTTCTCTCAACTGTGGATGGGCTTATTTCCTCCCACCCTTTTCTTCTAGACGTTGCAACTCATGTGCGAGAGTTAGCGCACAGTCAGCTTAAAGCAGCTATTGAACGGCATAGTAAAAAGCTCAAATACAGGGTGCTCTCAGTACAGGTGGACGACCACAAGCGGCAATATCGTCAAGAGGCTGCCAGCCGCGAAGAGAACGACCAGCGCAAAGTGCGCCTTGACTTCATTTGCCAAATCAATAAACTCTCTCGATCTGGGACGCATACGTATGTCAGGCCATCCACCAAAAATAAAATACTTAGCGTGCCTGTGTTGCCTGCTTTTAGGTGCACTCTGTCGGTGGACTCGGTTCAAGAAGTTTCAGGAGGAACATATGGATATTCAAGTAAGTAGGTCTGATAAACTTATGAACTCATTTTCTCACAGACAAACAGAAGGTTATGAATTGACTGGTACACGTGAAACACTTAAGGAACCCTTTCACAAGTATACGTTCCACGTTTTAGATTTGACTTCAGAAGATAAGCATAACTTGCAAATGGATCCATATTTTATCCCTTCGCCTCGTGATAGGTTTTTACATAGTTTCCAGCTCCCTATTGGCTTCCATATCGAGTGAGCTGATTCTCACAACCTCGTGCATCAGGCATCATCTAACTTTCCTTTAGGTACGCTCAGCTTCTTGACAATGAAAGGATACTTCTAGTCATATCCGATCGTCTCCAAAATCTGCATATATATCTTGAGAAATTCAATAACATCGACGGAGCGATTAGCAGAGCCAGGAGCAAGAATCTAAACCGCGACAAAATTGGGCAGACATTTGTACTAGCTTTCGACGAGGCAAAGGGTCTCCTTGGTGTCTGTGCGTCTGAAAAGGTTAGCGGTTTTGAAACAACCTGCCGTCTCTCGGTACTAAACAAATCCAAGCTTCAACTGCACATGTTCCAATACGAAGAATCGCGTGGAACGTTTCAAGCCTTAGGGAGTGCAATTAACCTTCTTCCATGGTATAACAACGAAGTTTCCATATGTCATGCTTGTTTCGTCTCTGGGAGCGAGGAGTTGCTTCTCATCGACTCCCTTGCTCAAGCGAGGGTATTTTCTTTAATTACAATGCAATTCAGGTGAGGAAGAACAAAGAAGCTGAGTTGATTCTCCTAACTAATTATTACTGCCGTAACTAGACCGGCCTCATTGAGTCTCCCAAGCGTTCCAGCTTCAATTTATTCCTCTCCGGATGGGTCATGCTTGCTTGTCTCGCAAAACGAGGGATCTTCATCATCTATCACTGCGTATCACTGGAACTCTTTTGGGTCCACTGAAGGCATCCCCTTAGAAAATATAGACCTCAAGGCGGATACCAAAATGGTATTGACATCTTTAGGCAGCAGAAATGCCATCCATTTGGTGATGCTGGACGACATTACTCACCGCTGCTGGTCACATGCTCTCATTATCACTCGAAAGATCACAGAGTTCATGTTCAAGGAGAGAGGTAGTAGAGCCCCATCCGAAGACACAATCAAGCGGACGGCACACAGCTGTCTAATTGATTGTCATGCTGAAGTCTGGACACGTTTTCCTGTGATTCCGGCAGTTCAACGAGAAACTATCTCGACTTCTAGCAAGAGATGCCAAAAGACACTGCTTTTTGTTGCTGATCGTGACCATGAACGTTTCTCGCCCCACTTCTCCGATATGATAATCACATTTGAACGGACCACAAGGAAGCCAACTGGAGATCGACTGAAAACTATCATCGTGTCATCCATGCTGTCCAGTACATTTTATGACGAGCTGTCTCAGGGCATAAAGGGGGAATTTTCTCAGTTTCGAGCGGGAGAGTGGCTCGTCGATTTACTCTGCCTCATTCCCATTCACCTTGCGATCACCAAGGAGAATAGATTTGTCCCTCTTAAAGACGGGGTTTCTTCTGTAGAATTGGAGAAGTCTTTGTTGGGCGCTGAAGTCGGCAGGATTGTTGACGCCTTGTCATTTGGGTGGTACGAGTCGATTTTCGCATCGTATATGGTATCAAAGGTGAGTTTCTCTCCTTTATGGAATATAGCTACATTATGGAACCGACAACTTGACCTATCAAGCCTGTGAAAGTTGTTTCTTCCATGGGCGAGCAGTCAGTTGGAAAGAGTTTTGCACTCAATCACCTTGTCGATACGTCGTTTGCCGGATCAGCTATGCGCACTACGGAAGGTGTTTGGATGTCGGTTACGCCTACGGAGGAAGCCCTAATTGTGGCTCTTGATTTTGAGGGTAAGTGCTTTGCCCTTAGTATCCACTTGTTTCCATTCGTATGGCGGTTTTTAGGTGTGCATAGTATTGAACGTTCTGCACAAGAAGACACACTGCTCGTTCTTTTCAACACTGCAATATCGAACCTGGTTTGTCATCCTGTTGGCAAATTGCATATTTTCCATGTTAATGAGTTTTCCAAGGTTCTCTTCCGAAATAACTTTGCCCTTAGTAGAGACATTACTGGTCTTTTCCATTCCTTTCAATCCAGCTCTACAGTTCTGGATCCAGCAGCAAATCCGACGTTGTTTCAATCAACATTAGTTATAATTATCAAGGTAAGAATGATGATTGTGTATTTGGAAATGAGCATTCACACTGTATACAGGATGTGGTCGACTCTGATAAAGCAGAGATTGCTCGCGAGTAAGATCGCTCAGATATAAGACTCTATTAATTCTGATGGCGTTCAGATTCTCACTCAAATTCCAAAAAATTGTCCAGCAAGAACAAGGAGCAAATTTTATATCGCGATTGCACGCCGGAAAACTTAATATCATTCCCTGGTTTGTGTGTTCTATCAGTGATCGTTTCCATTGTATGACGATGATATTCACAGGCCGGTGATCGAGTCCAAAGAGTTTTATAAGCTTTTTCCGATGGTCAAAAAAGGATTGGATCGACAAGTTATCACCCATAATACAGCTGGCGAATTTCTACATACGATCAAGACACTGATGGCGAAACTGAAGGTTGGTTACATTTTGTGTAACGTTCGTGTCTTACTGACCATATACAGGCCAACGATTGGGGCGCCCTGTCTCGTACGTCTCTTTAACTAGTTACTCAGAAAACTTATCGTTACTGGATACTAATACTGTTATAGAAACGATGGCTGCTCATCGTGCCCAGGTGCTATTGACGCTTCTTCCCAATGCTCTAGCTTTTGGGTTTACAGAAATTGAACCTGAATGCGAGCCGCTCAAGGTTTGGGTTCATCTTTGCTATATTACATTAGCTGACCATCGTTACAGAACATGGATACCGACATGCTTGTTAATAAACCTGATACTACTTCCCAATTCTTATTGGCGACGGTCGGGGAGCTGCAAAACTCTGAACGGGAAAGGGCATTGTCTACATTACGAATTAAATGGGATCGGCACTCAAATCGTCAACTAATCCTAGACACCGATTGGGCAGAAGCACTCTCTAAGCATCTAGAGCATCTCGTAAATATGCGCATCGACCATGTGCAGGAGTGGATTGCTTCCAATATCTCTCGATTTCAAGCTGGACATGCAAACATTGAAAATCTACGCAGAGTCTTCGAGAGCGCTGCTGTAGATCTCAAGGCCAGTATACAACTCTGCAAGATGCAGTGCGCATCTTGCCACTTGCTATGTGTACAGAGTCGCCTGCATGATGGACATCATGACTGTCAAACCAATCATCATTGTATCAACTTTTGTGATTTCTGCGACGAAGCGTCTGTAGAGCAAAAGAACTGCACCATGTCGTGAGTCCTGACGTCAATGTTGATGGTCCTATTCTAACATAGTGATATATATTTTTCTAATGACCAGTGCCGGTCATCCTGGTAAACATATGTCTGTATACTCCTTCTGAGATCGCAATATTTGGCTAATATGGCACATTCATTCTACCCAGATGTGTTGTCAATGCTCATCTGTGCGGGGAACCATGTAAGCTTATGGGGAAACAAGGGTGCTTAGAAGAGTGCACACGGGTTGGTATTAACTTCATCGGACACTGCAAACGCTCATCCCCGAATAGGTCATTGATCATACTGAAGAAGATCACATATGTGCTGCACCTGTTCACGCTTGTGGCGAAGTGAGTTGCCTTATCACTCTCAGTTTTCACTTCTCATGGTTTCATATATTCCAGCCCTGTGTTTTGTCTGACGTGAGGTTAGCTGATGGAACCAGATATTCGTGCAAAGGTACATGTGGAATATCCAGGTATTGATTTCTATCCTATGCAATGATACAACCGTTCTGATCAATTCAATTGGACAGTGACGTGGATCATGTACAGCATGTGTGCGACGCTCGGCTTTGTCCTGTCTCATGTCAGCTATGTAAACGATTGTGTTCTGATAACAATCATCTTCATGGGCTTGAACGTGGAGCAATTCATCTTTGTGGGTACGTCGGCGTCTCGCGGGGAAATTTGAATGACACTTCTAATTTGGCTCGGATTTATAGGCAGGAACATTCCTGCACATCTCTTTGCTCTGCATCTGGTATATGTGAAATTGATACGGCACCTCACTCCATCGAGGCCACTTTCACAGGTAAACATGAAACCTTCCAATATACCAAGGTAAATAAATAACCTGGTCAGTGTTATTCCCTATCTACTAACTATGAACAATGGCTGGCTATTTCCAGTACTCTCAGGGTATGTTGAACGGTATACGCTGTCTAGTGAATATTTAATTTACGCTCCCTTCCTACCGCGTAGTTGCGAAACGATTGAGATGCATTAAGCCCATACCGCCAGGCGTAACAGAACATACAGGGCCACACTCTCATAGTCTTGATAAGGGAATCATCCACTTTTGTGAGGTCAGGTTGGTTTGTCCCGGCCATTCCAAATTTATGAAAGGTTAATCCATGTTATACGTGCTATAGGTGTGATAACTGTGGTTATTTCTGTACATTGCCTCTAGGTGAGTATGGCCGTAAACAGTCATGTCGACTCATTGTCAATATTTCTCCAGGACATCCACAGCAGGAACACGAGACGCGCCATGGATCAATGTCACAAGCCCGCTGGGCTGTTGAAGGCCCCGACGATACAAGTCTCGAACTTGAAGGGCGTAAATTTTCTTCCAACGATGACGGCGCTCCAATGATGTGCAACCTCGTCTGTCAAACCATGGGCAGGCATGTACACATCGACTACTGCCGTGGTGATGTTACAACCCCTTGTGGCGGAAATGCTGAAATGCAGCACATCCCTGCAAGAATGATTCCTTACCCCAATCGCCCTAAAGATGTGATAACTCATAGTTTGCACTGGAGAAGAAGCGGTAAGTCCCTTGTGGACCTGATTGTACCGGAATTGACTCATGTGCAATTTAGGTTTTAAGGGTGACTTGGAATGAACCTCCTTTTTTAATTTCATACTGATTCCGCGCATGTCTTTATAGATCCTTATTCTCGGGACGATCAAACAAATTTTGCGAAGTGGTACGTGGAAGATTAACTTATTGATGCATAGCTTTATAACATAAGCACACTCTAGTGATGCGATGTGTGGAGGTGAAATCAGATCACCTTTTCCATGCAGCGGAGCCTTATCTTGTCTATTTTTTTCGTTCTAGGACAGGAACATTCTGCCACTGCAGGCGGTGCATCGCAGCCATCCTATTGCACTTTGGCTATGTTCCATCCACCAGCGGATCCAAATACCACACCCGCTGGTTTGGGGTATGTGTCCAGTGATGGCCACCTCTTTTCATGCAGGAATCCTGTTGTTATGCAACAAGCATTCCATGTGTAAGTTTGTCGATTTCTGCCCACCATAACCATTCTGAGGGTTTATCCTCGTAAAGAATATTTGTAATTGACAGGTTCGTACATCATAGTATGCAAGGAAAAAAAACTTTTAATCATGCTTGGAAAGATCGGGTTCCATGGGCGCTACTGATCGACGGCCACTAGCAAATGCTCCGGCCTCCAACAGAATTACGCAACGGGCGAATAATAGGTTAGGTGCAGTATATTCCTCCTTGCATAGCTTCTGGTCTGCACGCGAAGCAGCTGTCACCCGAGGTCAACAAATAGCAGCTCGCCGAGATTCGTACAGCGTCATCTTGTTTGATCATACAATGACGGTCGGCGTCGTCAATGACTTCACTAGTTCCCCAGACCAACTTCTCGATACCGTATTGCAGTACAGAGCGAATGGTGGTACAAACTACACTGCAGCTATCCAACAGGCACAGGCGGTCATTGAGCAAAACTGGAGCACAGAACGGTATGTTACGGCGCATAAACTAGAGGTCGCGTACTCATCGACAATAGGACTCCTGTTGTGATTTTCCTTTCTGATGGCGAATGCAGTATTTCAGATGTAACTGTTCAGGACTTGTGTCGCTCAGCTGTTCGGCTTGGGCATGTTTACGTTCTTTTTCAAAGAGTCCTAAATATTCTAATGTTATATGTAGCAAACCCCTCTCTTTCCACGCCGTATCTTTCGGACCAGACTCCAGGTCTGCCTCGCTGCGTAGGATGGCACAGATTGCGCTCGACGTACAGAACAATGCTCCTAGAGACACCCTCGCTCCAGCTGCAGCGACAGTATTGTCTACTTATGCTCAAGCTCTCGATTCTGTATGCTTTGTTTCTGATATTGTTGTCGAATTTAGTGACATTTTTCTTTTGCAGGTTCAGCTCGCAGAAACATTCCTTGGAATAGCGGAGTCCCTTCGAAAGCCAAGAGGCTCTTTGTTGCGATGAATGACTTACCTTCTGCATATTGAATGTCCAATTGTTGGGTATCGATGACTTCAAGTTAAACTTGTTTTGTGTTTGTAACCATTGTGCATCTGTGAATCTAATAAAGATAGCATTGTTTTACTGATGATACAACAACATTACTGCAGGTCTACTTCAACATGCCCTAACCTAAGATATCACTTTACATATTTATTTTTTGAGCAATGCAGGGGGCGTCAATCCTGCAGAAAGGCCTTTTCCTCCTGCAAAAGTGGCACCGGTGTCCTTGATCTCATCCCTGCATCAATATTTAGTACGCAGGCAGGTTAAGAAGAAGAACAGATAACGTACTCAATACGCAACAAAGTGTTGTACTTCGCGACACGTTCACTTCGAGCGGGAGCACCAGTCTTGATTTGACCGACGCCGAGAGCAACGGACAGATCTGCAATAATAGTGTTTTCCGTCTCACCACTACGGTGGGAGATCATGACACCCCATCCATCAGATTGTGCGAGCTGTGCACTACAAGACAGAAACACGTCAGAACTTCAACTTCTGACAGCAATATCGCCTATTGCGCAACTTACGCTTGGATAGATTCGGAGATGGTACCGATTTGGTTGACCTAAGATGGTGAAGTAACGTAAGTACCCATGTCGATAACATGCATTAAAAGCTTTAATACTCGCCTTCAACAACAGGCCATTGCATGCCTTCTTCTCGATGGCAGTCTTGATACGCAGAGGGTTGGTCACAGTCAGATCATCACCGACAATCTGGATACCACTCTGCTTCGTGAAATGAGTCCAAGCTTCCCAGTCATCCTGGTCAAAGGGGTCCTCAATGGACACAATGGGGTATTTCTTGACGTAGCTAAGGTACAAGTCTGCAAGCTCAACACCAGAGATCCACTTGGTGGGGTCTGAGTTGGGGTTCTTAAAGTCCAAGTCGTACTTGCCCTCCTTGTAGAATTCTGAGGAAGCGACATCAAGTGCAATCTTGATCTTGCCCTCATAGCCAGCTTTCTTGATGGCCTCGGACAGGAGCTCTAGCGACTCATCAGCGCCCGAAACGTTGGGTGCGAAACCTCCTTCATCTCCGACGTTAACGGCTATTAAGACACAGGAAAACATTGCCATTCAATCGCAAAAACAAATAGAAACACGCGTTTTCCTTACCATCGATGCCGTATTTGGCGCTGATGACCTTCTTGAGAGTGTGGTAGGTTTCTGTGCCGATCTTCATGGCCTCGGTGAACGAGGTAGCACCAGTAGGGAGGAGCATGAACTCCTGGAATGCGAGTTTGTTGCCTGCATGCGAGCCACCGTTGATGACGTTGAATGCGGGGCAAGGGAGGACATATGGGGGCTTGACGCCCGCGAGTTCGGCGAGGTGCTGGTAAAGAGGCACTCCCTTCTCAGCGGCAGCAGCCTCTGAGACGGCGATGGAGACACCAAGGATGGCGTTAGCACCGAGCTTTCCCTTGTTGGGGGTACCATCAAGCTTGATGAGGAAGTCGTCGATCTCTTTCTGGGACGTGACTTTGAGCTCGGACTTGATGAGTTCGGGAGCGATGATGTCGTTCACGTTGGCTACTGCCTTGGATACACCTGGGATAGAGTGAGTTAGGGTGTGCGATGACGATTATAAAAGGGCGTGGAAAGATGGCGCACCCTTTCCGACATAGTTGGCCTTGTCACCGTCACGAAGCTCGACTGCTTCGTGAATACCAGTGGAAGCACCGGATGGAACGGCAGCTCGGAAGCGGCCTGAGACACGAAACCAATGTGAATGTCAGCTTATCGGAATATAATTTTCTTTGAATATAGATGCTGATTAAAAGGTACCTTTTGCGGTGAACAGATCGACTTCGACGGTAGGGTTACCGCGCGAGTCAAAGATCTACTCGACATTATCGTTAGCACTCACGTAGTAATGAGATCGGTGAGGGGGGAAATGAATACCTGGCGAGCGTGAATTTTAGTGATGGACATGGTGGAAAAGAGAGAAGATGTGAAGGGAACCTTGTCGATGGCGTCCGTTCTTGATTCAAGGCTTTTGGGCCGCATAAAGACATTCCCACGCTGATTATCTCCACCCACTCGTCGGCCTTGCGCTCTCAACTCTTTATCGTCAGCGGACATGACCCCGACATGCTCGCACGTTGTTTCGGACACGTTTTCTGCACTTGCCTATGCTCTTGCTATAAACATGGTCGAGATGTAGACGTTCAGATAAGATAGTGGGAAGTTATTTAAAAGGGTCAAGTCGTGTAAGAATCATGAATATCCTTATTGGTCCCAGTACAGCTGATCTGGGTCTGGACAGAGAACTGAACCTGGTTCATTTCGTTACAGGTCACCACCACATGTCAATTACCGTACTTTTGGACTAAAAGTCGAAATGTCTAAGTCAATTAATTTTGCGACAGGTAAGTTACAGGTTGTTTTTACCTCTAGTATCCAGCGCCATTACCGTCCGATCATAAATAGTACTTGATCAAAGTTCTTTCACGCCACTACTACCACATATCTTTCCAGGTTCAGGACACCATGAAAGCACTGTTCACAAGTGGAGACGGAGGGTTTGAAATCAACGATATTGCCTTACCAGAACCAGATCCTGATGAGATTCTGGTCAAGGTTCATTCTGTGATGCAGAACCCTACTGATTGCATGAACCCTTGTTTCACCACCATCTCATGCATTGTGTTTACACTTCTGCATGGTAGGAAGGGGGTGCAATCGGCGGCGTTGCAATACCGTTGGCTGTGATTGTTCGGGGACTGTCGTAGCACTCGGCGAAAATGTGCCCCACGGTGCTAGGAAGAGTCTCTGGGGCTGTACATGGAGGTTAGTTATTGCGGACCCTAATCAGACTATGTGCTACTTCGTCACAGGCATAGGTCCCAATGGAGCTTTCGCTGAGCACGTGGTCGTCTCAGCAGAGCTTGTCATCATCATACCAGACACAATGTCGTTCCAAAACGCTGCTCAGCTAGGTGTCGCATGCTTCACATCGTGCCACAGTCTCAAACTTCCAAGCTCTCTTGAGCCCATTACTTACATATATTTCGATACCTTGAACTCAACAAGGTCATAACAAGGTAACTTCAATCTTACACAATGCACTGTGAGCTAGATGATGCATCTATAATATATATATCCCCATCTTAACCATTATAATCTAGTTATTGTAGACGACTCGGTGCTCTTCTCGAGCGTCGTCGTCAAGACGAGTAAATAGCTAGATAATCTTACATATCGGCCGTCGTCGCCGATCCGTTCAAAGCTTCGCCAGGCTTCTCGGGGGCCTTCATCAACCCAAGGTTCCCCCTCTCTACTTTGGCCACATAACCAAGCAGAGGGTGTCTGCTCATGTACGTTGCCTCCACATCGTCTCTAAACACCTTGAGCGCGTCGAACTTGCGCAGCACCCGCTCTGATTTCTCGTCTTCGTGCACGAGTTCCTCTATCTTGTCTCGTCCCAACACAGGCGCCTGCATCGTGATCAGCTCTTCGCCATAACGCTCTCGTGCAGCCTTGATGTCGTCTTCGTTTACTAAAGGATCGAAGAACCGCTGGCAGATTTCCATCATCTCCAAGACCTTGGCGTCCGTCAACTCCTTAGAGCTGTCCGCTAATCCATAGATGACTACAGAGGAAAGGGACTGTTAATTATGTACGTTCACCATCGAACAACAGCAGAGCGACTCGCACCTGGACGGAACATTTCGAATGCGTGATCGAAGTTGTCTGCATTTACGTCACTGAGAACAGGGATAGACTGCAGGCGCATCTGCTTGTAGGCTCCCAAAACGACAAACAAAAATCTAGAAGAATTAAGTCAGGAGGACACTTGCCACTGTGAAACACATGATAGACTTGCCTGGTGTGGGCGATGCCAACTTTCGTGTCATGCCAATTCTGTGCCGTTTGCTCATCAACTTCACCTTTCATAGAGGCACAAATGGTAGCGGCAGCAGCAAGTCCTCCAGTCATGGCGATGTGAACACCAGAGGAAAAGAAGGGGTCTATGAAGTCTACAGTCAAAGTCAAGTGAGTGTCAGCTCATGCATTCAAGACAATATAAAAAATCATAAAACGTACTAGCAGCATCTCCAATAATTCGGAAGTGATCGCCAGAATACCGTGAGGCGAAGTAGCTGTAGTCAGCAGCGCTTTTCACACTTCCAGGAATCATGTGTCCCTTGTCTCCAATGATCTCTCTAACGCCTGGACCGAATTGAAGTTGATCGAGGTAGTGCTCGGTGAGCGATGGTTTGTTTCCTTCGGCATTAACCTTCGCCTTTTTGGCATTAGACGCATTTTGATGCATCACAGCACCGACCGAGGTCGTCCCATCATGAAGTGGAATCCCCCACATCCACCCACTTTCATCTACAATCGCAGTGCCCCGTCAGCTCTGTCACAAAAACGCCGAAACCTTGAAAACAAAATGGCGACATACCGGTCATCGCCTCGAACCAAGCCGAGTTTGCCTTCTTCGTGCCCGCTGCATATCTCTTGCAGTCTTTCCAGTAGCCCCAAACAGCGACGTTGCGCAGAGTTTCACGCATCTCTCTGTTCTGCAGGTATTTGGTCGACATGACGCCAGCCCGGCCGGATGCGTCGACAAGCCAGTCGAACGAGATTTTTCCAGAGCCACCTTGCTTGTTCGTCCAGTGCGCGGCGATGGGCCGAGAGGAGGCAGGTTCGCCTTCGAAATCGATTGATTCGACGCGAGTCTCCTCAAAGACCTGCACACCCTCTTTCTCCGCGTGGCGAAGCATGAGGTTGTCCATTTCTGAACGAATCTTGATGCAAAGTCATATTTGGGCGAGATTTCAGTTATAATTTACTTACAACGTTCCAAGTTCCATATCCAGGACCCAGTGCCGTGAAATCGGTCCCTAAGATGCGATAACAGTCAGCACCATGTCAAGGCGTTCGAGCAAGGTCGCAGACTCACAGCTGTCGCGTAAACCTTGGACAAGCTTGAAGGTAGCGCCAGGCTGAGTTGTCGATTGTTCAATTATTAAGGTTCATTTTGGTTCGATAGGTAAATACCTTGGTCAAGAATCCATGGTTAACGAATTCTTCTTCCATACCGATGAACCGGAGGTAGTTCCTCAGAGAAGGAAGCATAGATTCGCCCACATGATATCTAAATCAGCGTAAGTCAAGACCCACCTAACATGGAGCGAGGTCATCATACCTGGGGAACTTTGCAGATTCCAGGAGGACAACTTGATGGCCTTCACGCTGAAGAGCAGATGCAGCGAAGCTTCCTGCGGGTCCACCACCGATAACGAGGATAGTAGTTTTCTGGGGCTAATTGTGTAGAAGTCAGGCATCAAGTAGAGTGGTATCTAAGGAACACCCTACCACTTCAGTCATGAGGAGCGTGGGTTGAATGTTGCTAAGTGCAACGGGTAAGCAGCACTCTCCTCATATACTCTGGAAGGACTGGGAACTCACGGGATTCCCTCCCTCAAAATTACGGCCTAGTGGCATATTCGAGAGATCGCACTTTGGTGATAGATGGCCCTGGGATTTAGTCGATTGATGCTTGGATGATGTTCCGCGAGCCAGAAAGAGAAAGTTGTGATTCTCAGGCTTGAAAAAGAATTCGTATTCACACACGGGAACTGAGCCATTAGACAGACTCGGAGCGTTGACTATAGCCAGTGAAACATATTTGGCGCCCCACATTGTTCAAGTCACTCTTCATCCCGAACGGGCTTCTTCATGTTGAAATATTGATGACGTAAGTTTATGGAGATATTAATTTAATAATATCTGCATTTTCCAATTATGCAGCAAAAGATGAACCTTCTGGAGATACAGTGATCCGAAAAGGAAAGTCTGTAGTGAAAAAGACCCTTTTTTTTGCCATACAAGGCTATGCGTTATGAGCATATCAGTACTACGTACAGGTTTAAAAAATATTCCAGTGGGTCGAGCGTTGATGCGGCGCTGTCCATAATTGGGACCAAATAACTCCTTATAGGAGCCTGAGCGTAGTCAACTGCACCGTCGCTGATTGGACATGCAGGTCGTATCCTGACTCGGGTTTTTCTTCTAGTCGAAAGCATGGTTTCAGGACGTGGGATAGAAGAACAAGTTGGCATCAGTGATGCGATGATAGAGAGCGAGAGGGAAATTGAGGGTGGCGGTGATGTAGCAAATCAGGAAAGGCAGAAAAGTGCGACTTCCCCTGTTACCGTTGGCAATGTATGAAGTGACACTCGTGTCAGTACTGCAACTCCGCTGGCGGGCCCGCCGGACCTGGAACGCAATGTCATCAAAAGCGCTTTTCCAGTGGGAAATGTCTGGGGATGGTCCCGCGGCCTCTGAAATATAGAAAGTTAAGTGATCGATTTCCATGATTTCGTCGTGCCTGAGTTTCAATGCATAGTCAAACATGAATAATACCTATATATGGTATATATGGATACAGCGAATCAATAAGCAGGAGTGTCAGCGCCGCATCAGATTTCTCTCAAAATTCACAGCTCTGCCCGGCAATAGACGAACATATCTGTGAAAGGTCAACCAGTTTCCCGGTTCTGAGTAGTCCACCAATCCGCGAACAGCAATATTGATGGTTTGACCAAGTAATATTATAGGGTTGGCAGTAGTAAGAGTTAAACATTAACATTGAACGTTCAAGTTTGGCAGCACATGCAATTTGACAGGCTATCAGACTTCTGAGAAGCACGCCAAATGATCAGGAAACGGTGAGAATGGGATCGGTTTTTGCCTTCATATCATAGTTACTTATTTTAATCTTTTGAACATGATAAGATACTTATCTCAGGCCCTCTCCTTAGGAATATTTGTCAGGGTTGCCGTTCCAAGTCCGAATTGTCAATCCACTCACACAGCGTCTAGGTACATAAATACTGTGTATCCCCGAAACTGCGCTTTATCATCGTCGCTATCAGAGCTCACAAAGGACTGATCCGGATCGCCGAACACACCTCTGAGCAGGCTGCCAAAGTGTCTTAGAACTGTTCGCCCACTGGCTATATCTCACTCCTTCGCTATGGCCGACCCAAACAGCACAGTTTCGGAGCTTCCGAATCCAATGACACCAATGGCATTTCTGCCCCCAGACATAGCATATCAGACCACCGTCTCTGGCTATATTTTAGTGGGGTCTTTAGGGGTTTGTGCTTTACTCAAATGACATTCGTGTTCTTTTTCTAATCCAATATAATTCACTAGGCCCTAGTATGGGATATCCTTACTAACCTCAGTAACGACTACAAGCTGTTGTTCAAGCACAGAATTAGGTTGCCAACGGTTGTTTACTTTTTGGCTAGGTAAAACTCCCGTGTACCACATAATTCGTTGATCTTCATGCTAGAACACTCAGGTTGTCAGCTTTGGCATATGTTCTTGCAAGCAGCATCTTCGAAAGTAAGCCGTCTCGGAGACACCTGATCAAATATAAGTGGAGCTCATGCCCATTTATCCGACAGCTGCTCCTATCAACGCATGCCAAAAGCTCGAGAAAATAGTGGATATATTCTATCCTCTAGCCGTTCCTTTGTCCTCCCTTCTTTTCTTCTTCCGCATGCAAGCTGTTTTCGCCAACAACAAATATGTGGTCGCTTTCTCCTTCCTTGTCTGGCTCGGCCTTCTCGGGGGTTCGTTGACTATCGTCACGGCTGTTACAGCCATCAACATCGGCCCTACGCATTACTGCCTCAACGCCAGCTTGAAACCGTACGCAGGCGCCGCTCCCATCACAGCTCTCATCCACGACACATACGTGTTCATCGCCATATCATGGCGCCTCCTGTCCAACTCAGCAGCTGATGCCGGGATCAGGGACAAAGCAAAGGCATTCATCTCTGGAGAGTACATGCCTATGATTTCCAAATCATTACTGCAAGACGGTCAATTGTATTACTTGTACGTTTTTGCCCCCCACTTTCCGCTTCTTGACGGGTTTCTGACGCTTTTTGTTTTTTGAAGGATCACGGTAGGCAGCAATTTGTTGACCGTGATCATGGTTTACAACACGGCCGTACCCGTGACATACCAGACTATGTTCACGGTGCCCAACATCATGCTGACGAACGCCATGGCATGCCACGTCTTCCGAAGCACCAAATTCGGGCTCATCAAAGGATCTTCGACCAACGTCTCCAGCTTCATCTCAGCCGGACAATCCTTTCCCATCCCTTTACACCGCTCGCGCAACAACCGGGACAGCTTCGAGATGGGCCACACCTCGAGCGGTATAGCGATCAAAGTGACGGAAATCACGGAACAGTCGCATGATCACGATCAGCGTTTCGCTCAGTGACTGGGAAGAGGCCGGCGTGTAACAATAGCTATACTTCGTCTTCACCAGTATGATCGCTCCCGCCTTACTGATACTGAGAGTATGACATCGCACTTTGGAAATAAAATGATACCTTTCGTTTTTTTCTTCTTCCTGAAACCCTGAGTGTAGCGTGAGTAGTTTCTGGACCCAGAAAGGTCAGGCGGATTCAATAGCCGCGGGTCAAGGTGGATGCCTCGGACGGAATGCTTCAAGAAGGTCGTCAGGGCGCTCAACCGCATTTTCCGCATCAGGAAGCTGATGAGATGCTGTAGGCTAGGCCACCCGTCCATCCCCCCCTCTAGATGACCTATTTTTCTCGCGAATCCCCCTCGACTCGCTTGTATTCGATGTGGGTTCTTCCGACGTTGAAGGTTTCAGTCAATCGCAAAGCGGCACAAAATGATTTAAATAGCCGAAGATCATCCGGACACAATGTGGATATTTACTAGTAAATGTAGCCTTAATAGTGATCATATATCGTCCTTCCGTGCTCCTTCAATGTGATATCGAGCCTCATCAGTACTGGTAGTAGTATTTACTCGGATGAGATGGCGCCTTGCGTTAGCATCGCCACTGCTTGCGACGAGCGAGCCTTCAAATTGCACTTGTACGCCTTTGGGAAACTAAACGAGCAGATGAGTCACATCAGGGTGATAGCGCAAAAGAGCATCGAAAAACACGACTGACACGATGGTACCGGACGTATACGCAATCTCAGGCATGATCGTCTTCCCACTGGCATCCACAGCGGGTAGAATCTCGCATGTCGCAAGGACGGTGGTCACGATAGCGAATATGGTGCCCTCGGCAAAGTGAAACCCAGGGCAGACACGCCTTCCAAAGCCAAACGCCAGATCGGTCACTTTGCTCATTTCAGCTTGAGAACCTCCGTATCGCTCAGGGCTGAACTTCATCGGTTCGGGGTAGACTTCTGGGTCGTGCAGCATGTGCCTGCATGCACAGGACGGCACGTTAGTTCAACCACAACTACAGCAGCAAACCAACAGAACTTGCCAGACGTTGGGCAAACACAGTGTGCCTTTCGGTAAATGGTACCCTTCGTAAACATCATCTTGGCTGAGGGCATGAGCGATACCTGAAATTCGATGTGCATGATCAAGTATAGTTTGCACCATTATAGCCATTTTACGCACCCATGGGTTTAGCAGGCTGCCATCGGAAGACCTCAGTAATAACGCTATTCACGTAAGGCAGCGAGTCTCTGTCCGCAATCGAAGGAAGTCTGTCCAGTCCTACCACAGAGTCAATTTCCGCTCGTGCTTTCTCTTGGATGTCAGGGTGAAGTATCATGGCCATGAAGAATGTCAAGGCGGTCGACATGTTCTATTTGATGTGAGCCACATACCGATGTCGCCGACAAACGAGAACTTACTGTGTCCATTCCACCTCCCATGACCGCAGAAGCTGCCCAAACTAAAAGTTCCTCTTCTTCCTTTGATGGCTCACCATTCGCTTCTGAAACAACAGATCCGCACAAACTAGGCGTGAGCGCAGTACCCAGTTCCTATAGAAGACAGCTTGTCAGCAACACGCACGTTGGAAAGATGGGAAGGTACAGACAGTGTTCTTCTTACACCACAGGTAAGGACTCCACGTTGCTTCCGTGACAATGTTGCGCCATACTTTTGCGGTCTCGAGGAATCCAGCCCCAGGCATCCACGATGGCAAGTTCTTTACTGAAATTCGTGTTAAGCGCCATAATCAGAGATGAGTGTGGGGCTACTTACGTTGAGGGATAAAGTCGACGATCCAACTTCCTGGAGCCGCAGCTTGGCTGAAATTCTCCATAGCTGTCATCGGAGACGTAAAGAAAGGATCTTGTTCGGATTTGATGTAGTAGCCGTAAGTAACGCGGATGATGATGGTCGCTATTCTCCTATAGTAGACAGTGAGTTCAGCGCTACCGAGTCATGGCCAAAGACTCACAGTTTGATCTGGCGTACAAGTGTGCTGGGGTCAGCCAAGATATTGCAGATCATCTTGCGAGCTTGCGTCTCTTGAAGATTCCAGTAACGTGGGACGGTACTCTGACTGAAATCAGCAGCCACCATCTTGCGCTGCTTACGCCAGATTTCACCATAAGGCTGCAAAACAAAGGTCCGGTCATACCCGACCCTTCAAGGCAAAGTCAGTATCAGGTGAAACGACAGGTATACATTGATCTTACAAATCGCCTCCCATGATCTGGACGTGCTAATCAATGATGAGACTGAGGCGCTTTAAAGCTGAAGACGTACCAAGTGAGGCCGGTCAGAATATATCGACGACCGCTTATCAAGGAGGTCCCGGGCCACCTTGGCGGAGTTGATGACGACCATGGGCTGCCCAAGAGCATCGAGATAGATGAGAGGGCCTATGATCAGAAAAGTGTCGAGTCAGATGAGCACCTAGGTGAAAGAGAACGAGGATGATGATGTTTACCATATTTCTTTTCCCATTCGGAGAAGATCAACCAGCCATAATTTACTGGTATAGAGAGAATGCTACCTATCAAAGGCCAGCGAGAGGGTCCTGGAGGGAGTGGGTGATTACGGGAGACCAAAACTCTCTTTAGGATGTAACCACCAAAGAACGCAGCGAGAGTCAGGACGTATTTGGCTTCCATAGTGGAAGATGGTATGGTATGTATGGCAGACTCGCACGCTTCTGAGCATTCTGCTATTTGAGGGCTGCCAGTGGTTTAAAATTAAGCAGTGAGGCGCAGCTGACTCGATTAGGTAGTCTACTGGCTTATTGCGAACCCTTCCCAAAAAGGTCTGATCGATCGAGATTATCAATACTATTTTGCTCCCACACCCAAGAGTGGTAAAGTACATATATACGGAATCTGCCACATCATGACTCCCACTGCAATCTCCGTGACAATGCTGACTTGCCTTTTCAGGCAGTGCCAACACCTGGGGTATCAGCAAGTCTATACGTTATCTTCTCAGCATGGACCTGAAATCAGATATGCGATAAGATTGTCACAGCAACTATACAGAAACTGGAAACATCACCTTGCCCAACTTCATATACTCTATTCCATCCGCAACGCTTGCCAAACCACGGGGAAATAACTTGATGGGTATTGGCGTGAGATTGTGTTGCGCAACAATCTGTGATATCATCTTAGCATGCATACTCGCGTTTCGACTATACTCCTCGTTGGCAGGAAACGGGAAAGGGTATTCGATAGCCTGAGTTACACGCACGTCAAAATGCTTACCGACCAACAGAATAACGGATGAGAAACGTACCTTTCCGAATATTGCGTAGCAGACGACAAACTGTACGTCCACCCCCTTTTTTTTGCTCTCGTATGGAAGAAGCGTAGCAATCGTGCCGCCCTGCCTGCTCAGGGACATGCTAACCTGGTTCGGCGTCATCCCTTCGCTAATGCAGTCAACAGCGTGCTTCAAATTTCCCCCACTTGCGGCGACAATTTTCTTCGGTGTCTTCGAGTCTGCATAGTCGAACACTTCGTCTGCACCTAAGGACTTGACAAGTTCAAAGTTCTGCGGCGAAGCCGTGGTAATGACACGCAGCCCCCCTAGTTTGGCAAACTGCACAGCATATTGCCCTGTAGAAGAAGTCCCGGACCATATAAGAACGTCTTTGGGAGTAGAAGTGGGCTCGAGAGGGGTTGGGAGTTTGAGGCTTTGATAGAGACTTTGGCACGATGTGAAGCACGCGACACCTAGCTGAGCAGCATTTTCGAACGACATGGTGTCTGGTATGACGATGACGAGGTCCGCTGGGACGACCACGTACTCGGCGAAAGCACCATTGGGACCTATACCTGTGACGAAGTGTGATCGAAAACATGGGTCCAGTGAGAGGTCACGATAACTAACCTCCATGTACAACCCCAGCAACTCTCTCTCCAACCTTCCTCACATCATGGGACACGTTTTGGCCAAGGACGACGATAGTCCCTGAAAAATCGCAACCGACCACATTGCCACGTTGTCGATTGACAATGGCGCTTTTCCCTGCCATGCAAAAATTGTAAACACAGCGCGCGCATCGGAAATGGTGAAACAGGGTGTTCTTACAATCAGTAGGGTTCTGCGTCACAGAATGCACCTTGACCAAAACCTCATCGGGATCTGGGACCGGTATGGCAATATCATTGATTTCGAATCCTCCGTCTCCACTCGTCACCAGTGCTTTCATGGTGTTCTGACCTGGAAGGATACGTGACATAGCGGTATGGCTCAAGTTCGAATAAGATCTATGACAGGACAGTAATGGCGGTGGATACCAGAAGCGAAATCGTCCACAGACTCAGAAAACGAAGCGGAGCAAATAGCAAAAAAAAATTAACTATGAGAGGTAGATTAAATCGTCAGGTATACAGGTAGTTTTTGTAGGTGTAAGCTTACAGCCAAACACATATCGATAAACCGTCGCGTATGTTTCATGTACTGTACGGTCTGGCGGACACTATCTGTCAGTGTAATTGCAAAGCGCCTATGATTTCCATTGTCAAAGGCTGATTCCGATCTTGGTCAATTTTAATCTAGTAGTCACATTAAGTCTTTTTTTTTTTTTTTGCAGATGGAGGTTGAGCGCTGTGTTCTGCATGTCTGTCGGCCCCGGAAAGAGCACCTTGAGGATGGCGCTGGGTTTGGATTGTATGTGCACGTGATACGATACCAACACTCCCCATATAGTAACTATCCTCCTCTCTCAGCGCAGTGCGGCCCGGGCTAGGGCAGGAGCCTGGTGTCTATCAGAGACTTCAATTGTCTCCTATACTCGTGTTGACGGCTTCTTCGTGGTATACGGACGAAAAGATGCGAACAAAAAGAAGTGCAAATACCAACGTCCACAAGCCAGGCACGATCTTGAGCCAGGCGCCCACGCACGTCCGAATTCTATGATCAATCATTTGTGAAGGCTCGAACTCCTCGGATTGTAAGAAGGCCGGCTGCATCCGTGCTTACAGCAGGCTAAGTACCGCCGCCTCAGGTCAATGTGACTGCGTGAGTACTACCACTTCAAACACGCGGCAACATGCGCTTCAGTGTGACATACCCTTCACTCAGGATATAACCTACAAGCTGGCGAAATAGTGAAAATTTTCTCAAGATTATCTGTCTAACGCCGAATGAAAAAGTGTTTTTTAATGACAAAGTGAAATATGCAAAAACAGCTATCAAAAAAGTGGATCTGCGTCGCCAGCACAACGGATGAAAGGGTGATGCATCTAGGTTCACCCCAACTGCCTAACTCCGTTTACGACTCTTTCTCTGGAGTTTCCTTGGGATTTTGTGGAGCGTTTGGATCCACTGGACCAACGGTGTTCTTCATGAAGACGGTGAATAGTATGGTCATGGTGGCTATGAACGCAACGAGGAACCATAAGCCCGCTGCGCGACCCTGGAATCCGTCCGGCCCGCCATGTGATATCTGGACACTGGTCTGAATGGAAGTCACGATTGCGACGCCCAGAGCGGCGCCAGTCTGAAGGACGCATGTGAAGACGGCGGACACAATACCGGACACTTCTGGAGGCGTGATGGCGAGAAGGGCAATGCTGTTTTCAATTTTCAGGGGTGTTCGTCAGTGATGCTCAACTCGGTGGGTTTGAGCGGGAGGAAAAACAGAACGTGGACGCACTTGGTGGTGGTGTAAATCAGCGCCGCTCCTGCAGTTCCGAGTAGAAATCCTGGGAGTACGAAAGGCCAGTATCGCTCTTTGGAGTTTGCGAATGGCAAGAGAAGTGTCCCGGCGAGGAGAAGGAGATGGCCCAAAAGAATAACCCATTTCAGAGGTAATTTCGACTGTAGGCCTGCAGATAGAGGAAGTACAGGGAAAATTCCGAGACCTATGGGAAGGCTGTCGTTGGCAGATAGAGAAACAGGGGTATGTCAATATTTCAAAAGGCTCTTGCAACATTATGATATCGGTCCACTCACAAATGTACTGCAGTATCAATCGCAGACCATCCATAAACAGGTTCCCAAAGCCAAGAGAAGAGCAAGAACACGGAACCCCACCACATGAAAGGCACGAGTGATATGGCTACCAGTATTGTGAAATTCTCGTACCGCCACATTTTGGGAGGTCTAAAGGTTTTGTAGAAGGTGAGAGAATCCGTGTGTATCCTAGAATGGATGAAGCACGTACAATGCAGCATGGGACTCGGGAAGCCTGGCCTCCCACAGGAAGAAAGCGAGTAGAAGGAAGGCAGATATAACCAAAGGGGCGATGACTGCTGCAGAACCCCATCCATCAATGGATCCCGATGTGACAGCAAAAATGAATAGAATAAGGGCCACTACAACGAAGTTCAACCCTCAGCTATTTGGACAATTGTCAAGATAACGTGTTTTAATTATCACGCACCTGTGAAAGCCGAAACGCCGACCAAGTCGAGCCGTCGGAAACGCAGCAATCTTGCAGAACGAGACTCGCTAGGGCCACTATGGCTAATATTCGGGACCAGAGAGACTATCAAGGCCGTAATGACAGTGGAGACAATTGCACTGAAGTAAAAAACCCATGGCCACGACGCGTAAGAGACAAAGAGAGCGCCTATGATAAGACCGACCACTGGTGCGTGTCGTAAGATGAGAGGAATCAAACTAAATAAAGCAGTAGATAGAGCTCACCGATTCCTATAGCACCCATCCCTCCAAATGCAGCGACAGCTTTTGCTTGTTCAGCCGGGTTAGGGTACATGTGAACAATTAAATGCAGAGCCGAAGGCATAGTGAGTGCGCCGCCTTGACAATTAAATTGAGCAATGGAAATTGTTCACATCCAGTAGTATGAGACGAACCCGCTCCCATGAAAGCCCTAAAGAGAATCAGGAGGATTTTACTGCGCATAAATCCAGCGATAAGAGCAAATATGCCCATCATCACAGCTCCTGTAACGAAAACCCATTCTAAATCAAACGATAGATCAGCCAAACTAATAACGATTTAACACTGTGCCGCCACGAACTTGGATTATACAGATCGCTAAGCCGCCCACTCTACACAGTCAGTGTCATTACACGTGTTAGACATGCTTACAGGAAACGGAAACGCACCACGAGCAAAAGGGCGGCGAAAGTGAGCTGATAAGCACTAAGCAGCCAGGCGCTTTGACTTGTAGGAATGTTTAGCTGTAATGCAATTGGAGGAATAGCAGCAAAAAGAGAGGAGTTGTTGAATGTATCAAGGAAGAGTGCAAAACAAAGAACAGCCAGTAATGCCAACTTGCGGGAGCCAGATAGGTCGTTCAATGCATCGAAGGCACTTGCAGGAGCTTGAGCAGTCTCTAATCTATCGATGCTCTTCGCGCTCTGATCAACTACATCGTCGCTGAGCTGAGTATGCAGACCGTGTCTTGACTCGATATTTTCTTTAGTCGAAGCCATGGTTTGGGGACATGAAGCAGAGGAACTGGATAGCAAGCCAAGAAAGACAGAAAGGGGGGCTTACTGCGATTTCTATTAATATATACAATGATCCATGAGAAGCTGTGAGTATGTGGTAAGACCACGAAGGAACGGGTGAGCCGTGTCGGTATATTCCAAGCCTGGGACGCAATCAAAGGTGCTTCCAGTTTAATGTGCTAACTTATCTAACGGTGCGATGCCATCTCAGGGAACGCAATCGGTATCAGCCATCAGGCCATCAGCAATGTGATCTGATCCGTAAATCTAAATTACAAGTTAGCATGCAGCGTTGTAGTACAGAAAACAGAAAAAGAAGGGTTTTAATGAGCAAAACCCAAGTTCGTACAGCTGAATTCATGGCCGAATTTTCAAGAAACAAAACTTGCACGTGGAATCTTGGGCTAAGTGCTATCTGGGTTACAATATTAAGACTCAATCCGCAAAGGTTTAGATCTTCTCACCCACCGCGGAGATAGACCAAACTGGGCATTGGCTTATTCCAGCCTGGCTTGTATTTAAGCTTTTCCAGATCTTCATTATTTCCGCCCAGATCTCCATTATTTTCAGCGTTTTATCCAGAGTGTCATGATAATATTGACGGTCGCGAATTTGGATACTTATCTTGCCTCTATGGCGATCATCACGGATCTTACCACCGAGTGTAACATCATTGGCGCTTCCACGATGATATCTCAGAACACTGTGGGAAGCATGATTTCTCCGTATTGACGGTGACTTTGTCGATTCTCAGTCAAATCAATATTGTACCAATATGATACATGACTCTCATTGAACTGACATTCAGGTTCCAGTCTTGGAGTGGCATTCTTTTCGAGTGGTGCCTTACGCAGCTCCGTCACCGCGGTGGAGTCAGCGCACTTGGGTCCCATCTTTTTTCTTTTTCATAAAAGCCCGCATATAGGGCATCCACCCTCCCCTCCCATATCCACCATACCTCACTAATGGCCGCAAATATTGCGATAGTATGCCCTTTTTCTTTCACTCGAATTCTCGGGCTAACTAGCACTTCCAGGTCGGCATTGCAGCGGAACTGCCAAGTGGTGCTTACTCTAAAGACAACTTTAATCACAAGTCTTTCTTCGATTTTCTTTTAGACCGCGGAGAATCCTATGAACGGATACCCGCCGACCGCTTCAATATCGACGCGTAAGTATGCTGGTGACAGTTGTTATACGTGTTCCTGAGTCGACTTAACAACCACTACAGCTGGAACGGTAATGGCCTGGCTAGGGTGCATGTAGACAAAGGTTCATTTCTCAAAGAAATCGATCTATTCGACAATGTGGAATTCGGCGTATCGTCACGAGATGCTCGTATCATGGCCCCCGCAACTAGGAAGCTGCTCGAATCTTGTTTTCTTGCTTTGTTAGATTCTGGAATAGACTACAGGGCACAGAATGTTGGCTGTTACACTTCAGGCATTTCCTTCGACTTGACTAATGTTTCTGAACCTGTACGTTTGCTTTCTTTGTGGTCTGGTTCAAATATTCACCATCCGAACAGGATCACTACGATGCTCGTGGTTCCTTTGCTGGCTATCCAGCGATGGTCGCTAATCGTATTTCAAACCACCTTGACTTACTCGGCCCTTCTCTCCCTACAGATACAGCTTGTAGTTCCACCATCACGACATTGCACCTTGCAGTGCAAGCACTGCTTAACGGCGACTGTGGCGCCGCCGTAGTCGCAGGATGTCAATTAAATCATCGGTAAGCTCTCGTACTTTTCATTGAAAAAGAGTTCACGTTTTCATAATTCGATCTTAGGTTTATAGACTGGATTACATACAGCAATGGCTCGCTCTTGGCGAAGGATGGAAAGTGTAAACCCTTTGACCAATCAGCAGACGGGTACGGAACGATATCATCCCTTTCTTCCATCTTTTAATAGTGTACATATCCAGATTTGCCCGCGCGGAGGCTTGCGCCGCCATCGTGATCAAGCCACTAGAAGATGCGCTGAGGGATCAAGATCGTATCTATGCAACGGTAATTCCACGACTAAAAATAATGCTTCGTGCTGACCGTGTTTAGATTCTAGGAACAGCGATTAATTCTACGGGAGGGGGCGCTCCTCCAGGAGCTCCAGTTCCAGAGGCTCAGCGTGATGCTATGCTTCACGCCTTTAGACGAGCTGGTCGAAGACCACAGGATGTTGATTTTGTAGAGCTTCATGCCACAGGTGAGACGAGTTCATGTCGTCTGATTTTTCACAGTTCCCATTGACTTACTATTTGTGTTATGAAGGCACGGCGAAAGGAGACCCCGTCGAAGCAAATTGGGTTGGCGCCCATTTCCAAAGGCAAGAAGAATTACTAATTGGTAGTGTGAAAGGCAACATCGGGTTAGTGAATAAGGTTCCCTCTAACATCAAGTGGCTGACATAATCTCACAAAGGCATACCGAGATCGTCGCCTTTTTAGCTTCATTGTCCAAGGTCCTTTCCGTGATACAGCGTGGTCTCATTCCACCGAACATCAACGTTGTAAACTTGAATCCCGCGATTGAATGGGACAGATACAAACTTCGAGTTCCTCTAGATACCACGCCTTTGCCATGTAGATCTGGTTCCAAGCCCTTGATCTCAATGGCGAGCTCTGGGATAGGTGGTTCTAATGGCCATGTCGTCCTAGAGGGTCCACCAGAAATTCGATCTCTAGCCAACAACGTAATAGTGAATTCGGAAAGGCCAGTGTTGCTGGTTGCTGGAGGTCTCTCGCCTCGATCCACTTCATCAGTTGCACAGTCAGTTTTGAAAGCTGTGACAGACAAGGATCAAGATCTTCCTGTTGTCTCAACCATCCTCGGTCGGCGGTCCAAGCAAATGACTTGGAGATCATTTGCAGTTTCTAATTCAAGTTCATTATCAACATCAGTCTTCTCCCCACCGCAGTACATTGCTCGCTTTGCAAATCCTGTAGTCATGATCTTTTCTGGTCAGGGTCCCCAACACGATGACAGTAAGTGCGACTGTATGCTGCTTCTAGGTACAGGTTGTCTGATACTCTTTGATAATAAGTGGGTAAGGAACTCTTCAAGGAATTTCCGGTCTTCCGTGATAGCATATTAGAAATGGATGAAGTCTTCAAAAGTATGACTGGCAAGTCGATAATCCACGACTTTGGCCTCTTCCGCTGGGACAGCGAATCCAAGTTACGGGATACGTGGCCAATATCCATCATTTTACCCTCAATCGCGATGTTTCAGGTAGCACTCTTCGATTTGTTCGTAAGTCTTGGTATCAAGCCGGACGTCGTGGTTGGTCATTCTGCGGGAGAGACCGCAATGCTCTATGCTTCAGGCGCTGCGCCTAAAGCAATGGCAGTTGAGCTAGCCATCATTCGAGGGAAAGCCTTTTCCTCTGTTGAGAGTCATGGTGGCACAATGGCTGCTCTGTCGTGCGGCCTTGAAGAAGCATCTGGAATACTGGAGGAAGAGCGCTCCGACAACCCCGGTAGTATCGTCGAGGTTGCCTGTCTTAACTCGCCTTCCGCAGTTGCTATCGCAGGGCACGAAATAGCTATTGACCGCGTGGTCAAAGTTGCTCAGTCTCGAGGAATCTTCGCCCGCAAGATTCACACCAAGGTACCCATTCACTCATCCATGATGGATGCCTGTCAGCAGGAATACTGTGGCATGCTACGGGATTTATTCACTCGATATCCTGGGTCTCACAAATCGGTCATTCCTGTCTATTCGACCCTGACTGGAAAACTATTTTCCGACCCATTCGATGCACAGTACTTTTGGGACAATACTCGGTCTCAGGTTCGTTTCTCTGAGGTTGTGGAAGCCCTTGGGACTTCTCGTGACTACACCTACATCGAGCTTTCGCCCCATCCTGTGCTCTCGTCTTACGTGTCTAGTATGGTTCCCGAGTCGAGTCACGTTTTATCGACTATCCGGCGTCCAAAGTCTGGGACACCGTCCGTAGAGTATCGAAACGTATTAGAACTTTGTGGCAAGTTGACTGTCAATGGCCATAATTGCGTCGACTTCACTGCTCTTAACGGTCGAGCATGTTACGATGCTGAAGTCGACTTGCCTGACTATCCATTTTCGAAGAAACGCTTCAATTTATATCCAGACACTGCTGGATACGCCAAACAAATGGAGCCACAATTTGGCCCCCTGAATAATAAACACTTGAGAGTGAACAAGGAGACGCATCCCACACTTGCGGAGCATATCATCAGAGGTGAACCTATCATGCCGGCTGCCGGATTTATGGAAATGGTAGGTCCATAAGAACTTGATTTGATCGAGGCTGATATTTTCATATGATAGGCTATTGAATTTGGCGCTTCAACCTTGATGAACGTTAATTTGCGGTCGATGCTTTCTCTTTCCTCTGAAAGCCCAATTAAGGTCGAGGCCAGCCTGGACGGATCATACTGGACTGTCAAGTCTATAGCGACATCACCTCAGTCTCGCAAAGATTCGAAGCTCAAACCAGTAAGTTTGATGATATTGTAGATCGCAGTGATGTTTGCTCAATGTTGATTCCTCGTAAATGAAAAAAGGTCGAGAGACTACATGCTGACGGATATCTTTCATTTGAACCACCACAAACCTGTTGTGATCTAGATATACCCAGTATACGCAAGCGGTGCCCGGAGCATGTCAGTTCTGGTGGGTATTCATGTTTGAAACTAAGAATAGGACGTTGACTAAGCTTGTTTGATAGCCTTCTACCCATCGTTGTCATACTTCTCGTCTTATGGGCCGACTTTACGACGGGTGACAAATTTATACTATGGAGATAAAGAAGCGCTGGCATCCATAAGAGGAATAGACCACAAGTTGGCTACGTATGTTAACCTAGCTTTGAGTATGGAGGCCGTCCGTGCTGATTACGTTCCAGCGAGGGCGACTACATTTTACATCCTGCTATTTTGGATGCCTGTCTTCAAATAACTGCTTACAAGCCCTTCCACGGTGATTTCGACCCCAATGTTTACTACCTGCCTGCTCGGGTAGAGGCAGTGATTGTACACAAAGCACTGCGACCACAGTATTTCCCTGCACATGTCTATGCCCACATAAAGCTGGGAATGTGGACCCCTGGTCAGTTTTTCAACGTAAATAACAGGTACTGCTGGATCTTAACCTTGATTTATTTACTTATGTAGCTTCCATGCATTATGATATCGCCCTAGTGGATGATAAAGGGAGCCACTTGTGCACCTTGAAAGGCCTGGAGGTAGCAAAACATCGAATCACACCTTTGACCCCCACGCAGAAATCGTACGATATCAATTGGCAACCTGTACCTCATCCCCTCCGACCGTCTCATTCATGCGTGGTGCTCCCTTCTACGCAAGACCGGCCTACTCTATTCAGCGTGATTGATAATCTAGCTAGGGGAGGACTCGCGAATACGAAGACGTCATCACACTTGACAGCGAATGGATGGCATTGCCCTTCTAGCCAGCCTGATATGGCCTATCTCCAGAAAGAGTGGCCAGGTTATTTCGAAGTGTTAGAGAACAGGGATGACAAGGTCCGTTGTTGCGTCTGGGTAGGTTTCTTTAGGCTGAATAACAGCTTTCCTAGGACTTGATATCTGTGTTTGATGGCCCACAATACGACTACGCCGTATCTCAAACTTGTCAAGCTCTTCAGGACGCTTTGACAGCCATTGCACAGAATAACTCCCGGCGAGTTGTGAAGATCTTTATTACTAGCAGTGGTAATGTCTTCTTCCTTTTACCACACGTTGCTAGAATCTCATCCCTTCATTACAGTTAAATCACTTTTTATTCGACTCCCCGGCGTCCTAAGCAAATTTTGCTCCATGTTTATAGAAGTTGTTGTGGAGGGCATAGACCAAATGGTGCTTCTCCCTTCGGACCCTGATTTCGGCTTGGTTCGCATTGCAAAGATCGATTTTGAAGCTTCCGAGACGCGGACGCCAGATGATCTAGGTTTCGATATCGTGATCGCTTTCAATGTGGCCGCCACAAAGGTCGAAGCTGGTGCCATTGTCCAAACATGCAACGATATTCTTGTGCCAGGAGGAACTATGATCTTGACAGAGCGAAATCGACGTGCGTGGGACCAGGGCTTGCCTGGCACTGCCTGGTATAACTCGGTCTTTGGTTCACCTGCTTCATCGGAGATTTTCCCCCTGAACTCGTATTTGGATAACCTCGAAAAGCTCAAGTTTACTGTGTTACACTCTCACTACACCGAAGCGCAAGACCCATTCCACTTCATAATAGAAAGTCAAAGCAACGTTTTAGGATCAGTTCCCGCCCCGGAACTTTTGCTTTGCGATCCTTCAGAGGCATTTATCTTCAGATACGAGTTCGGCTGTGAAAGCGATCTGCAATGGCATTTCAGTGGTCTCAACAGATCGCAGCAATTAGACATCTGGGTCGTTGCCAAGGAAGGCCAAGATGGGGGTGCGGCATCCGGATTAGTTCGTGCCTTGAACAGGGAATGCCCCTTGTGGACCATTCGATTGGTTGTCTTCCCACTTTCGTACACCGAGGAAATGGAAGAGGATAGCCTTCAGCGTTTGCCTTCCTGTATGAAGGACGAGTCCGAGATCATGATTTCCCCCGAAGGTGTACCCTTTGTCCCTCGCATGACTCCTTTACCTGAAACCAAATCCAAGACGTTACCTGCTATGTCTTCCGCAGACCTTATCGATTTTGCCTTGGATCAAATACTTGTGCGAATAATTTCGTCTTTCAAAGGCGGGAAAGTCTATGGCTTCATTGGTTCTGTTGTCAACAATAATGGCACAAGCATAGATAAAGGTGCTTTGGTAGTAGGGCTCACTGCAGAGGCTATGAAAGAGCATGCAGTAGTTGATATCGCTTCTGTGTGTGCGGTCTCGCTTCACGTACTGCAAGTGGCCTCAGTCATCGCCGCTCGTGTTCCGGGTTGTGTCGCTTCTGTCCTTGCCCCCGGGTTGAGTTTGTTTAATAACACAAGCCGTCTGAAGTCTCAACGGATCTTACTCACGCACTCTGACACCGACATGGGTTCCGTGATCAAAGGAATCTACTCCCATAAAGGTCTAGAATTCGAGACAGTTACCCAAGAAACCAGCTTACTTGAGCTGGCGACCATGGGTAGCGGCCCGTTCGATCTGATCGTTTCAGGATATGATGATAAACCGCACATTCAAGTACTGAAGAACTTGTTGTCCCCTGGCCGAGGGAAACTCTTCTTATGGGAGGATGAAGCGACTGGACTCATCGATATTCTTCAACGAGATCCATGCTCAATTGGGGATGCACTACGCAATGTCATTCCCTTGTTGGAAAACCATGATTCGTTACTTGACGAGACAACCCCGTTGGGTACGGTCGCCCTTCCGAATGGCAAAGTTGATGTGGGATCGAAGATTACCCCTCGTCAGCGCTCTTCATTCGATGCCAACAAAACATACCTCATTCTGGGAGGAATCGGCAGTGTTGGAGTACACATCACTTTGTTCATGTATGAGGTATATTGGTTATTTTGCTTGATTTTGGTATCCCAGCTAAGTGCAAATGGTTTTAGAGGGGTGCCCGTCACATAATTCTCACATCCCGTTCTGGTGAAGACGGTTTGCGAAAGAACAAGAACAAAATACTCCACAGAATGCTAGATTACGTGAAAAGGCTGAAAGGTCTAAATATTCGTTTGGAGGCTGTTGACGCTTCGTCTTCTATTGACATGGCAGCCCTGATTGAACCTCTGAAAACACCATTAGGTGGATGCATGATATTAACAGCTGTTCTATCAGATGGCGCCTTCCAACATCTCACCGAGGAAGACTTCTCGGCATCATTCGCTTGTAAAAGCGGCGTGTTGGATACTGTAAAGGACACTATTGACATATCAAACCTCGATTTCCTTATAGCCTTTTCCTCTGTATCTGGTGCATTTGGTATACAAGGTCAAACTAATTACGGAGCGTAAGTATTTTATCACAGGTTCTGCGATTATACATGCAATAACTTTCGATTGACTTAGGGCAAACACTCTTCTGGAACAGCAAATGTCGCTGTTTCCGAATGGATTCACATTTATCTGTCCTGGAATTCTAGATTCTTCGCTAATGCTTGCCAGTGGATCAGATAAAGCAGAGTTACGTCTCAACCACCTTATTGATTGGTCAATTTCAGCGGAAGGTTAGTGCCAAACCTTTTTATGATCGAAACATCTCACATACTGTTAAATCAGATATGATCCGTTGGCTGGATGACGCGTTCTGTAAACATCAGAACAATTATTCTTTCAGTCGATATATTCCACATCTCAATTGGGAAGCTATGGATGGAACCCATGGGATGTCAAAGATAGGGAAGCATTTAGTACCAGCGAAATCACAATCGGCCACAAGAGCCAGCGCTAAGAGCCACATCGACGGCATGGCCGATATGATATGCAGCGCACTTGGTATACTGCCAAATGACTTCTCTGCGGAGGTACCTCTCACAACTTATGGTCTCGATTCACTTTCTGCGTCAAGGCTCTCATTTATCTTGCGGCCGATCGTCGAAGTCACTCAAATTCAGTTATTGGCCGACCTATCGTTAAATGACATTTGGCGCAAGGTTCCTGCATCATCGTCAGATGTCGAATCTAAAACTATAATCTCGACTTCAGTGAAGGCTAAGACTGATCATGTGGCGGAGTTACTTGCGAAGTACGCAGCACGCATCCCCAGTAGCACACCTTTGCAAGATGATGGCCCCGTAGCTTCTTCGGACCAAGTCATACTCCTTACTGGTAGCACCGGTGCCTTGGGATGCAACATATTATATCACTTAATCGGGAATGATGTAGTCAAGCGAATATATGCCTTCAACAGAAGAAACACCAATGGCATCCCTCTGTGGGACAGACAAAGAGATGCTTTTGAGGCTCAAGGGTTACCATCTTCGCTCGTAGATTCTCCTAAAGTGACACTACTAGAAGGCGATCTTGCCGCATCTGATTTCAGGGTGCCAACCAAGGTTCTGGATGAGGTTAGTACATACACCAATGACAATGGTTTGAAACCTGACGTGTCTTACAGCTGTTGTCAACTGTGACACATGTTATTCATAATGGTCAGTCTCTCTCTCTTAGATGATAATATGCAAGTTATGACCTAGCCACTTAGCCTGGAGAGTGGATTTCGTTGCCCCACTAGCAGATTTCGAAGATTTAGTTGAAGGCACCTATGGGTTGATCACCTTTGCGCTGCGGTCCAAACTCCCTGTACGGCCTTCCTTATCGTTTATCAGTTCGATTGGAGTATGCCAGCGTATGATTTCTGCTCATATTTCAGTATACACAGTCTGACTTTTGTTACAGAATTCAGAGGTACATCCGCCGTCCCCGAAATCCCTATGATAGATCCCTGCATTGACTTGCAAACTAACTACATAAAATCAAAATGGGTTGCTGAGCGACTTTTCCAGATAGCTGGAGAGAAGTCGCTCTTGAGAACCAACGTAATTCGTGTAGGATTGTTAAGCGGAGGCTTGAATGGATTCTGGGACACCTCTCATTGGCTACCGGCTCTGGTTCAATCTAGCTCGTATGTAGGATGCCTTCCCGAGGGCGATGAGGTGTGTCCTTTGGTTTACTTGTTTCAGTTCAAGTTACTGACTTCGGCTATATAAGATGATTTCGTGGATTCCTATCAATTTGGCTGCAGCCGCTATAGTTGACATGCGAAGCGTGGCAAATGAGACGCTCCACGTAATACATCCTCAACCAGTAAAATGGGCGACAGTGTTGGAGCCCCTGGCATCCTTGCTCGATGTACCACTGGTGCCATTCGCAGAGTGGCATGCCCGTCTAGAGCACCTGCATGGAGCTGATTCTCAATCGAACCCTTCTAAATCATCGAGCAATGATAATATGTCGTCTGCTCTGAAGCTCACAGACTTTTACCGCATGGGCCTGAATGGTGGACCACAGTCGAGCACCGAGAGCATGGGACTACTGCCAAAGGTTGCATCAAAGAAGGGCTTCCATGCATCTGCAGCCCTCATGGACAATCGGCTAGTGCCACTGGGCCCCAACGATGCGCAAATGTGGGTGAAATATTGGCGTGAAGTGGGCTTCCTACCAAGTTGATATCCAAATATCTTATGAATTTTTGTCATATTACCATTCCATTATTGTAAATTTGGATAGGACGAGGTCTATAATGATGCATCTATAGAGTTACTGGAGTGTGCTCTTCGCTCTTCAAAGATCAGGAACGTTTACAGCATACCAATTCAGAGAATTTATAAGCGCGCAGTTCAGCGACATTAGAATACATCAATAACCATTTCCTAATGCCGTTTTCGTCCTGCACCTTTTTTGCCAGTGGGAAAAGATTGGAGCAGTGCAGCTTTGCTCCGATTTTTGTTTTTTACATTCGTGCTCGTGTAGAAGTTTTCTGCTTTTTTCTGTTTTACCGGTGGAGGGGAATTAATGAATGGAGCTGCTGGTGAACAGAAAATTTTGAATACCTTATTTGTCTTCATCCGCTGATCTTTCTTGGCTACCGCATCGACTTCTGGAGCCACACCTACTGTAGTGGTTAGTTCGACGATATTGAGTTCTCCATTGATAATACTGAGGTTACCTTGCTCAGAAAGCGACGTCTCGTCACCTCTGTCTGCTGTGCCCGATCGAGGCCCCTCATGGAACACTTCGTTCCAAGTAAGTTGCTCCTCTTCATCCTCCTCTTCAAGTTCTTCTACGCCCTCGTCTCCCCCTTCAGCTTGCTCCTCTGCATCTTCCTCTCCACCTTCATCTTCATCTTCCATTGGTCTAACGTCCTCTGCAAGGAAGGTATTCTTCTGCATGATAGACCCTAATCTCTGCTTTACCCCCAGAACGCCTTCGTTATTCTCCACTTCGGTAGCCTTTTCTTTACCTTTTGACTTGGCTGCTTTTGCTTCCGCTTTGTTCAATTCTTCAGACCGCTCAGGTGGGGCCACGAAAAACGGTATGCGGCCTCTCACCCAATCACTTAATACAATCTTGGACACCGATTCTACATCGGGTTCACCTCCCTTCAGTAAGCGACCTTTCATGCGTGCCAGCTTGTCCAAGAATTCTTCAGGTTTCCACATCGAACTAGGATCCTTTGGATCCGGCAGTACAACGCCATACGTGCGAGCAAGGTAAAGGGGTTTTACACGTTCCATGAGTGCGGGTATATGGTCCGAGGGCGTTGGAAGGGCTTCGACACGTACCACACCTTTTAGAACTGTGGAGGTCTCCGAGTCGTGTGCGGAAGTAGGAACAATTCCAGGACAATCGATAAGGTATATGCGGCGAGTTAGTGTGATATATTGCCAAACCTGTGTATTAAATAGTATGGATCAATTATTATAAGTAGATATAGTATTGTGAACACGCACCTTGGTTTCTCCAGGTATGGGAGCTACTCGGCATACCTTGCCGCTTTTGAGGGTATTGATGACACTGCTCTTCCCTACATTAGGATAGCCTACGAAACCGACAGATATTTGTTTCTTGTCGGAGTGGAGCTGTGAAAACTGACGGAGGAGTTGAATAAGCGAGCCTTTGCCAAAGGAGTGGTTTGGCGAGGCATGGAAAGCAATGGTAGGGTAGCGGGGGGTGAGATGCTTGATGTAACGTGCCTGCAATCCAACTCGTAAATAATCGTGTAGACAGAAATCAATACAATAACGCAGTAACAATAACATGCAGTGGATGTTTGACGACATAAAAAAAATACGCTACTTACTGTGACCCAATTTGGTACCAGATCACACTTGTTGATGACAAGTACAACTTGTTTGTGAGCTTTCTCCTTTTTCATGTATTCTAGTACCGATTCACATATCGTTCCCAGAGGATCGCGAGCATCCAATATGTGTAGGATGACATCAGAAGAATCGATCACTTTGTAAAGTTCTCCATAAATGCGACGAGATGTACCCTTGGCATAGATAGGTTCGTTGTAGTCTGCATGTGTCTGAGGCTCGGCTGAGTCTGCCGATTGACCTGGAGTGTGTTCAACACCAATCAAACAAACAGAAACATTGAATATAATTACCGGAGGGACCATCCCCATTGGTTTTAGTCTCTGCTTCTTCGAAAGCTGTTGTACCTAGCTTTCCAAGTTCTTCAAAGGTGCCTGCGTCTAATTTAGGCTTTTTGCGCTGAGCTTTAGGTCCAAACGTTTCGCTGAAAGGTTCCGTTTCAACGATATGCGACCGCTGGAACGATCAGGTCAAATTAATCTCGACAGTAGATGTTTGATGCGATGATAATTTACCTTTCGTGTATTAGGATTCGCTGCATCGTCCAGAAGTGCCATGGGAAGCTTGTTTCTGCGTAGCAGGACAGAATACGGATCATCTTTCTTTGTTGAAAGACTTGTCCTGAAATGATCGAGTGCTTTCTGTGAAATTACTCTCGTATTTCCTGTTCGTAGATTAGTCCAATGATATCCTAAGAGATGAAATTACAGAAAATCTTACCAAACCATCGCCGATCAGCCTGTACCCTGCCCGGTTTTGTTTCATCCTCGCCTTTCTGAAAGGCTGCAGCCTGGATAATCTTACCATCTTTATCACGTATGGGCTTGCCCCCATTGAGCATCTTCAGCCGGCCAACCTGCTTTGCATTGCGATAGAAATTCTCTCCTTTTACTCTTTTGAGAGTTGGCTGCGAAGACGATGAGCGTGTCTTGGGAGACGACAGCGGCTTTTTTGTAGGCGCCATTTTTGGTGAAGTCCAGAGAGGACGATGGTGGGATAAAACAAGAAACTCAAAAAACTCGAGTGTTTCCCACGGTTACTTCCAAGTTAAACTGACTGCAGACTCTAGTTAAAAACATTGCCTTGCTGGAACCATGCTGAAGACGTGTTTTGCGCAATGTAAGTAAACTGTCAGTTAAGCTCATTATTTTTTCGATATAATTATAATACCCAGGTTCGCGCTCAGTCGCGTCTTCGAGCTCTAGTTGCTCTCTGCATACTTCTGCTGTCCGCACGGCCCAGGCTCTAAGCAAGCAAGCAAGACTTGCCAACATTTCGAAAGCACAAGTACGTGTAGAGCTGAAGAAAGCAGTTGACGCAACGCGGGAGTATGCTGTGATTGGCTTAAAGCCTGGCCAAGAAGCCAGGTGGCTTAATTGCGATCTTGCGAAGGCCATTATCACAGAGGAGCAGCTGTATTCCGATACTCCACAAGTTGTCCGAACACCTGACGGGAACATCGAAATCCCAGAACATTTAAACTATGGTATTGGTGGCGAGGAACGGAAGTTGCTTTTCGAAGTCCTACCACCTTTAACCGCAGAGAAGGGAGCCTCGCAATACCAAGAGGTAGCAGGGATCAACCACCAGGATGCTGAAAAAGCGGAGCTGGAGAAAGCAAACATGTTTGCTAAGCTTGTTGATTTGCGAAACGCCAACGCGCAGGGTATCGCATTCGAGAATCGAAAACGCTGTATCGCCGCATTTTCTGAGCCAGGAAAGCCAAATGACACTGGGCGTCCCGAAGTACAAGGTGCGTTATACTTCTTAATGAACTCTTATGATCACTGACGTCGGTTTTTTGTGTAGCCGCTCTTTTGACGATCCAGATACGAAATCTATGGACACATCTGACAAAATTTAGAAAGGACGTCGACAATCGTCGTGGGTTACGGCGCCTGGTTCACCAAAGGGCAAAAATACTGAAGTACTTAAAACGCTTGGATCGGGATCGTTATGATGCAGTACTTCCCCGTCTCGGTCTTGAGGCTGCAAGTGTTGAAGGAGAGCTGGTCGTGTGAGGCAATCCTAACTTGTGGAGGGGGTGGGCCCATTTACCTTAGACTCTACGTATTTCTACCCTTATATATTTCAAACTGTTAAAGACAGATTTGTATGAAATAAGGCAAGACCCTGTGACACAACAACCTCACATTTCAAGAGCATCACAGTAACCAGGAAAGTGCAATGATTATGATTATGAATTTAGTTATACGCTACCAATAATATCCATAGAACACACGTTCTTCAATAGCATAGTCCCGGATGAGAGCATAGTACCAAATATACTGTTGTACAAAGAGTCAATTTATTCAAATGCAACCAAGACAATGGTGGCAAGTCAGGATGATATGAGGATAACATAACTTGGTTTGCGTCATGACGATCACTTCTACCACTAATAAAGATATGACTCGTCAAAGTCATCCATTGGATATTCATCGTGTCCCGAATCTGAACCAGGTTCAGTTTCTGGCTTCTTTATGGCCAGCTTGATCGTGGAACGCTGAGGCAACTTGGTGGTTCTATAGCCTTGAGGAGCTTCATAATCTTTGTAGTAATCTTTATTTTCTTCCGGATGTTCAAGCTGGTGGCTATCATTTGAAACCATAATTAGTCTCACAGAGCTGGTCCTCAAAAAATACAAGGATACATACATTACTGAAATGTGCGACTTCATCTTCGATAGCTCCATAGGTTCCCTTTCAGTCTGAAGGTCAAGGCAATGTGCACACATCCACACAACCAAATCGGATGGAAACTGTGAGGGAAGACCAAAAGAGCTAGATTCGACCGCAGAGATGTTCTGATGTGATTCATCATAGCGGAGAGCATCCTGCAGACTACTGCCCTCGAGCTTCAACCATTTCACTGTCTTGTCATAGTGATCAGATGAATTATGTTTAACCTGTAGACGGGTGAGTTTTGGGCGTGAAGCAGGTATATAGGTATATTCCACACTAACCGCACTCCGCCAGCCGAAGGCAGAGGCCTCAGCTTCATCGGTCGAGCCACCCCAACTCAAGCATGCCGTGCAAGCCAGCCTTGGGTTTAGCTCATCCATTTGTGTCGATGTTGTCTTCTCCGGATCTAAGCCACATGTCTGTACAATATCTTTCACGACTTCACCAGCTATGTTGTCTACCTCCAAAGTCTGACAATTCCAAGGAGTGCGGCTTCCCATAGGAGACTCTAGGTGTCTAGTGGGGTCCGAAATAGGATAACTAAACATGTACCCTCGCTGTTTTGTAAAGCATCGATGACCCATAACTTTAGGGTAAAAAAGCGGATTTGATTTATCCGAACGGCGAGGATGGCGTAAGCGGGATAAGCAGTAAGCAATATCAAAGAAGTCGTCGTCATCATCGTAGGGGTCGAACATTGCAAAGGAGCGAGAAGGGTTGCATTCTTTGCATTTGAATACAGTAGTTGCAAGCCTGATTTGTTGAGCCACAACAGAATCGATAGGTTCGTCCAAATCCAATTCTTTTCCCTTCCCCTTTCCTTTGTCTTGGCTTGTTCCGACTTGGAAAAGACTCGGTGGAAGATCTAGCATGCCTCCATCATCGTCAGTAAGGCTATTAGTCCTCGAATTATCCTCTAAACACTGTTTGTATTTCTTGGCGAATTCTTTGTGTATCTGTTCACGCCAATCTTCGATGATAGTATCCAGATTAGAAAGCACGTCACCAAAGCTCTCTTCGGTGACAGAGACTTCCGTGGGCATTTCTAGCACTTCCTGCACAGCTGCAAATTCGCAGAAATCTGTAGGTTCCGGCATAACATCAACCATCGGTAGACGTGAGATTTTGTATCGCCGAAGGACATTAACCGCAATCCGTTTCCTGGATATAATGAGATCCTTCCGTTCACGTTCGAGACGGTTAGCTTTCATGGTTTCCATGTACTTGATAAGTTCGTCCCGAACATTAGTCCAAACTATGTTCGAGTGGTGAACACACTCCTTGCACACGAAGGAGACAGACATAACTCACTGCGTGTCGTGAGACGCGTCGGTTGTTTGACTAATTTATGGTGAGAGAGGTCATCTCGGTAGGGAATTTGGGCAATTTCTTCTCCCCAGCCTAGTTCGGTCAATTTATCGATTATACTTGGTACTCGATCAGATAAACAGCAAGAAAATCGGGGGAAATAATCACGCACGCTCTTTTTCTATCTCTCCTTGCATCTTCAAGCTGTTCTGACCTATCTCGTGCTTGAGAGGTTGCCCACTTTTCGCACAATTCTGCATGCTGCGTATGGCATTCGTCTCAGATAATCATTGGTCTGGCAAAAAAAAAAAAAGGACTAACTTCTGTAATTTGCTTTATAAGCAGAGATTGCTGTTCCTTGTAACGATCGAGTTCCACCATATCACCATTCAAGCTGGTGAGCTTTTCTCGTACTTCAGACAAGTGCTTGTGATAGAAGGCATGCCGTCCACGCTCTATCTGACAGTCAGTGAACCATGTTTGGAGAGAATGCTGATACATACTTGCAGGTCGCCTTGGAGTGAGAAAATGTTCATCCATGTACAAAAAGGTTTCGAATAAACTGGTCACTACTGTCAGTGAACGAAACAATCCTAAATAGGGTACTATACTTTGTCTTTGCACACTTTGCACACAGGCGCATGCCGAGTCGCCAATCTACAGAGCGTATGTGAGGGGTAAGACAAGCCTAGAAACAAGATATTTGAACTAAGCAAAGACATAGGGGGCAATATGGTGCATACATGGCAATGCTGGTCGAACACTAGATTGGCATAATGCGGTTCACTCAAAAAGGGAGGACAGGGAGGCAAATCTGTAACGCTTTCGCGGGCAGATATCCAGATAGATATGGAAGACTTGTGCATGAGAACGCCTCTGAACTGCTTCGTTGTGCGAGCGAGATTCAGTAGATCTAACGGTCGTAAGTGTCCAAATATCTATTTGTCAGGGGTTATGAATAGGTCGAAGTCCTGTAGAGAACAAGTGGCGGACCTCGAACAATACATCCATCGGCATGTTCATGAGGTCTGCAAGTTTTCCAAGCTTGGGAAGCCATTTCTGTCGTTTTTTTGGTGCTGGCTTCTCAGCAGCGCTTCCTGGCTGGGGGTCAGATACACGTTGCCTCTTGGACCTTCTTTGTCTCTTGACTTCATCGCCAGTCATCAGAGTGGCGCTGCTATTTTCACCCATGGCAAGTCTATGTTGAACCAGATACAACGCTGATCACAAAATCAAACACAATGTGATGGTGAAAGAAGAGAACCTTAAGGCAGAGGAGTCGCATATACTTTAGCAAATTACGGCCTTTCCCGAGCTCATAAACGCGTCGCGGCCACGTGCACGTGAGCAGGACGAGTCTAAGCTTAACGTTGCCGTAAATCACAAAGCTCTGTCAACCTTTCCTTGTCTTCTACCATGGCGGCTTCAGAGATATCTGCTATATTGCGCGATACTTTGAGCACAAACACAAATGTTCGGATTCCAGCGGAGCTCAGACTCTCTGAGATGTTTTCTCGCCCAGGTTCGTTTGATTCCTTTCCTTGTCAAGTACCATAACATCAAGCTGATTGTTATCTTTGCGCGTTCTGCAGAGGCAGGCCTCGAGCTCTCGCGTCTGATTCTTGCTCAAGATGTGGACATATCCTTACGACAGATGAGTTGTTTCGTTTTTTAAACTCGAGATCGCGTCTTGATGGCTCAATGCCTCAGCACTCCGCGAGCATCATTCTTAGAAAATACGTGACGGAGAGATGGTCACCATACTTTGCGGCATTCAAGGGAGATGCTCCGCCTGTGGAGGTAGATATTTCTATTTTCAACATACTCAAATATTCACTATCATCCAGGTCAAAACTCAAATACGCCACATTGTATTCCAAGGACTTTCAGACCCAAATCGCAAAATCCGTTCTTTGTGTGTATGTCGGGCAACGAAAACTTAACCATTTGGATTTCATTTTAATCTCGATATTCTCTAGGCCCATGCCTTATCGTCTATTGCAAACTGCGATTGGCCCGATGAATACCCGGACCTGCTGTCCTCTTTGATCACCCTTTTATCATCCAATGCACCGGACTCGGTTCATGGAGCTATGCAAGTCCTCACAGAATTCATCAAGTCTGACTTGACTGAGGACCAAATTTTGCCTGTCCTCCGAGAGCTTCTACCAGTATTGTTGTCCATCCTTGGCTCGACTGAGGTAAGGACAACTTTAAGTTACAGGTTAAATGATACCAATCACCCAGACAGCAACACAATGCTCTGACACGTGCGCGCACGGTCTCTGTTTTCCGTCAATGTGTCACAGCCTTGTACATGGTCAAAGAGCAGTATCCCCAAGCTACCAAGGAGGCGACCGCGTCGATTCTTCCAGTTTGGTTGGATGCATTCAAAGTTTTGTTGAATCTGGATCCATCAATAGACGTGAATGCGGACAAGTGGGATGGCCTGGCTATCAGGATTCAGATTTTCAAGGTGATTCGGACAAAGTTGATTTCCTTTGAAACGCTGACAAATTTATGGCACAGACATTGGATGCAATTCACACTTCTTTCCCTCGAGCTATGACTACATATCTGCAAAACTATCTGGCTGCCTCTCTTCATCATCTTAAAGCTCTTTTCCCTACATATGCACATTACTACGTATCCTCTTCAGAGTCTCCCCCTCGCACTTCTGAGGATGACTCCATTGAGCTTTCCCATCTTATCTGCCCCCTTGCCGATTTTTTGTCGAACGTTGTGAGAGGTGGAAAAGCCAGAGATTGGCTACAGCTGGAAAACCTTGGTGCTTTGGTCGAAGCTACCCTCAGCTATTCTCAAATGACACAAGACGATGCAAGTCCCCTTTATCAATACGCCCGGTTTGGCTGATGAACTAATGGAATAATTATCCTGACAGGAGGACACATGGGCAAATGATGCCAATGCTTTCGTAGCTCAAGAAGAAGATGCGACACAGACTTACGGTGTGCGGGTTGCAGGTTTTGATTTACTTTCCGTATGTTCACTGTACATAATAATGAATAACATGTTGCTGACCACATATCTAGAGCCTCGTCGACCGTTCCCCTGCCCAAACATGTCATTCATTGCAATCTACGGTACATCAAATAGTGGCGTCGTCGCAGAGTACTCGTGACAGTGGTGTCGCCCAGTGGTGAGTAACTTCAATCAGGGATAAAATGTATCGTAATTAACCCGAAATAGGTGGAAACCTCTCGAAGCAGCCCTTGCTGCGATTGGTTCTCAGGCTGAAGATATCCTCGAATGCATTGAAGACGAGCGAGAATCGGGGCGGACAAAGCCAATTGACATAGAGTTTTTACTCGCTGACGTTGTTCCCTCTATCCTGAATCTTTCAGGTGGGTGGTTTTTAAGGAACTTTAGCTTTTCGCTTTTCAATGCCTCACTATCTTTGACTATCGCTAGACCACCCGTTCTTGCAGGGAAGAGGGTTTGTTTTTGCTAGCCAATTCGCACAGCTGCTTCCTGTTGAAATGGTTGGACAATACTTAGAAGCCGCGATACATGTCATCGAGTCTGACGCTGCTGGAATTCCGGTTAAAATTTCTGCTGTTAAAGCAGTTCACAAGTAAGTGCATAATGTTGCTCAGGTTTCACCTGGTCCACTCATTTGTATTTGTCTGAAGCTTCTGCCAAGGAGCCAATGATTCTGCTCTTACACCTTTTGTACCCAGAATTGCTCAAGACTTGGGCCCTTTTCTGTTACTCACAACAGAAGATACACTATCTCTAGTACTCGAGACTATGTCTGAAGTAATCAACGTGGACAAAGGTAACTGGATAACCGTAGATCTCTCCAACTCTTTAGTGTTGGCAGTATTAGAAGTTTGGTCAAAAAATAACAAAGGTAAAAATTGTCGATGCTTTCCTTGCTCTGCTTCTCTACTGAGATATCTATGTTACCAGACCCAATATTCTTATCCATATTCACCGATATTCTCACTTCCCTTGCCTCATCCAATGCTCCGGGAGTCTACGAAACTGTGGTCAAGCAAGCACTACCCACTCTATGCACCGCAATTGGCGGCGCCACGCCAGAAGAATCGTGGATTGCAGGGTCAGCCATTGATCTTGTTGGGAGCCTAGTCCAAGGCGCTTCAGGCACCGGAATCGGCGAGGGCTTCTTTGCTCTCCTCGCGCCTAATCTCTTCCACTGCTTAGCAAAGACTGAGGATAGAGACGTTTTGCAGGTTTGTATGTTAAAACCTATGCTCCGTCGGTTACTCATAACTGGCACAGAACGGTGTAATTTGCCTTACCCTTGTCGTCCGAAAAGACTGTGGTCAGCTGCTGTCTTGGCATGATGCAGCTGGTCAATCAGGCCTTGATCACGTCCTGAAACTGATCGCTAAACTTCTCCAAAGCGAAGATGAATCAGGAGGACTTGTCATCGGTGACTTGATCATCCACCTCTTGCGACGCGCTGGAGATTCTGTTCTACCCGTCCTTCCGGAGCTGCTCCAAGCGATGATAGCGCGTATGACAAACGCTAAGACTGCGACTTTCCTCCAAAGTCTCGTTATTCCTTTTGCCTTCCTTATTTACAACCAGGCTGATACCATCCTTACGCTTCTCGAGTCCAGCACTATGATACAAGGCCACTCAGAGCTCGACATCCTAATACAAACCTGGTGTGAGAATGCTGAAACCTTCCAAGGTTTCTGGCCTACACGCATCAGCGCGCTCGCTTTGACAAAACTATATGCGCTGGAAAGACAGAGTCTACAGTCGTTGATGGTCAAAGGCGATATGGTGGTTAAGCCAGAGACCAAGAATGGTAAGTAACTCATTCTACTCATAATTATGTTCATGTTCGAACTCGAGTTCATATTCGTCTTGGGGTGCGTGCGGTAGTAATCATGACCCGGTCACGGACAAAGACAAGTGCGCGTCGAGACTGAGTTACCTTTTGTTGTGGCATGATGTGCTAGTGCTGATGTGTTCCTTTCAATGTTCTTTAGTGCCGCATGAATTTACATCAGTCTCATTCCCTGTAAAGGCGCTCAAGTTGTTGTTACATGATCTCCGCTCAGGCGGGGATTCAGCTACGATCAACGCTAATGGCGAATCCTTTGATGTAGATTCTGACGATGGGGTAAGTTGATAACAAACCTCTGCTATACAACAATCTGATCGTCATCTTTTTGTCCGGATAACTCCAGGATGATGACTGGACAGAGGAAGAAAGGCTGCATCAAGGGTTCAAGGAGGAAGAATTTTCCTTCCTGTCCGAGATGCTTGGTCCGCGTGGAGCGAACTTCGATAATGATGATATACTAGAGCAGAATGATGACGAGGACTTGAAGAATGATCCTGTTTCACAAATGGATATGCAGGTATGTTTAGATGCCTTGTATCATCTTTGTATCATCTTCTATTATGTACTCCACTTATTACTGCTTCCCTCTATCAAATAGGGACATCTTGTATCATTTTTCCACGAATGTGCAGCCCGCAACACCAATAGCTTCTCTTCGAACGTAGAACATTTGACAGCGGAGGAGATGGCAGTCGTCAGGCAGGTTGTTCAACAGCAATGACCACATCATGATGTTTTCCAGGGGTAGTACTACCATTGACAGGAGTCTAGCTCCGATCATTGTATAAGATAAGAAGAATAGAATAGAATCAAGAGGCCACCCGGATAAGCGTACTAAATGCATTTCGGATGTGTATTGGATTTGACGATAGTTGTAATTATATGCCACGGTAAGGTCAACGATCACTGGCAGACCAATCGGCGTGCGAAGCTTACGGAGACTACTTTGAGATGCGGATAGCCTACACATGGCATGTCGTTCAAACGCTCACGTTCCCACACTGTAAATGGTATACAGACTAAAGCCAGATATTGTTCACAGCCCGCTGGAATTGATTCATATGGTTCAGACAAACCAAATTATATACTTTGGCTTATACACACCATATGAATGCTACCTGATATGGGCTGTGAAAACTATATCCAAAAGTAATAATATAGTTGCACAAACCTGTACTTAGATAAACAGTTTACCAGAACTATACTGTAATGCAACAATTTGGTTTTCCAAGACTATACCATGGAAACAGGGTATTAAAACCATACCATAGTGATATGGATATATACAACTATACTTTGATAAATGGTGTGGTAAAACCATACTGTAATATGTTGGATATTTGGTCCCTCAAGGCGCGGGAACAGGCAGGATTCTTTTGGTAAATGAATGCCGTAACAACATAAATACATGCTTCTTATATAACAAACATATGTAAATATCATGTGAAAAACAATGATAGCCACAAAAGGCTGGTTGTAATCACAGAGTAAAGCTTCGGGCAAAGCTCCGAAGTTTGCTTACGTAATATAATTTCTACATAATACACTGCTATAGTTGCATAAGACTGTATCTGGGTAAACAGTGTATCAAAACTATACTACAGTATAGTAATATGGGTGTATGGGACTGTACTTCAGTAAACAGTATATTGAAACCATACTATAACATACTACCTACTATGGTCATATAAGACCATACCTTAGTAAACAGTGTATCAGAACTATACCATAGTACAGTAATATGGTTGTATAAGACCATATTTTAGTATATAGTATATTAAAACCATACTGTAAGATTACTACTATGATCATATAGGACTATACCTTAGGAAACAGTATTTCAGAACTGTACTGTAGCATAGTAATATGGTTATATGGGACCATACTTCAGTAAACAGTATATTAAAACTATACTATAATACACACTATAGTTTCATAGGACCATACTTTAGTAGACAGTGTATCAGAACCATATCATATTTAGATTATATGGTTTCACAAGACCATATTTCAATAAATAGAATATAGAAACTATATTGTATTTGGGTAATATGGTTGCATAAAACTATACTATGATAAACAGTTTATAAACACTATACATGTTTTTTTTTAGTATGGTTTTGATATACCATTGCAAATGTTATGGTTATGTAATACTATATCAATATGGTTGCAAAAAACTAAACTAAAATTAAACATGTATAAAAATACAAACACAGGATTTGAACTTAAGACCTCATAGTATTGCAAGAGCAAGACAACCAGATTTAACCACTACACTATCACCATTATATATATTGTCTAAATATTATATGCTATAAGCCTATAAAGTTGTCTAGTTTCAATAGACTTAGAATAATTTTGTGAAAAAATGCAGCGATATAGTTTCCCCACACCATATCCAAACAGTATTATAGCACCATACTACTTATATGGTTTCTCAAAACTGTAATAATAGAATAGTGCACAAAAACCATTTCACACAATATAGTCACCTAAAACCATATTATTGTATAGTTGTCAGATACTGTTTCAGATATAGTTTCTACAAACCATATTGGTAAAAAGTAATATAGTGGTATAAAACCATATCCCAACCAATAAGTAGGTATAGTTTATATATACAGGTACTTTTATACATTTATTTAAATATCTTGAATATCATTTCTATTCATCTTGTGGCTCAGTGGTTTAGTTGTCTACTCAAATTATTGACTGACCACAAGGCCTTTGGTTCAATTTTTGATGGTGGCAATTTTTTTGAAATGCAATGAGATAGTCTCTAGAAACCATATCACTGAATTAATTACAGCCGGCTGTGAATGCAATGTGGCTAAATGCTGTATACGTCCTAAAGTGGTAGACCGTGAGCGTTTGAACAGCCGGGTCTGCGTCGCCTGCCCCTTGAGATGTTATACCGTGACCACTGGCACCACCGCTCGATATTCAAGGTCCTGCATTTTACCCTTGCAGGCTGGATGTATCCGCCGTGATGTAAGTTACGTATGCTCATATTCAAACTGGTAATGACGAATCATATAATGAATTCAAATACCAATTACCTCACGAACGCCTGGCAGGTCAACCAAGCCTGTTCAATTTCTGATGAACAAACTGCTATGAGCTGAAACAGTTTACCCAGGCTGGTCACACCGTGCGGCATTTCGTCCGTTGGTTTGATTGCATCACCAGTGAGCGCTCGTTGATTGTTGCATTGAATTCACAATCGCCATTGCAGTCCGTAATTGTACGCCTATGCTATGCCCTTGCCATACCAGTGATCAATGTGTCACGGTATAGCATTCTGTACCGGCGCTATCGACAGTACTCTTTCGGCTCTATCAATACAGATGTGAAATCATCATCATCACACATTGACAACATGAGCGGATTTCAAACCATATGCACTTCATACTACTATCTCAGCCCAAGTACCCTTCGCAGCTTCCATACATAACCTATTGGTAGGAGAGAGTAGTATGCGTTTTTCAAGCCTCCAAGCACTTACATGGCAGCGGAGACTAGCTTGGCAAATGAATCAACATCACTGATAATCCCCTGTCAATCTATCGTACGAGCCTGTACGAGCAAGGCACCGTTACAGCCTGGAAAATATATAAACTGGAAAGGTTGATATTTCGTATACCTGGCGTACATAGACTCCTAGATGGCAGACTTTTATACTACCCCGGCTTTCCTGTCTAATCTGCAGACATCTAAGGTATAGTATTCCTCTTTTCTTCTTAGCTGCGCTCTTTTGACCAAATGTTGGCTCAGTACTTGAATGGTGCGTAATTCTCTCGGAATGAATATAAGTAATATGTCATGGACACTCCGTATGACTAGTCGCTGGTTTGGCAATATGGGTAAGGATGCTCAACTCATATCAAGCTCATTAAATAACTCAAAGATTTTCAGATATTTGACTTTTGTATCACGTTTGAGACGGAGGTTAATTTGATGTTGCTATACGTTCATCAAACACTCACCCGAGTTATGTCAGGTACACTTGGTCTGTGGAAAGAAGTGGGATTTTACGCGATTCGTATTCACTGCCTCGCGTTATCTACCTCTAATTGGCGCTCTTCTGACAGTGAGCGGTATGTGATTTTAATTGGTGATACATTACACAATATCTGATGTAGCAGGACATAGCTGCTCTTCAGACAGATCGTTCAGGAAGCGTTAGTAACATCATATCATAAGTAAGATACTCGAGCTTAATTTTGCTATGGATAGTGCATACCCTTCAATGATGCTTCAGATGGTAAGCTTCTTAAGCTTAAGAAATGTCAGACTTTTATCTTACCTTCCTTGCAGTGATTCACTTGCTGGGCATTGTCGCCTCAGAAGGCTGGTCTTCAGTTACTCTTACAGTTCTTCTTGAACTAAACTTTATTTGTGAAGGTCTACTCATCCTACGAACTTGTGCTTTCTGGCAAGGCAACAAGAAACTCCTGATTGGGGTATTGGTTTACGGTGTCGTATGAATCTTCACTCTGCACGAGAAGCTATTCGATACAACCAGTTTATATAGCTTTCGCTTCTACTAGCTGTCGTCGTGCCTCGTCAAATACACAACAAATACACTAGCTGTAAGCCCTTGCAATATCAATCGCCCAGTCCAAAGCTTACTCTTTCCCTTAGCAAACCCGGGAGGTTGCATATTTGCAGGCAATCAAACAAACGCTATACAATATGCATTCTTAGTAGTTTTTGAGATCGGTTGGTGCTAATCTCGTAGCAAGGGTACTATACTGATCGATACCTGCGTGACTTCAGTCCTGCTGTTTTTAACAGCACTCAAAAGGTATAAATTCTATGAGCATGCTAGGGATAGCATAGTAATCACCACACTCTTTCGGGATAATGTGCTGTATATGGGAGCTATTATATGTGAGTCACTATAGCTTTACAGTACAGCTATTCCTCACTACAATATGTTCATTCCTAGCCATTTCATTGGCCAATATCATCGTCATTGTCACTGTACTGGTAAATTTTGATGCTTGCAGAGAATAGTCAGATGAAATACTGATGTCTTAAATCACTCAGCTTGGTGCTATTAACGCCCTCGACACGTGCGTTCAGATGATAACACGATCCTCAAGATACTCATAGAAAATGTTGTTTACAGACTACAGCTCGCACTGCATAGCGTCCTAGCCTCTCGCATTCTGTTTAATCTCCGTGAAACTCAAAACTATACGAGAAGTTACCGTATTAGAATTCCTCGTGGTTGAGCCTGAGAGAGATGGGAGGTGTTGCGCTGTCAAGAAGTCACCTGTATTTGTATTTGTATACTGGTCATGAAGGCTAACAAGATCCTAACGATGTAAAACTTGTGCAACGTAATACCAGTTTTGGTGGGGTGAAACGAATTTGGAAGATTTTTGTAATATAAAACACAGGATAACCGACTTCATGCGAGCTCGTAGCTCCAATTGCAATTCTGCGGAAGGTATTTCATCCGCGATGAAACTCCTTACGACTGAAGTACTGAGGTAGCACGACCATCAGAATCCACCAGAGGCATCAGGGTCTCACAGCGCATAGCGGGTCCTAGGGCATCTGTCCGACGCAGGTTGAATAGAATGCGAGATGCTAGGACGCTGTGTACGACGATCTGCAATCTACGCATCTGATGTGAGAGCGCCTGACTTTGTATAGTTCCTAACGCACGTATCGAGTGAATTGATGTATCCAACCTGATCGTGATGTAAGCAATGAGTATTATCCCACCATCAGAATATTCTGACTCACTGGAACAGAAACAGTTAGGAGAATATTTGCCAACGTAATCACTAGGAATGAATCATTAGTAAGTGGGAGGAGAAGTAGAGAGCGACTTCACATATTATACAGCTAATATACATGATCCCATCGAGATAGAGAGTGATGATCACGGAGCTGTTGGTAAAGCGATAATTTTTGAATCTTTTGTATATGATCAAAAATAACAGGACTAAACATACATAAAGGTGTAAACTACCTCGACAAACGAGATTTCAAGACAGAACTCACTGAATTCGAACAGTAACAAAAACCCATATACTATCGCGCCTGTTCTACCATCAAAAAATAGGCAACTCCCAGGATTTGCTTTGAAGTGGTATCAACTAGACCGCAAGCTATTTCTAGAGAAATTGACGCACTGTAGCCTTCCGGAGCCTGCACTTGAGTTGGCACAAAAATAGCCATTGCAATAAGGATCTTGAATCCACATTTTAATCGTAGATATAATAACCTATGCCAAAACCACTTACTGCAGCGAGTCCTAGAAGCCCGGCAAGTAATTGCTTACTACCTTCCCAAAACGTGTAAGTTCGCTGAACTAGTAAGCCTGCATCATCATTGGCCCATATCAGCCAAAGCTAGACATACATGGGTGGGTGAGTTACCTTCTGCAGCGACAATGCCCACGATGTGTATGACTGTTGGTGTGGTCAATGCAACGCGAGTATTTCCAAAAACGTAGGACTGACTGTTTTCCGCCGTATCGAAGGGTTCACACTGCAAAGAATTCACTCAGTGCGAAGGATAGGTTTGATATGAAGATAAAAAACTGACATTGCCCGTACGAGTCACCACAGCAGCTTGTCAAGTACAGTGACAGTAAATTCGAGATATCAGAAGGCACGAACAAAATATGACTTACAATATACAGTCATAACAGCCCCTATGAATGGCAGGTAACGGGCAAGTGTAAACATGATCCGGGTAGTTTTCCATTGTCTCCCCCAGACCCAGTGAATCTGTTGACGACGTCTAAGAAATGGTTTAACTTTATGATGCTCATTAAGGACCACCTCAGTTCCCGATGTGATACAATAGTCATAAAGCTGAGATTGTCATCAGTACTGCAGCGATAGCTCTTTCCTATTACTTTCTTACCCAAACCGCCAACCCAGCGACTAATGAGATCGATGAGCTGTAGCATTGAAACCTCATTTGAAGATCGACTCATCATGCATACCGTTAAAATACTGGAAATATGGGTGATATCAATACGATACCAAATGACAGACACAGTATCACGGTGCTTACCTTGGATGTCTGCAAACCTGAAAGGAATAAAGGGGAGTCCGTCGACATTCTGGCTGTGCGACTTGCTGATCAGTTATTTACCTGGTTTATCTGGCTATATATCAAAAACGTGGATATCCGTCCCCCTCAGTTCCACATGTACGTTCTCCTATGTCCTATGATTAGGATACGAGAGTCTATCGGATGATTATTGACCCTGAAGCCTCGAGGAATCAAGCAACACCTTTTATCGTGAGAGGACCCAGATCCTTCTCAGCCTCGCTATTGGTAATCACCATGAGCGCCTGTTAAAATAAGATGCCACGGACCCCGTAGTCACTTCTCTCTCACCACAACCACGCTATTGGCTGCTGCAAAGATATATGATACGATACTGAATGGAACCATTCCTTTTAGTGGGACTTTGAACAAGAATCCAGGCACAACTTGAAAACATGTTAGATCCATGGCTGGGAGCCTAGATACATTGTCCCGTCAGAGCCAATTAGCCGTAAAGGTCATATCCATGCATATTAACAAATCCACAATATACCGCGCAGTACAGCCAAACACTCCCAACATGTACAGGGACAACTCACCCAATCTCAGAGTCATTGCGTGCCCCGCTTGGACCGGGTAGTGATTCCCTTGTATCTGCTCGCCACTCACTCCTGGAGGAAATAAACGACAGGGGTATCGTGTCTTCTTGCCTTCTTGCGTTCGTTTGACGAAGGTTGAAGAGGATTCGAGATGCCAGAACGCTATGTGATACAATTTGTAGCCTACAAGTAGACCGAGATTGAGATTGAGTTGAAATGCACCCGAAAACGAACGTACGTATCAAGAGAATTGATATATCCAACCTAATATAAATTTCATGTCATATCGTGCTGTTTAACGTGAAACAAAAGTACTCACGGGAACAGTGACAGTGACGACTATGTTTATCAGCGTTATCACTGAAATTACACGTCATATTAAACTCGAATTTTGGTTATAAAGGTGGAGGCACCTACAAATAATGCAAATCATATATATCACCCCATCACGATAGAGAGTTACGATGAGTAGGTTGTTAGTTGTGTTATAGAACCGAAATCTCTTGTATATATTCAAAAACAACAAGACTGAAGCCACGTTGCACCATCGGTTAGATCCACGAACTTAATATTACTAAATCTGAAGCTCACGTAGTTCAAACAGTATCAAAAACCCATACACAATTGCCCCAGTCCTTCCGTCGAAAAAGATACAGCTACCCGGATTTGCTTGGAGATGTCAGCTTGACATGAATATTGATTATAAAAGAGTGACCTACGGTAGCCTTCAGGGGCAGTGACTTGAGTGGGCACAACAACTGCTCCAATAGTGATAACCTATAACAAGCTTTCAGCCGCATATCAGCCTTGATAATTACAAGAAACCCACTACAGCAAACGGCACAAGCCATAGAAGCAACTTTTTACTGCTTTTCCAAAACGCATAAGTCCTCAAGATAAGGAGCACTGTGCGGTCTCCCGCATTAGCGCAATTTCAGAAGAAATAAAAAAAATAGTTTCAATGGAACCTTCTGCTGCAACAATGCCAATGATGTGGATGACTTCGCTTCCTTAGTGTTCGCAACAACATGATAGGCATGAAAGACCCACTATTTGCGGCGTTGTTGAATGGTGCACACTGTATCGAGTATCAATACCTGCCGCTCATTATGACAAAATGCAGTGAAACAACTAACATTGCCTGAACGATCCACCACAGCAGCTTCAATAAAATGTGAGAGGTTATGCGCGAAGAGGTAACTAGAACGTACGTACTATACACGGTCATAGAAGCGCCGATGGTTGGTACATAGCGTGCAAGTGTGAATATAATCCGCGTAAATTGCCATTTTCGCCCCCAGACCCAAAGAACCTACGGTGTCATTATTTGAGCTTGATAAAAATCCATAAATTGATGCATGATACCTCAGTCTCGAATGTAATGCAGTAGTCGAACACCTAGAAGTGTGCCAGGTTAGTTAAGGTGTATTTATTTCTTACGCGTCCTTACCCAAACTGCCAAACCAGCAACTGATGTTCATCAATTATCATTGCTCTGAGTATAGCCTCTAGTGATCGTGTAACAGCGCTCACCATTGAAATACTGCAGGAGAAGAACAGATGTCAATGCAATTTGATCTATGTGGGCAAAGAGTATACACACCCGGGATACCTGCAGACTTGTTAGGAAGGATACGCTTGTAGTTGACATTCCACTCACCCCAACTATACCCAGCGTACAACACCACCTCATTTATATAGTGGCATATATAGACTATCCTAGGATTCTGGCTTCCACACTTCTTTGTCGTCAATTATGGCGGGAAACGGATAATGGTCTCATCCATATGCGCCGATTGGCGCGATATAAGAAGAACTTGATGACCATTACCCCGTCTTGTTACTCCGGAGTGCGGAGTCCTGAGTGATTGGCCGATACTCTCTAGCGTGAGAGGGAGCGAACTTATTTGAATACCGCGGTCTTGGCGAAAACCCCTGTACAGACAATGCCTACCAAGATCAAGTGATTTTGGGTAACCTTCTCATATATTGATGCGACGAGATGATGAATTGCTGATAGGATCACGACAGGCCTGAGAACAAGCCATCCAGTAGAACTAGTCGCAGTTTGAAAGGTCAGTCTCTTACTCACCTATAATCACTTTTTCCAACTCTTCTCTGATATACTCGCCCCAGTTCTTGGTTAGGTTACGTATAAAAATGGCATCTTAAGCTCCCGTCGTAGCTGTTATGAATTACTCATAGGATTTGCGACTAATTCATTTATGCACTAAAGTACTCTGTTTGCAAGCAGCTGGCTAAACTTAAGATCGAGTGCGAACAACCGTGGAAGAGTACATGACATGCCTGGGAAGCCACTGAGAGCATGAAAAAATGTTAGCATGTTTATTGGGTGCCTGTAGTACACTGACGTGCCGTCGGCTTAAATACCTTCTCAAATCCTCTCTGTAAGAACTGGAGTGGCGAACCTTATTGATTTCATCCACAGGTTATCGTCAGTAGACGCGCCATCGTGTAATCGGAGCATTTCAATAGACTGTAGATCTGTCAGTATGAGCGATGGGTAGCCGAAAACTTCGATTAACCTGCGTACAACTTACTAGTGAAGCCCAGTAAACGATCCACATAAATGTTGAGGCTTTGAAGCGCGGCCGCAAAACAATGTTTACGTTTCTTCATGACTGCTGTTTTGGGAAGAGTATAAAATTGACATCAAGCTAGTCAGCATCTTATTGCGAGCCAACTGATTCAGATAGTTGCAATGTTATACAAATATCAGACAAGGACGAGGAAAATATTTGAGCCTCAGTATATCTCCGAAATGATTTGAAGCTCAGGATGATCCTGCCTAGTTACACTTGTCCTCGTATGATGCCATTCTCTGAACGTAAGGAATAAGGTCTCAAAATATGAATATGAATGAAGGTGTAAAAGAACGATACTCACCAATATCCCTTGCAAATTAGAATTGAAGGAATCCCAATCCCAACGAGAGGATATTCCCAGCCTTCTCACAGGCTAGCTTAACATGTTAAGGCAGCTGCGTACCATGGCACTTGGGGGTCTCGCGGTGTGGTAGTTCATATACAGGCAGTACATCAATTAATTTTTTCCTCCATCCAGCACAGTACCAAAGTAGGATTAAACGACTCGCGTTCGGCCTTCAAGTTTAGCATCTCGTTAACGTGTTTTCTAGTGTAGGCTATCTGGTCTGCACCGAGACCTAAGTTCATTGCGTCTTCTTCGCGTCTTCTTCGCATAGTTCTTTAAGCAAATACCACGGTGGATCAATTGGGCTTGGCACAACTTGCCATTGCGAGCCTTCCAGAAGTCTACTGGATAGGCCCAGCAGGACGTGCCGCTCCTATATTGAGGTTTCTGGATCCACCAATATGCTTCAAAGCTTGGAGATTTTGACAGCAAGTCTAAGTCATGAAATCTACAGAAGACGATAGCCTACATTCCCACCGTGGATGGAGAAAGAAAATCATGTTCAAACGCCCTGGTCAAAATTTTACTTTTTCGGACAACGTAGCGGGCTTAAGTAAGCACATGTATATGGAAATGGTCCGATTCGTTGGCTGTAAAGTTTGCAAATTTGGGACTATGCATCAACGAAAGAGTTTGAGCATGTTATGACATTTCCTTGTTTGTATATCTGAGCGAAACATCGTGGCTGTTGGACAACGGGTATATAAGACTATAAATTCATATCAAAATAGTGCTGATTTTCATCGCAGATAATAAATTCTAATGATTTGTAAGTCAGTTGCAACCAGCGTACAATCAAATATCAAAGTGCCATGAAGTTACAGTGTAGACGGTAAATTCCAGTTGGCATAAACTGGTTGTAAGAATAATATAATTACATATCAAAACGGTATTAATCTTCAGCTTTGATAGTATCTTCCCACTATCCGTAGACCAGCTGTAACCAACATATAAGCACGTATCAAAATGTCATAGTCCTTCAAAGCAAGCGATAAAATACGGCTAAGTAGAACGCAGTTACACCAAGGATGTAGTTACATATCAAAGTGACGTTAGTATTTCACCTTAACAATAATTTCTATCCATCTACCAACCAGCTATATTCAGCATACAAAGGTTAATGAATCACAAATCGTCAAAGCCAACATCATCCTCTTCGTTCTCGTCCCCGTCCCCGTCCTCATTATCCTCGTCGTCATCCTCGTCCTCGTTGTCATCACCATTCTGGCCTCCACCATCTTTGTCCGTGCCCTCTTCAATAGTCTCCCTATAATAGTTTTGATCATGGTATATGCGCTCTTCCTCATCATTTTCGTGCACATCTGGAAGTTCTTCTTGAGGTCCATAAGCTCCAGAGGGATGGTGCTTGACGAAGTTGCCCATGTGCCCAACACCATTCCCTCGATACCGCATAAACATATCCCTGTCAGAAAATCTAACACATAGTGAGACAAAGGCTAGCGTACGGAACCACCGCACGTACATATTAACATAGTAGGCAGTCCAGTCATCGACCTCTCCATGTACCCGACCAGCTGAAGGTCCTTCTCTAAGTAAGGACGACGTGCGGCCATCTACAAAAGCCGGAATTAGGTGACATGCACGCACTACCACGGAAGGATTGAGGAAGCCGAATGGTGCGACGCGCCTGTCGTTTTGTCGAACAAAGCCGATTTTGGGTAGACGGGCTACCTTAAAGCCAGATCGGTGGTTGGGGACACCACCGAACCACCGGACAAAAAGGAACTCTACGTTTTGCACTGATCGATTGGCGGCCTCTGGACCTGTATGAAGGACGCGAGCATGGAACACACCTAACACACGCGCGTACCAATAAGGATGGGCATATTGGTCCTTCTCGCGAGATAGTACCATCACGTCCGAGTTGTTGCTAATGTTGATTGTGTCGTAATCCCTCCGAACATCGTAAGTCGTATAATGAACTCGCATAGTCTTGACTGAATATATGCGATTGTCGAGTATCCGCAAGTTATTCCGCTGTTCAGGAGAAAACTTGAATTCATCACCATCATATCGAAAATTCAATAGACGGCCTAGCAAGTGATCCTTCAACCTCGGGATGAATCACTAGACATGTGGGAATCAAATAAAGATCGTCAGGAAGTACTCATAGCACATACCATGATAGCAGGATCATCTTCTGCAAAGTTCCGCAAAAATCCATGCAGATCTTGAGAGTTACGCTGAGACGCTGAAATATAGTGATGTAGTTCAATAGGTAGACTGTTGCGTTCGTCAGACTCATCGAGATCCGAGTCCGAATCATCTTGCTGCGACATGGACGTATCTGTGACAGGTTCTTCATTTCGGGACATTCTGTTATAGCGGCGTTCTTGGACTGATAAAGACTTGAGGAGTTGAGTTTTGTTCGTACGATCATACAACTTTTTGACTAGACGATGAGCGAGTTCACCCTGCAAATCGTAATCAGATCCATAGTACGGAGAAAGTAAGAAAACTCAACTATCTGTGTGCTATAGGAGTCCGTCGTGCCGAATAGACGTATGGCCCTGGCGTAGTCTCCGAGAGAATGGAACTTATACGTATGCAAGCTCATTTTTTTCTCGCTAGAACTGGATTCCTCATCTCCTTCGACCTTCTCGTGGTCATTCTCTTCAGCACGGCTCCTCCCCTTGTTGGCTCTGCCCTGCTTTGTCTTCTTCGTACTTGAACTGTGTCCCTTCGATGATTTTGCTTGTTTTCTACGCATTCGCGCAGATGTCTCACGTGGAAGCTCTGTTGTCTTGAAGGCATTGGACGTCACATCTCGAAAGTGCCGAAGCAACCTAGAAATAACCTTGAGCGCATGTTGCAGATAAACGAGGGTCTCATCAGTATGTAGACGCAGCTTGGCAAGTGCGTGCCATTCCGCCAAACGAAACAAGAGTGTCTGAACGAGCTCGTCGTGTGGTTCTGGCAGGAGATGTTTGAATGCTGGCATGGAACACTTTTGGAGTTAATGGTAAGCCAGGAACAAAGAGAAGATACAAACGGGAAGGTACACACCTGCAATATGTCTTCAAAGTTACGTGCAGCTAAGTTTTTCATTTCGGATACGTTTGATGAAAAGCCGCGAATGGCACCTTGGCCGAATGTAGGCATTTGACGAAACCTGTAATAAGTTCAAAAGAATGTTAGTAGAAGAATACACAATTATAGAGAAGTAAACATGAACCTGGAATCCAGTTCTGCTACCATCGTATGCCCAACCGCGGTCAACAAACGAATCAGGTGAGTAAATACAGATTCCCACACCCCAAGCTCAAATTCATGCATCATGTCGACCACAAGCATGCTATGAACATCGAAACCAAGGGGGCCTAGCCTCTCAGAAAAAGCATTCTGACATTATATGTCAAGAAAGACAAAATATGCTAAGATAATGAGCTCACGATAGTAGGTACCAGAGATTCTGGTTTCAGCATAGTTTCAACCGCTCTGGCCTTGATTGGTGTACCTTGTTTATACAGGAAATCCCGCGCGAGCAATATTTTTCCGGCCATATAACGACGAATTCCTTCGAGACGCCCCTGGGAGTCCCAAGAGAAGCCCACCTGATCGAAACTTGTTTTCGGTGTAAGGCATCGAGGACAACCGCACTCTCCCATATCTCTGATTGTTGCGAGAAGAGTTCTATGCCTTCAGGTAAGGATACGGAACGCAGGGGACAGGAAAAACACTTACTTCTCCGGGTAATCTGCCGAATAGGTGAAAAACCTGGGGAATACCCTTCTAATGATCCCATCAAAACACCGAATAACAATGCCGTGTTTATATGCATGGAGAAACTCCTCGTCCAATAGTATCCTCCATACCTCGTGCATCAATTCGCGACGGCAATGCGCCAGAAGGGCAGCCGGTCTTCGTGCTTGAGTGATGAAAGAGGCAATAAATTCTTGAATGTTGTCTGGAAGCTAAGAACCATCAGTAAAACGGCCAGAAAGATGAGATAAATTAGCTACTGAAGGTATGTAAGCTACATGGTGACACGCCCCCGATGTTGGTTTTGCACGAACATACTTAGATAGATTCCCAAAGTACATATACACAGGCCAAGCTCCGACTGATCCAAAAGAGGTTAGACGTGTTGCATCCGACCAGAACATGAGCGCTGCTATGACCCGCTCTAACTTGCAGCCGGGCTCTGGAGGCTGTTTATTAAGGGCTTCTTGTGCTTGAATCCAAGAGTCAGACGTGTAGAGCTCATCGTGAACGCGTTGTTTGGAGCCACTGAAGGGAGGTTGCCAGATCCGTTTAAATGGGAAGAGGTGGAAGGATTTTGCTGATACGTCAGAGAATGCGGACTTGATGACCGATACTAAAGGCCGATATCTGAAGTGAGGGATGGCGAAAATCTTTCCATTTCCCTTGGGGTTCATAACTCTTGTAGGTACACATATGTTGATATTGCATTCTTTCCATCCATCGCCTGTTGCAGGGTCCCTGTTTTCTGACTGGTCGAGAATCCGGTTTGCGCGATGTGCATCGAATCCTTTTAGATCGTCAGCTTTAAAGTCTGGTGCGTTAATGACTTCCCTGGCAAGGCGCATAATTTCCTTTTCAGATTTCCTGTTATGTCCTGTAATCATCCATTTCATGAGTCGGTAGACCGTCATGTTAGGATATGGCCACGGAGGTTTAGTATCCTCTCCGGTTCGTGTCTCCTGTATAGCGTTGATACTTGCCATTACGTTTCGATACTTCACCTGCCAGAGATCCTCAGGACGTATGTCGTGCTCGGGATCATAAGATGGCCTGCTATTGTAGTCTCGACCAAGACCGAATGTATTGACAGCAGTCCGAAAAGAGTCTCGAACATATAGCATGACTCTGCGAGCTGTTGACGCTTCTGTTGCGATCGGGACCGTCTTTTCGGGAATGTAATCTGGGCATCTATCAGGATTACGATCACATTGCTCAAGACTTTCGATCTGCGACAACTGGCCGACATGCGTAGATGAAAGACAAGTAGGGTCTACCGCGGAAACCTCCAGTGGTGATGTCTGAGATATATCTTGAGTATCGCATTGCAAAGTAGTATGAACTGTAGTCGGAGATGCGGGAGGTGATCCCATCTGGATATCAAAATCCCCAGGTCTCTCGAGGTTGTACATCACCCGGTCATTGTTCTCATAACTTGCCCTTATAGGAATCGATTAGTGATCGATTAGACACTACAAGAATATGACATACCGCACATCACAGTCCACTTGCACCTGGTCAGAGGCACCATCGTTAGCAATCACAGCCTGGGTTTGCTCTCTGTGAGGAGTAGATAGTCTAATTCTTGATTTTTTTGCCTGAGACCTTCGCCTTGTGACTGCGTTAACTTGCAAGTCTTCATATATCGGACAAGAGTACCGGTGCCTGTTCAGCCCTCGTTGGTCTTTGAATGTTCGATCGCACGGATAACCACATTTCAGCATCATCAAGATATCGCTGCAAACGAGAGCCAGACCGAGAAAAATGAAAGGCGATAAATTCATGAATTGGTGTCAGATTTTTGAATGAATCTTCTGTAATGCCAACTACCAAAGGTGTCGACTGGCCTAACTCGCCGGAGCGATAACTTCAATTGAAACCTGCCAAGTAGAGGTAAGAAAAATCACAGTACTAGTCTGAGCATCTCTCCAAGATCCTTACCACCCTGACCACTACACACCAGACGGGTATAAAGGGAGCAATGAACGTTGAACACTGGCGGCTCCGCAGGGTCTGAGTGGTCACAAACCGGATTTGGAAATATCAGTTCCTCATCATACCAAGTCGCAGTGTGAATGGATTCGATGTCCGTGCAGGACGATTCTACGTACATATCGATAATATTGATGGCCTTGCGACATTGACTCCAGTCATACAGCATAGTTTTATAATAGGGCTACACATGAATATGTAAAACGCGGTTCATAGTAGGAAGGAGCATAAAGTCAAGAAAAACGATATAGTTATGGCAATCGCACAATTTCAGCTTACACCGGTACCAGGAGCTCGAGGTAGTGTAGTCCTAACCGTGGCGTTTGCGGACAGATCGACCATCACCGCTGATGCTGCCCACGTTACTACTACCTGCTGCTTCAGTTCCCGGGCCCCCGCTTTCGGTATCATTCTCGTCTCTGCTTCTCTTGTGCTCGGTATACCAAGATGTATAGCGAAGATAGGCGTTTACGATGACACCTTTCTTGAGAGCTTCCTTGAGATATCGCCAGTTCACCGTGAATGGTACTGGCGCCAACCCGGGGTAGACCTTGTCTACCATAGCACACCACGCTTCCTGCAACGCCTCGTTCACAGCCACTAGGTTTCCCTCCTGTGGTAACAGTTGACCTGCCTGCGATATCCTTCAGCATCAACCAGATGTTATCAAGGTGGGGTACGTACCGTCATTTCCCGATCTTTAACGTAGACTTCAATATTGCACGTGAAGTGACCGGCCCACTTGTAGTTGTACCCAACCAGTGGATCAGAACAACTGTGGTTCATATAGGTGGTGAACCATTGTTCGCGCGAGGGAAGTGAAAAAGCTCGAGTAATGGCATGATTGGATGTGGGTGCGGTGTATCCGTGTTCTTTGATGTCTATGATCATCGCTCCTACAACGGATGGAATTAACATATAATTTGCAATACGGGCTCGAGCGCTATTTAAGGTCTGGGTAAAGCACGTCTCTAGAGGAAATATAAGGCCAATCTGAGGGTGTTCGATACCGATATCCGGTACGTATTCGCCCTTTGGCTTGTTGTCACCAGTCTCATTGCTTATCTTGAAGCTTTCAGCCGTGCTTACATCCCACACGGACATCGGGTTGGATATGTTATCCGTTCCCGCACTTGCGTCCTGCACCCCCATGGCCTTCAGAAAACAATTGCGTAAATGTTTGGTGGGTGCCTCATGTATAGGCGAGGGTGGACCGAACATAATCAAGATCTTCGAGACACCGTCCCAATAGTACCTTTTCGTGCTGGGTAAGTTCACTATGAAAGCTGCTGGCAATATATTCATACCTGATTGGGAGCGTGTCCTTTCTCCCCAGCTTTTCCAAGATATGGTGGAGCTCCGAATATTCGATACCCTTGAAAACAATCTACATCAAAAGAAAAGACAGGCAAATAATTGTGAGCACACTATCGACGGAATAGCTTTTTACTAATGACGTACCTCCTTTCCTGTCACGATTTCACCTGGACCAAGGCCCTGGGTATTGGATGCAAAAAATGCTGCCGCTTTGTTTGCAATAGCTACCCATGTTGGGTGCTGACAATGAGTCACTTTGGAATCCACCGTAGGTTGATTCACAATAGGCACAACACCAGATTGTGTTGTTTGAGCTCGAGCTACTTCTTTGGGAGGCTGTAGTGCAAAGGGAGCGCTGTCACTGTGACAATGCTCGACACCACCCGGACCTGACGGGCTAGTGGCGTGTCCTTGTTGTGCGTGCTTAAATTTGTTATCACTGGAAGTGTTACAAGTCTGAGAGCTCGAATCTCTGGTCGTGGAAGATAACGTCGGAGAACTAGTAGAGAAATATGAAACTTGGTAAGAGCGACCTTTCGAATAGTCTCCTTCGTAAAGTGTCATGATGACTGTTCTCTTTGCAGTTGCGGCGGAATGCCTCAAGCTCTTCTAGCTGTTATCATCAGGAAAATGGTGAGGTGCTGATATTACCAGGCGGAGTTTATAATCCGTCCCAAGTCTTGCATCCGACTGTCAGGTCATATCTATGATTATAATATGGGAGTAAGATTGATGTAGTTGTATCAGCTTTTATACACTACTGGCACTGTTGGGTAGTCGGATAGAATAGTATAATTATCATGCGAGCTTATCTAGCCTTCTAATATACAACCAGTTTGCTAGTCTGCCTCTGTAATTATCGGTGTGATGTATGTGTGCATTGATCCCACCGGTAGATACTTGCAATTTAACAGACAAAGACATCATAGCATAAAAAATATTGTAAGTAAACATTATTTCCTAATCAAAATTCCTGTCACTCTCATCATTGAGGCCGTAGACCTGCAATCCATCATCTTGATCTCCCTCTTCTGAAGGCAAGTCGGAGGAGGTTGATTGAGAATCTTCACTCACTGATGAGGCTCGGCCCTCATATTCATGGTTTTCTGCATCCGAACCAAGCAAATCCGGGGCTTCAGATTGGCGTGCATGATTGGAAACTTCATCTGCAGGATCTGTGACTGTTGCTGCGGCGATTTCATCTGGTATTCCACAGGGCGGCTCAGTATTTCCTCGTGAGCGTTTAGCGTACAAGTGGCCAGGAGCATAGCCATAATAATAGCGCATCATGATGTCGCGGTCAACAAATCTGTAGATTATTATTGTTAGATGTTTAGCCTGGCATAGTGAATCAAAAAATGTTGCTCACCTATTCACATAGTATGTCTTCCAGTCTGCCGAGTCTTTCGCAGAGAGTGATGTACCAATCCTATGCGGATGCAAAGGCCCTTCTGAAAATCGGGGGATAACATGACAGATACGAAGTATATCAGCTGGATCTACAAAGCCAAATGCATCTTGGTGGTCAGTGGGCAGGAACTGAAATGAATCAAGCTGACGACGATGCCAGCCAGTATTGCAGTCACTGTCTCTGAGAGGCTCATACCATCTAACCCAGAGAAACTCCATGCGGTGAGCTTGGTAGTCGTAACTTCCAGGTCCAGCATAAATAACATTTGCATGGTATATTCCTAGGACCCTTGCATATAAGAACAGATGGCCAGAGTCTATAGTTCGGTCAGAGAGCATCATAATACTGTTGTGTGATGTGTTTATGTTCACTACGTCCTGCGCCCGTCGAATGTCATAGGTTGTATAGTTGAGGCGGATGATGTTGTGGTGGTAGATACGATTATTATGGAAAATGATGTAGCTTCCATCTAATGCGTTATCTCCCGCAAAAGTGCCCGTTTCACTGCTTGTAGCGGCAGGCTTGTTTTGGTCTGTGAGGAGAGCTACCTTCAGTCGTGGAAGAAGGTGCGCTCGGAGTTTAGTCAAAAACTCCTGCACATTGGTGTCACATGTGGTAGATATAGACATAATATATGTATTTACCTTGATAGCGGGGTCGCCTGTTCGTTTCTGTAAGAATCCCTGGATGTCAATAGAATGGTTCTGTGCCTTTCCGATATGGTGATGGGTTTCAGGTGAAGCGGGGATGTTCTCATCTAGATGCTGTCTACTCAGCAATTTAAGATGGATTTTTCAGAGCCGAGCCTGACGTCGTTCAATCTTTGTAATTTGCTTGATAAACACCTTTTTGCTTGTACGAGAATAAGATGCTTTTGGTGTGCGGTGTTCAAGTTCACCCTACCCAATATTTGTGAGCTTGCAGTATTTGCAGTATTAAAATAGGAAAATTTTGACTCACAATTTGTGTGGAATACGAATCTGTTGTGCCTAGTCTTCTAATGGTGGCAGCATAGTCACCAAGGGCATGAACTTTGTATGTGTTGAGATTAAATGCTTTTGGTTGTCGAGCGTTGTTATTTGACAGTGGTGCGCGTGCATTACTACTACTTGATTGCTGCTTGGCCTGGCGTCGGTTTCGGGCATCAATTTCACGTTGAAGCTCCTTGGTGTTGAAAGCGGGACATGTTTCCTGCTGAAATTTGCAAAGTTGGTGTCCGAGCAATGTCGTAGCTTGATCAAGGAATTCCAAAGTTTCATCACTGTGCATTCGCAGCTTCGCAAGACCATGCCACTGTGCCATAATAAATAGCAGGTTGAGTATGTTTTTATTATGCGGCTCGGGTAGGAGGCCCTCAAAAGCTGGTATAGCACACTAGAGTGCCATAAGTAATGCTTTGAAAAGAGAAAGTACAAATGTTTATACCTGTAAGAGATCTTCGTAATCATGGGCTGCCATCTTTTTCATTTCGGACGAGTTTGTTGAGAACCTTCGGATTGTGTCTTGTCCGAATGGTGGTATGTTTCGGTACCTAGCATTACATATACCAGCACATTAGCCTCTGAAAAGTAAAATAGAATAACTGGCATACCTTTGATCCAGTTTATGAACCGATCCTTCACCATGTGACTCCAAAATGCAAATGAGATGAATGAATATTGCTTTCCAGACACCCAGTTCAACTTCATGCAGAATATCAACGACAAAAAGAGAGTAAATGTTGACTCCAAGGGGTGTAAGCGCAGCCGAAAATGCATTCTAGAATGAAAATACCATTTGAGTGAAGTCTATATGCAAGGAAAGTGTTGGACATACCAACGTTGGAACCAAAGACTCCTCCTTTAGTAGTCTTTCGACTGCATTGCTGTTTACTGCATGATTTTTCTCGTAAATCAAACTGCGTGCTATGTCTACCTTCCGCTGATATTGAGAATTGTTTACTCGTGCCAATGTCTTTCGTTGTCTCATATCTTGCTTTGTGCCCATCCCTGGAATACAATCTTTTGGAATCAAACATCGTGGACATGGGCAAGCTCCCAAGTTCCTGATGCTAGTGAGAAGAACCCTAATACCATATAAGTGAAAGATTATAATATTAGAAAGAAAATATGTTACTTTTCCGGATAGTCCGCAGAATATGTGAAGATGCGAAGGTAAAAACGCCGTTTTATACCATCAGAACACGTAATTACAAGGCCATGCTTGCAAGCTTCAATAAACTCCTTGTCAAGAAGGATGGTCCATTGTGCATGCATGAACTCCCGATGGCAGTGTGTGTTGAAAGCATCATTAACTCCTTTGCCACCCGCAAATGCATTTGCAAAATCCTTGAATGAATCTGGGAGCTACATGGGCAGGAGATATATCAGTTCGGAGAGTAAAAAACAAGTGGGAATAATGCTTACTGTTTGGAAGTATGCAATGTGATGACACAAGTGGCAACTAGGCTTGCATCTCCTGTATTTTGTATCATTGCCGAAAAACATGTATAGAGGCCACAGCTTTGCATTGCCAAACGACGTGAGATGTGTTGCGTCAGACCAGAACATCAGTGCTAGTATACACCTCTCCAGATCACACCCAGGTTCTGGAGGGGAGTCTTGTAGGCGCTGATTTTCCTCAACAAATGCTGGAGATGTATATAGGTCACCATAAAGTTGTGTCTCATCTTGGCCTTCAGGTTGCCAGTGAAGTTCATAGGGGACATAGTGGAAAGAGTCCATTTCATGTTCATTAGCAAGTTTTTCTTGAACGACAGATAGTATGGAGCGATAGTGAAAGTCGGCAGTAATGAATTCCTTTGGACCTGGATCTGCCATTCTCTTGTGGAATGGGACAGAAATAGTGACTGGACTTGTCCTCCAACCGTCGTCCAGCCAGTCTGAGCTATTGCCGTCGCTGTCGCCCACTGTGACAAGTGATTCATCAATCTTACGCCAGTTTGCGCTGCTGACATCAGCTGGTGAGAAGCCTTGTTCACCGATAATGTCGCAAAGCATGCGGAAGTTTTCCTGTGACTTGCGGGCACCATGGTTCCAGTACCAGTCACCTAGGAGAAGGGTGCTTTTATTTGGATATGGATGATAGGGGTTGGTGCTTTGAGTGCTGCATTGCGGATGGATCTCGGATGATGACGATGACAATATGTTCATAGAATCATTGTGGGGGTACAATGGTGTACAGAGCTCGTGAGGGGACTGGTGATCACTGGCATTGTGAGATGGTGGCCCATGGGTGTACTGTCGTAGTACTCCAAATATATTCTTGACTGTGCGAAACAATGTTTGAGTCAGGGCACCACCGGTCTGAGTACTGGGTGGTGGCTCATTTAGAGGTGGGCTGCGACTTTCACAACCTGGCTGTGGTGCTGAAAGCGGCTGTTGGATACTTGAGGGTAATGATAATGAAGGCTGGGGGAGTATATCACGAAATCGTTTTGGCAGTCTGCGATTTGTTCTTCGTGTGCGACGCTGTGAGAGTGGTGTATCCGAGTCAATGTCAAGACTGTGCGCTACAGGGCTCTGATGGGGCTATGGTCAGTGGTGCACTCTGTATGGATCACAGGACATACCGTTGGATTGGCTATTTCAACAGCCGTAGTCTCTATGTCACATACATCCCCACTATGGCCCTCACCATGGCCACTGTTCTCCGCACTTTCTACACGACTCTTCTTTCTACTCATTAGCTCGTGAGCTCTCTCAAATATCATTGAGACACGATGTTTTCATTTTTTGCAGTTTTTTTGATGCCATGTCAATGCTCCGTACTGTGAAAAACTTCGCCCGCAAATACATGTTAGGGAATCATCCATAATGAGTGACAGAAATTTGAAGTGGGTGGAACATTGAAACTAGTGCAGGCTTCAGGGGCGAATAGTGATGAATGTGAAGATCTAACATAGAACAATCAAGTAAACCGTGTGACACAGAAGAATGGAGCAACTGACATTTTCTCCATTTCTTTAACGTAAGACTGAACTTTAACAAAAAAAAAAGTTAAGATCCGGACAGGCACTTCTTGATCTCCAACGGGAAAGTGATATCGGTATTGGAGTCGGGTCACAGCAGAGAATTAGTGCATGGGAAATATACAATAGTGTTTGAGCTCACCAAAATGTGACGAATCCTTCATTTGATCCCCCCACCAAGACATGCCTCAGACTGACAACAAAATCATTCGAAGGACCCTAGTTGGTGTCCCAGAACACCTGTTCAGCCGATTCACAGTCTATGGCTCAGGCGAAGATGTTGAGTTCTTTTATGACTGGGACAGTGACGATGAACCCTGGCCTATTAATACGGCAGATAAGAAGGAGACAGACGGGGCTGCTCCCAAAGATGAAGGAATTTCTGTGAAAACTGAGGTAAGCGACATCTCTCAATATGGATTGTAGACTCACCTTTGTCGTAACAGGAAAGTACAGACTTGCAAAACATTGTAACTCAGCCCCAGTCTTGTGGGGTAAAACACCGCCTGTCAGAAGTCAGTATTGACAACAAACAAGCTACTTCTGTAATTCAACCCCAGTCAGAGGTTGTGGATAGTGGAAAATCTGGTGAGCATATCAGTAACAACCGACAAAGGCACCGCACTACAGCTGGTAAGAACGAGCAATCCTTCTTAGGCTTTTAGTTGATACTCACATGCTTGCATTGTAGCCAGGAAATCTGGCCAAGGGAGGCAGCGGAAAACGTTGAGGTGAGGAATCCAGTGACAACAGCATACCGAAGAGAAGGTCTCCCACTAGTCATGTTGGTCTGTCAATGTAGAATAGTTGTAATTGTGCGGTACCTCGAGCCATATGATCTACTTTCACTGCTGTGAATAAGGCATTGAATGATTAAAATAATGTGTTTAGGCTGATGTACGTACCTCTGGGTTCTCAACGACAATGCTTTGAACAGCCTCTCATCGTTCATGTATTGTCACCTCAATACTATATCACAAAAAGATAATATGCATATAATATTTCATTACAGTTTTTCGTACATTGTTTATTACCGTTACACAATCCTATCTTTCAATCATCACCTAGGTATTGACTCAGCTACAGTTTTAACAGGATAGTGGTCAACTTACTGATGAGTGATGCAGGCGAGGGTGCATCCACAGGAACCTGTGAGTACAGTTCACAGGATGGTGGTTCCATCCCCATCTTTGAAACCTCAAACTGCATTAATCCCACCCGACGAGACTCGGCAATTGCATAATTTTGATACTTGTCGCGTTCTAAGTACATGACATGGAGTTGTTTCTGCATTTCTTCAAGCTTGATTTTCAATTCCTCATTTGAAAGGTTGTTGAGTTTATGATCTGCCGTGTCTTCTATAAATCATGTAAGATGATTGACGTCTGAAAACAGCAACAAAATATGTACCCATCAAATAAGAGTCTGTTTGAACACTTGCATCGTTTTTAACAACATTTTTACCCGAGTCTGTCAACTCCTCTGTGACGGTAATGCTTTTGAACGTGAAATTGATCAACCGGGTAACAAAGTGTCTGGACTCACTGGACATCTTCTACATGAAAACTAAGGCGTCTTTTCTTGTTTTCATTGCCAGTGGTGGACATGATGCGTATCTGTGAGATAGGATGTGGCAAAAAAGTGGAGTAAAAGCTGTAAGAATCAAAACAGACATCGGAAGACCTAACAGGCCACTTACGACAGAGGAATGGAGAGCTGAACTAAGCCCGTTGCTGTCCCAAGGGTTGACGGAACTGAGAGTCTTTGACCCTGACTGTCACACTCACATCTCCACAGAAAAATGAGATCGCCTGTATTGTAGCACCTAGAAGTCGCCGTGTTATGAATTTAGATAACCAAGTTGAGAAATTGGTGTACACACCTTGAAACATACCAAACCTATTGCATGCTAAGAGCACAGCCCATGGGGAAACAACAATGCTGTCCTGACAAATGCGGTGGTGCTGGCCTTGAGTGAAAATTTTTCTATACCGCTCTCCATGCTACTATCATGCACTATCCACAAAAAGCAAGAACTCACCAATCTCATCCTTACCCTGTTTGTCATGATCCGAGAGACAGTTCTCAGGTCTTTTTCCAGGCAAGATCATAGCGTAAACTGACGACTGACCTGGTAAACTGTTACAAGTTTCTCCAAAATAAGTCAAAGTGGAGTACTCAAGCCTTTAAATTACAAGAAAACACTTACCTTGTCTGTCATCAGCATTCCATCTACCCATCTTGAGGTCCCGTGTGCAAGTTGAAGGTGTCTAGCTGTTGAACCATTGAGAATTGACCATGATGGTGCGGCGAACACGGGAAGCAGATGCCGACTTACCGGAGAATCCTGATCATCCATCTCTACTACCTTCTTTCGAGTCTGCACTAACTGCAGTGTCTCGAAAACGCCCGTGAGTAGCTTCAAGTTGATTTCGATCATTGCACAAAGCTGACACAGGACTTAGACGTCTTTCAGACCCCTTGGTAGGCCATGGTCGCCATTTCTGTTGTACTGTCCACCCATTTTGTAACATCAACTCTCTCCTGATCAATGGACTGCTTCGGATGAGTGATGAATCAGACGATCAGCACCTTACTGGAAAGTAAGTTGAAATAGATTATATTTTCCTTGGTTTTTATTGAATATTTTTCTCAGTGAACTACGTGAACAGAAGATCTTTTTGAGTCTTCTTTGTATGGTGCCTGGGCTCAAGGATCGGTTGACCGATAAGGATTCGTCTGAGGAGGAAATTGAGATCATTAGCCAGCTGGTGAGCCCCATTATCACCTGAACCCAAGTCAGATCCCCAAGCTCTCAACAAGATACTAACGGCACAACATACCCAGATACAAAAAGGTGTTTCTGGTGCCCGATCTGACAACACCAAGAGCATCAAAGGTGCCATAGTCGAATGGATAACACCTCAAGGCCAGCAGCTTAGCCCACAGCTCCATCGGAATATCAAGTCCAACCGAGGCTTCAATCATCATCGTACCGGGCAACTACTATGTCCAACTGGACTTGATTGGGAAGATGAAGAGTAAGTACTTTCTAGTATATTTTTTGATGGTTTACGAAAGTTTTTCTATAGGACTCGAGCTAAACTACGAAATGGTGATATACACATTGCTGGTGACCACTGGCCCATATTTTTGTATGCCGACTGCATTTACAATGCAGAAGACCCATGGATGGGCCTGTTTAAAAACAATGTTTTGATCTCGGTGCGCGTTTTTTTTAATTGCTTCTAATAGTCTAATTCCAGCTTTTTTTCTTCCTTAGGCTTACAAGTACGTCTTCACATCCCCGTCATCTGTTGACACAAACGCCGAGTCACGAGCAACTCGCTCGGGTAATGCTCGTTTACATGGCATGTTACATGTTACACCAGCGTCAGTTGCATATATTGCAACACAAGTAAGTAGCTGTAGTTTCACATGATTGTCAGATGATAGGCTAACAAACTCAATGAAGGTCCGTTTTGCACTATCTTCACAGGCAATATTCTCCCGCACAGATATCACTTCCGATTCTGAGGGATTTTTCAATAGTGTCATGGACTTATTCGAGGATCCCGATGAAATCGAAGATGTCAACAGTCTCTTAGCGTGGTGGGACTCGTATGTAGTACTATAGTCTTTTATGCAACCACCATACTTACCCATATTGTAGGAAAATTTTTCCTGCCTCAGCCACCCCTACGAGAATCCCAGCAAAGAACGGCGCATTGGCGAAGATCCGACAAAGACGAGCGGCTCTCAAACACCAAATGTCCCCTTCAAGCTCTCGTTCTGAGGGGCAAGCTAATGCGGACAACTAGCTAAGCAAAGTCGGAGGAATGTAGAATTAAGTATACTGTATTGTAAATTGTACTGTATATTGTGTACACGCTTTCAATGACATTTGTGTCCTTACTACCTGTTGTGATGACCTAGTTATCAATAATTAAAACAGCCCTAAGTCCTTCCAAACGAAGGCCAGCCTGTGTGAGTAAGTACCCGGGCCACTACCTAGTCAGTTTTGGCAACTCTAAGTGCAGTTACTATGGATGGCAGCCTACATACACTTGTATTCAAGTTCTCAGTGGTTTCTCGTTTTGCCTCGGTCACGAGCTACCAGGTGTAACCAGTCATATCAGCACTGATATTGATTGTATATCTTGCCGTGATAGAGTCTACACTATAATTCTTATAAATCTGATCGAAGGTAACAATACTAACCAGACATATAAGGTCTTGGATATATTATTGATCTTATTGAGGAGGCCGACTTCACAATGTATATCAGCCATATATATATTGTGCCGTTTGTATCAGAGCTAACCAGACATACAAGCTCTTGTAAACGGGACCAAAACTATTGTAGTTCTTGTGCTAATTACAATTCTTATAATGGCTTACAATCATAGATCAGATTTTCACCAATTTCCTGATGATATTATGCTGTAAGATCGCGGGTAGATCCGCCGCATTTCCTTCCCATTGATAATTGCGAAGGCATGGATGCTAAATACAATATTATACCCAATTGGAGAAATTTCGAGATACAATATCAGGTGAGTAATTCTTTTTTTGTACAATACACACGATGGTTAGAACTATTAAGACTATTAAGAATCGCATGAGGAGGTGGACCAATGATCTCTATGACGAAGTTTGGCTGGTTTATAGCGAGTGAGATCCACCTGAGAAGATGGCAAGCATTTGTTTAGGTCTTCCTCCGAAATGTAATGCCGCATAAGATCACATTGACGAGCCTCTTCAGCCCAACGAACTTCCCATACGCGAGCCTGCCCCCTGTGAGTGCTTATCTGAGTACGGACATAGTTTAGCTCCTTGTGCAGGGCTTCGATTCGAGTCTGCAGAAGTTCGTTGTCGGTACGGGTCAGTTCGTTCAAGGCAACAGCCTTCTCATAATCTGCGGTTGAATATGATATTAGCACACCTAAAAAAACTACGAGCTACGCACCACTTGAGCCATCAGCAGTGGTCTTTTGCTTCTGTGAAGACTTGGAGCAACATTGGCTCTGTGTGAAGAGGGGTGCTGTTAACCCTGCGATGATGCCCATCCTGGACAACGATAACATCTAGTTTAGAGTACGACTGATGTAAAATTAGAGTGTACTCACATTTGGAACCAGGCAAACTGACGGGACACCATTTCCGAAGGCTGGTGTCGCAAAAAATGAAAAAAGTTCGCTGTGCCAGCAATAGCTGCAGTGTCGAAAGATTCAGCAATGTCGGCGTGCCCCGGGCATTGGGTGTGTGCATCTTCACTCTCGAAAGCCTGAGGATACATCGAATTGCTAATGACGAATCGTAAGGTGATGAATTGGGTTACTACAACGACTTGAACATGGTAGACTCATCTTCTTATATAGATGCTACGGATTCAGCCAGACAACAGCCATGAGTCGTGGTGGTCGTTCGGAACCCTAGGACGTTGTAACCGAAGAGGGGCCGCTTGGGATCAAACGCGGAAGGGGCGAGTTTACTAATGTAAGTCCACGTTTGACCGTTCTAGTACCTGACGGTATCTGATCATCGTTTTTTGTTGTCGACTTGTCGAGAGGTAGCGCACTGAGCGGGATTTGATAAGGTCCACACCCGACCACCATGCCGTTCGCTCAAGCGGGCTAACATCCAATCGTTGTCGCTCGGTTCGTCAAAAATTTCCGCGAAGGTCCTACGAATTGCCCGCGCTACAGCAACTCAAAGGTGTTGTCCGCCGACCCTTTATGTATTCGATGCCAGGTAAACGGGATTCTTCGCAGTGCAAACTTGAAGCTTGAAGTTTTGTGTCAGATTTTAATTGAATCGTAAAGCTCGGTTAGGATTACAAGTATGATTCTAGCTAGACAGTAGGACCATGCTGGACGGAAAACCTACCGGATCATTGGCATCGATTGGTGCGTCTAACTTGGACCTGACTCGGAGATCTCTACTTTCTCTCTCTCAGAGTCGACTGTCAGTGCCAGTGGGACTTGAACACCGTCACTGGCCCGGGCTGAATCCACTGGCAGCACATCACCTTGACTCGGACGCTCTCACTGCCAGATTCAAGTTCAAGTTCGGGCTCCTCCATTCAGTCAGTGTCATTCACATTTTTCTCTCCCAGTCAGCTTCACTGACAAGTACCGCCCATTAGCTACGCAGGACTCGGACATGAACAATGTTCCAGCTCAGACACCTGGGCTAAGCTGGCCAACACAGTCTACTATCACCCAAACGGAATCGGAATCAGTTGTCCAGCCCAACATTGGAAGGCATTGGAATCGATGTGACATCGATTGTCACCGATCCGGCTGCATGGCCTGTGGGCCCGGCTTAGGACCAGGATTTCTCGTCCGTTCAACAGAGTCTTTTACTGTACATGGATCTGCTGCTCCCTTATATCGAATCTCAGGTTATACTAACGGCTGTCGGGGTCAGTCTTACTCGCGCTGCAGCGAATGTTTAAGTTGGCCAGGGCAAGCTACTTCAGGAATTACCACCAATTGTGGCCCAAGTTACGGTAAACTTATGATTTTTATCGCCCAACCTGTACTGATTACGATGTCTTTCAGCTGACTCGGATATTACAATGGTCGATGCTCAGGCCGATTTCAAACACACCTTAGCGCTTCAAGACTACAATAATAGCATCAATGGCTCTCTGGATTGGAATGCGCCTCAGGACTGGGTACCTCAGCAAGAGTTTTCTAACCTCTGCGCTAGCAGGGCACCTCTAGATGATCATATTAGCCAGGAATTGTCAGTTCACTATACGGTCCTAAATCAAGAGAGCGTGAGTCAGGATATCACTCTTGTTTGATTGTTGATCACTAATCCCAACGTCATCAAGCATCATCAGCATCATACAGTCAACGATCATATCATGGGCGAAGACTACTCTCGACAGGAATCATTGCGTTCACCCAGTACATATATCGGACCACCACAGTATAGCGAACACGGCACACTAGTCTCTGGTGATACGCTACAGGTATTTTGTTCTTTTTTGTCATTTTATTCAGTTTGATCAATGCTCGTGCACAGTTTCACCCAGTTGCCCCCCAAGGAATTCCTGAACAACCGACTTATATGCAAGCACCAAGTCACCAGATCGAGGCCACTGCCACCCGTTCGGACGTCCATAAATCACCCACTCACACAATCATCTGGATATTCTCCTAGCAGCTTCGCAATAGATGTCCTGAAATTTTCGGTCCCGAAAGGTGCAGCGTCTCATGATGCAACACAGAAGAGTTACTACCACCCAAACGAAATAGTATACATAGATCGGGCGATTGAACTCTTGAAGGTAACAATGGTAACAGATAACTTTTATCTTTTAGAGGTTTCGGGGAGAAGCCATGCATATGAAAGAATCATTAGAGTTACGAAGGGCGCTCCAAAGGATAAGTTGCCGTCGCACTCCAGACAGAGAATTCTGCAGCCTTCTTGTTTACGAGTAGTACGTTCCACCGGGTAGTGTCATGGATCCAACTAACCTGTTTTAGATTCAGGATTCCGCAAAGCACTATCGCTGGAATACTCTTCAAGCTGGTCTCAGATATATTCTCGAATACTTTGGCCCTGCATCCAAGCATGAACTTAAAGCCCAGTTCGAAATGGCTTTGAGCATAGGCATTCCATATTGGATGTCCGACAAAAATCGATACTGGCACTCTCTCGTTTGGGTCTTCGTGCTCCGTTTATGGTTTGGAGAACCTGAAAGCCTAGGACACTTACATAGTGCTGCATTTGGGGAGAACGGTGCAATGAAAATTGAACCCATAGCTGTTGCGATCTTCTCGGTAAGTCGATTGTGTCTACATTAACTTCGTTACTTAAAACTGCTCTAGCTCAAAAGGTCTATGAGCACTTGGCTCAACAAGAATTTCAAAGCCACACAAACTACCGAAAAAGAAAGTGATAGATATAGCACGATCAAAGCCTTTTTGAGTAGAGATGACATCCGGCGGGCGACTCTCCCTTATCGGATTGAATTGTTAACCATTGGCCAGTGAGTCCACTTTTCACAACACTAACTCCAACTAATCACTTTCTCGTAGGGGAGTTTATCATCGACTAGGACATCTAGTTGACTTTGTCAAAACCATCACTAGCTCGGCTGTGAGGGTGTCTGATGTTTGAGAAATGCAGGCTGGAGACCGATATGTGAACGCGGACAAGGATATGCAATTATTAATGGTAGCATTGTGTATAGACAAACATTTTATCATAACCATAGCAGATTTTTATAGAACTATGCGTATTGTCCAGAATTTATCCAATCACTGTCTCTTTTCATGTCCTCCAACTCCATTCTAGTGAGTACAATGCCTGCTCCTTCGCCGAAAAGTTCTTCGTCAGCCGCTTCGAAGATGGACGTTATATCTGATATATTGACAGGCTTCACGTCGCTTGCATTGATTCCAGCTTCGTCCATCGCCGTACGAATTTCCGCTATTTGGGCCTCTGTTGTGGTGGCACCCGACGCAGCTTGTAATGCTTCTTGCTTCAGTAATGCGGATAGAAGTAGGAGCCGGTGTAGACGTAATTTTGCAAGGTACTCGTGAGTCCGCAGGATCTTCCTCTCTGCACGTCTGATATCGAGTTTATGTTGTAAGGTCATCTTTAAATCCATTGTCTAGTGTAATAGTCAGGCGTAATGAATGAACCATGAGATTATAGATAAATCTTACCATATATGTAGCGACATGTTGAGTGTCATCACCAAAAGGACTTGAGGAGAATGAACTTGAACTTGGGGAGGTTGGAGTTGAAGAGGATTTTTGTCTAGTAGTACAGCGTGATGAACTTGGGAACATTTTATAGTAGCGGGCTGGAAAATCTACCGTAACAGCAAGATCAATATTTTTTCGACAGTTCAATGAGGCGATACTCACCAGCAAAGTGGGAGGATTCCGATGCAAGGAGTGTCCGACAATACAAGCAAGCCTTGCCTTTGAGCTCTGTTATTTAAGTATGCGTTAGCCTGAACTGGGAATGAGTAGCCCTTGATATGAATGATTGGAGTAGAAATATCAGGGCAATGATTGAGGTTAAATCAGCTCACCAGCGAATTGGAGTCCAACTTGAAACAGTCCTCTGAGCTTCAACCTGGACGTTAAATGATTTCCTAGCAAAGTTCCTTGGTGCTAATTTTTCGATGCAATTATTCGAATTTCGCAGGGCTCGCTTATACCGGTTCGGCTGTCAAAATAATGGAGGGCCCTGAGTTCTCCAGCGCCATCAATACAATCGCGAGTCCAAGCCAGACGTCGACGATCGCTCAGCAACTTGAGTCCAGAGTCTGCGACACCATGCGCTTTTATCCGAATCTAATCCACACAGGCTATCACAACACATGCACTCACTGGCGTATTCATTGATTCCTGCTATCCAAGTCAAGTTATGTTGAACATCTCCTAGTAAACGCTGTCAGAGTGACTCAGAATCAGCTCCTCGTTTCAAGGCAAGTCTAGTCTTCTCTAAGCAAACAATTGATCCGGCTCTAAGCAAACAATTGATCCGGAAGATATTCGTTCCAGGAAAGCTAGAGTCACGGTGACTTGCACTTAGAATCTTCCACCTGTCTCACGTGCACGTGCAACCTTTCAGACTCAAAGATGGCGACTCAACCATGCTCGTTAGTTTGCGGACGTTGCGACTCCTTACTACTACTGACAGGTCTCATGTTACAGTAACACATCTGGCCCTCTTCCATCATTTTCCGTCTGCATCGGCTGGCAGTAATATCCACGTTGGCGAACTGACGCCTCGTGCGATCCTCGTGGATCTGAATCCAGGCGGTATCTGAAGCTACACCTTTACTTCGACCGCTCTAGCATGTCCTGTATGCGGCGTAGGCTGACCTTGCATTTCGACTCTTTTCTCTAGGTTAATATTTATGCCCAAGATCGCGGATTATGGTTATGCGGGATGTTGTTGTGTTTATCTATCAGAATCACCCCCCCCCCGGTTCCAACCTAATGGTATGTAAAATTTCCTTGACTTTAGGCCAATCTCTGTATCGTGATCAGGTTCCATTTTCTATCGTTTAAGTATATGATCTACAAATTGCTATGTACTGATTAATAGGCGCATTCTATCCTAAACCATTGGGCCAGCAAGGACGCTGTGTTTTCTCCCCTTCGACTATCGCTTCACTTTTCTTCCTGGTCCACACCCACCACGCCGAACTTCGAGGACGAGGGGAAGCCCTCAGACTTGCAGGCCGTCTGTGATTCCTTTACAAGATTTCTATTGCGACCTTAAAGAACAAAGTTCAGTAAACCGCGTGATAGCCAAAAGATCAAAATTACCTTCTCTCAGTAAGCATTGATACTCGTCTATCTGCTCCTTCTTTTCCTCATGAAATTGCCTTAATCCTTTCGCGCCTGCTTCAAAAATCTCCAATATGGACCAGACGGGTATTCCGGTAAAGACGTATAATCCACTGGGCGATACCATCGTGATGTCGTCAAGTGTATCCCAACCTCCCCTTTGCAAGCGTCTCTTCAAATCCCGCATGTGCCTCGAGCAATGTAAGTCTAGCTTGTGTTACTGCGCTAAGTCCGTACTCACCCTTTTCCTTCTTAAAGGATCAGCAAACTCAGCAAATATGGAGAATATTGGGATTAAAGGCAAGATGAACGAGTCGGATGTCCGCAGTCGTTTGAGGTGCGAGATTCTATTTGTAGTTCACCGCATGCCAGCTGTTTTGAGGGAATTGTAAGTCCTTAACAATTTTTTTCGTGTCGCTAATTCATTATTGTTCATTTCAGTTTCAGCTGTGCTGAAGGTTTTCTGGTGCGGTCAGTAGTAACAGCACTTCTCATTTTGGTTGGACCGGTCGAGTGTAGACGGAGACGGGGATTACATACGGTCATCAGTGTTGGACTGCAAGTAAGGTAAGTCGAGCATGGACCTGATACTAATAGTACCGCAACGCTAATCGAGGATAGATCATTTGCCATCTCCGCCGTGGATCAGATAAAAGGAGGAATTCTCGATTCTCTGCCCCTTCGCCTTTTGCCCTTCCATCCCGTTTTTCATGGCCTCAATTGTTTCCACCCCTCCCCCCTCAACTGAGGACGACAATCGGATAGACGACGAAATGCGAACCGATACGGCCATCAAAGCTGGAACAAAGCAAAGGATATCAGCCCTCGAAGAAGAAATCCAGGTCCTAAAAGCTGGTGTCTCGAAGACTAAAAGGTGAGCGATTAGACTTACAGTTAACAAATGTTTGCTGCTGACAGGAAAAATCCCAGTACCGACTCTTGGGTCAACCAAGGTCGTGGAATCCGGTGTCTGGTATCACTGTTTGATTCCATTAGCGACATGGTAGCGGAACGTGATCGTCGAATTTATGAGCAAGACGATGACGAGGCTTCGACGCAACCTCAAGACTATAGTGAAGAGTAAGTCTTTGTATCTCGTTTACAGAAGCAGCGCTGAATTCCATAAAACAGTGAGAACCGTACGTTTAGAGGGTTCAAGGAGCTCGTATACTATGTCCCTACCCTCAAGAAAAAGCTGAACGAAGAGGTCGCGAGTAATAAAGAATTAGCTTCCATCTACAAGCAAGTACATTTACGTCCCGCCTTCTCTGAGACAGTTTCTTATCGTTTAACTACAATATCCTAGCTACGAAAAGGGTCGGATGGAGCGCGAGGTGATGACGCAGGGAATATGAAGCCTGCAGCAGTGCAATGGCTTTCAGAATTATTCCCTGCGTCATCTACTACTCCTCTTGATCCTCTAGATAAAAGTTGGCGAGGCTTCTCACATGATCTTACAGGCAGCCTTCTTTGCCCTAGCGAGTATGACTGGAGCAACACGAGGTATGTTTTCTTAGCTGTTTCTTCGCTCACTCTCACTTCCTCCCAGCATCAAAGAACAGATTCGTGACCGCCACCCCAGATATTTGGTCACAGCCAATTTGTGGCCAACCTTCGTATATGCAAACTATAAGTACGACCCCAAAGATATTGAGAAGGGGTTATTCCAAAGCACCTTATTGCTCAAAGTGAGTCGGTCTCTGTAGCATCTATTCGAGAAATCTAAAGGATTGAAACCATAGGCCTATAAATTTATCTTTACTGCGCCCTCCTCTGCACGCGACGTTAGGGCCGACGGGCCTGACCCTCCTCCGCATCTTCTGTACAAACGTCCCAGGTGTGAATTGGCCGAAAGTCGAACTCGCGGACATGTAGCGTCACACCTAGGTCCATAGCCTATATAGCAGTACAGGTAAACTATACACTCATACTGTCAAATCACACTCACATTCTTTCGTAGCTTCGTTTTGCATTGTCCGGTGTAGGATCGTGGCGCGTGGAAGACGGGGATTTCAACTACCAGCAATTCTACAATAATATACTCGACTTTTTCGAGATGCCGCCAGGACCAACTAGTAAGGCCGAAATCGAAAACTTACTCTTATGGTGGAACAGGTATGATTAAAATTTTCAAATAATACAATGTCTGATATTATATCCAGGAAAGTATTCGGACGCTCGCGGGCAGCAGTGTACTCTCCACAAGCTGTCGAGAACACGTCAGTCGCGCGGTTAGCTGCTCAGCGTGCTGCTAAGGAAAACCGCTCATCTCGAGCTAGCTAGGTATTCTACTCTAGATATTAGTATTAGTTATATCTGCTGTTGTTCTTTATCCTTACAAAAATTTTATTATTTGTTCGCTGCTATCAAGTCAATGAAATGAAATGAATATTGTGTGTTACACATTAACATATTACCTACGTTTTATCTAGTAGATCTCGATTGTATTATATGTCACTGTAGACATTAGCATTAGATTACAATTATCTGCCACTTCGGTCGAGAGTGGTGATGTTTTGACAGCTCACCCGTTGCTTGTAAAACTTAGCAAGAGCTCGATCCAAGGCTCACAAAACCCAAGGTATTGTATTCTTGTAAAGTAACGACTATGATGTGGAATACTTAAATTTGTGACTTAGTTGCTCAGGGTATTATCATGCCCTCACTATTAGAACGAGACTGAAAAACTTATGTAGTGTAGGTCAAAACCTCTGGAATATGGTAATGCTTGTTGACATTTATGTGATGATATAATGACCAGTTAGCTTCAGCCTATCTTCGAGTGATTTTTGATGCATAGAATGATTTTCTTGTATGTCCAGGTTTTCCCCAGTCTTAGCCTTATGATTATCATGCCATTATGCTTCTCATAATCGGGCTTTCTTTGTATTAACTACAGTAATTCGGTTTAGTTATTGTGAAATATAGTGTATCATGAATTTAGCACATATTTTCTGATTTCTTACTTTAGGCAGAAGCCCGTTGATGGCACATAAAACTCTGGAAAGTGCCGTCAATATCATAGAACAAGCCAACCAAGTGTAAGATTTAGGTGATATTACATGGCTATCGGACAGTGCCAATTTCGGCATTTGTGTGCTCGAATAGAAACTTCTCGGGCAGCTATCCCAATCTGTCTTTCCTTTAGATCACTTTGTAATGTTCTGTAATAAATGTCGTTGTTTAGTTTTAGCATCATATTTGGGTGGGCTTTTCATGATTTTCAAGATGAGATGATATAGACTATTATGAACATTGATTGCACAGGATTATTGTAGCAGACATTGGTTTAAGCAGCCACGCATATGATTTGTCTTAACAGAAGTCAGAAAATAATTGGCGTTGCCAGTATGTTATTTCCATCCTTCATCACTACAAAGTTTCTTTATAGCGAAGCGTAAAAAATGTTACAACTTGTGAGGTTGACTCACATTCGGGCAAGTCTACATACACTTATAACATCTCATGATGATGGTTGTGATTAATCATATCTAGATAAGTCACTCGATATGATAAGAAGATTGGCAGACTGGTAAATTACTACGAGATGAGCTAGATTAAAGAAAAATGTGTGACTAGTGGTGTTCAGTTCCTATACCACGCCATTCTTTCTCTCTAGTGCAAGACCATACATTACCGCAAATATGTGCCCCCGCAGCGTGATACTCATCCTGTCCTGGCACTTATTCCGCCTGGATCTTTCCTTTGAAAGGTCTTGTTTGTCTTTGTGGATGAGCTCGTAATAATTACAGTTATTATGGTTATTTTTTGTTTTACAAGAGCTTACAAAAGCCATGGAAAAAAATTCCAATTTCGTTGATGTGGGTCTGTTATGACAACCCCAGGCTGAAGATAGGAGGAACGACTGTCTTCCTCCTAAATGGTATGCATAGGGGAGACTAGGCTGAAGGTCCCTTTATTCACAATCCGTGCGTGACAGACATTGGTCATAGTTGAAGTTGGTAGCGAAAATATTTCCAGTATTCATCAGTTATGCTAGTTCTGTCTTTCTTGTCTTCAAATTTATTCTAATAAGCCAAAGGTATGTAGTAGTACATCTTTATTACACGATGCGAAAACTAATCCATTTCCTTAGCTTGATGCGACCCCAACAATTAGGTTCACTGGCATCTTAACTTCTTATTTGGGAGGTACTTTTTCCATGCCTACGACATGGGTTAAGACGGGTACGCCAAAGTGAGTGTTGATCTAGTTGCTATCATCTATAGTTTTAGACGTCTCGTATATTATAAGGGTATGGCCTTCAAACGCCAATCTGAACGAGTGGCATGTTATTGTGAGTGACTCTCAGTTCATCGAAGGGCTTCACAAGGCCCCAGACGACGACATTTCGTTCTTCGAGACAAGCAATGATGCATGTGCATTATTTGTTTTTCACCAAGGATATATGAGAGATTTTGAGAAAATGTTTTAAGGCATCTAAAATCAAATACACACTAAGCCCTGAAATACACCACAACCCTTATCACATTCCAATCACTCTGTCCATGCTCACCCGCAATTTGGCTACACGCTTTGCGGGTATCTACAATGAAGTCATGAGCTCATTTGACGATGTCCTCATCTGGCTGCTAATACTCAGTATACTCAACCTTGCGCAAAGAAGTAGAAGCAATAGTCAAGAAAGATGGTTGGTCCAATGCTTCCTTGGTGAAGATGCAGAAGGTAGACAGTTCCTTGAAAGAAACTCAAAGGTTCGACAGCCTTGCTTAGTATGTATACTTGGTTTGGTGGTGCTAGATAATTAGCAATTTATTGATTGCCCTATCGTTCTTTGCCTATACTATGTCCCGTACGGTCTTGAACACATTTTGCCATCTCCTATGAGACCTTCATACCTGCTGGAACCTTCGTCTCCGGCCTCATTTCTAACACTGCACTTTCGAGTAAAATAATAATTTGTATTTTTCTCGTGAAATCCCAAATAGTACGCAAATAATGCTTTGATAATATTCTATATCAGGTAATACCACATTTTTATTCTGGTATTTTGACTTTGATGCGGGGGAGCTGATCGTGCATGATCGATCACCATATCTGTAGTACTGGCGTTAGGTACACCGCTAATCCGGGCAAACCTCTCCGAAACGGTAAAAGAGCGCTACCTCTCGCAGAGGTTTACGGAGATATTTGTAAGATAAGATCCGTCAACATGTCGCCAATGATAACCAAATAGATAATATAAATGCATCCTGCACAGTAGTCCCAAGTGGTTATACAAGACCTTGACGGAATGATTCAAGGATGTTGATAGTCGCAGCTAATTGGTTTGTTTTTATCAGGCAATATCCATGATGACATTAACATCTTGCAAATAGCTGAGCTGCGTCTTTGAGGCCTCTGTAATGCTGTGCAGAGAATACCCGTACCTGTAGTTCGGGGAAATCCTTTGTTGATGGTTTTCCTGACAGGACAATTCAATATTTGAGAAGCGTCTGCTGCCCGGCTTGCTGCACCAAAATATGATATATGTACCAATATCCATGACATAGTACCATGGCATTTGCGATTCACTGTTCCATCCAAGGCTCTGATACTGATACCAAGATAGCAAGAGTGTGATGATGACATTAAATTTTCCACTGAGATTGTACCATACTACAGAACGTGCAATGAATGAATGCATAAACAAATGTGATTAAACAACGTGGCAGGTAGGTACGTGGCAGACAAAACAACATAGGAAAGCAGTTTAAACAAAAAAAAAAAGAGACTGTAACTACCGGCCCTTCACCAAATCAACTGAGCATGAATCATCCTCTGCCATTCGATACTCACTGAGTTGACTGGAGGGACAAGTCTTCCTGGCTCAGCATAAGTTGCCATGTCGACTTGGAGACTCTCAGTAAAGAAGCTGCAACAAGGATCAGATTACCACAAAACAGTTATCATTAAGAAACTACTCACTCTTTCATGTTATCTTCCCATTCCTCGGTGGACACGGTACCCTTCTTCGCAAACTCCCGCAACTCTTCGAGCAGCTGGTCTACATATACCCAGAACTGCTCGTCTTTCCACACATGGGGGGTGCATGTCTCTTCCACATCTTGCTTGCTGTTTGGAGTCATTGGTCGGTGTTCGGATTGATCAGCTGTGCTGTTATGGCCACCAGCTTCTTGTTGCTCAGCAGCTGCTGTGTCTTGACTGGAGCCTTGTGAGGCAACAATCCTGCGGAACTCCACTAGCGAGGCGCGCTACACAGCACTGAGCATGTTGCAAAGGAATGCATAAGACTGACTTACCAGGAAAGCAATTCTGGCCCAGTGGGCCAGAGTGATCTCCATCACTCCCGGCGGAATGAGAGATTTTGTTAGTGGGGCAATATCTTGTTTCTTTTGGATACTCATCCATAGCTAGAATAAAGCAAAAGTAGTTTATTAGCTTGTGCAATACTATCTGATGGGTCCTTACCTTTGGCTTTATGTTCCCTCTTGCCGCTGTTAATAAGTCCTTAATCAATGAGCTCAACTTGCTTCGGATTTTGGGATCTTGCAGGAACTCCGGATTGATCTTGAAGATGTTTGGATTTTTCTCAAGAAATTCCTATACAAGCAGCTGAAAAAATAAGAAAAATATTTAAATACAAACACTTACAAAAACACAGTCTCCGAGATCAGTCACATAAGCTGTAAGATTAGGAGAGAAGAGACAGGCTTGTAGACGGTTATTCAGCAGTTACTGGGTGTTAACAGTGAATCTTTCAAACATGAACAAAAATAAGAAACCGCTCACCCTAAAATCTGCTGATTCCAATCTTTCCAGGGCTTTGTCTGTATCACTAGCTTGATGATTTGTGTCCATGGAAAGGAGGTGGCCTTTGATGTCGAGTATCATCTTTACCGTACTGCCCAGCTTGTGAAAACTACTATATCAGTCTTGCCAAAAGAATATCACAATGTACTTACCTCTGCGAAAGCATCAAGGCTGCGGTGAGGCAGCTTGTAAGTTTTGCTCACTTCCACGCCCAGCCCTTTGAGACACTTGATACTTGTTTGATTGGACTCTTCAAACAAATAAGACCAGGGACGAGTCAAACCTGTCTGTGAAGTGCAAGGAGTCCTAGGCGGACTGGAAGAAATAGACTCCACACCCCCACCCAAGGCTGGTGGGTGTCAGGCAACGAATACGAAACTATATAACAAAATACAATGCCTGGTCAAGTCCTTGCTGGAAGGCAATTAATCAGGGTATGAGAGTTTTGAAAAGTATCGGTATAAGCGCAAATCCAAACTAATATTGAACTAAAGAATAATACATCGAGT